GCGGAACTTCATTACTAGGTTCAGCCACCATAACTCCCAGGTAAACTCGGTCCCGTATAGCAATCAAAGGCCGTGCCGCCGGTGAGTCGAAAGGGATCAACGAATATCAACGAATAGCTCGAGGGTGAACAACTCAATCGCCAGCGGTGAACAAAGTATAGTTAATGATTATCTGGGGAAAAATTATACAATGAAAAGAAACTTTAAAAACTTTGTTAATTGTGAGAAGTGACTTAAAGAATTTGTACTTCGTAAAATAGTAAGCGCTCGGATGGGTCATAAACTAAGATCTAAGGCTGAACTCTCCTGGCTAAGCTACCAATCCGAGGAAAAACTCAACGCATTCATGTTGGAAGCTTCTGGTCTGACCGCTCGGGGTTACGCATCGACCATGTTTGTAGGGTTTCACGGAGAGTGAATCTAGGACGGGTACGAGACATGGTTTGGTGGTGCCATCGGGCCAATGCGTCAAGACACAACCTGGGATGATTGACTGTACAAAAAAAAAAAAGGACCGAGGTGATGACAAAAAATTCTCAAAAAAGAGGAGATTTAAAGTCGACATCGGACGAAAAGTGTACGGAGGGTTGTAGCATTCTTGGTTAGAAATCAGGGGGGCGGAGCAGCCAACGGGCGTTATCGCCTTGCTGTGGGTACAGCATAGTCGGAAACCTTTTGCAACCTTGCAGCTTCACCGAGCCCGATACTTTTGGTCATAAGGGGAACCCTTATCAGCTCATAGTATACCAGGTTTGCGGAACGATCTAGATGATATTCGAGTTTGATGTTCCCGGAGCGCATGGGGTCACAAAATTGCGGGACGATTGCCCCTCTCTATAGAAAATAAAATAAAAATGAAAAGGTGGGGTTGAAGAGTACATAGTAGAGACGGGGAGAACATGGGGTTTTTTTACCCCCTCCTGCAGTGATCAGCATCACGAGTTGGTTGGTTATGCAGGCTGGGGGGGACTGATTGCAGGATATACGCACTATTGTAGTGTGAGATCAACTTGATGTGGGAGTCTCGACTCTCTTATAGTGGGTCCCGTTGAACTGACTTGATCCACTTGAATTTTTAGTAGGTTTTAGTAGATTTTAGCCCTGGAGCTGATGGAACACCGGCTTTGCCAATCTGAGGCTTAGCGTTTAAAGAATTGAAGCCACCAAGTAGCTTTGGCTTGACGGCAATGTAATATGTGGTGGCAAATAAAGATAGTGCATTAGAAAAAAAAATTATAAAATCAAACTCTGCAACAAGGGGAACAAAGGGGTTGGACGATCCAGACGCAGGTCGGTTTCGAAATGAGAGTAATGCAAGCGATGTCAGAATTTCTTTTCTTCGCCCCTTTACGTTGATACGATGAGACATGCGCCTCCCGAAGTCTTTCTTAACGTCCGGGCGCTTGCGGTATTGTGAAACACGGACTAGAGTTACCCGAGAGGATAGTAAGAGGAACTCGAAGTGTACAAGAGTACATCTGATCAGTTTCAATTTCAATGCGAATTTCAATTTGATATCAATTAATTTTATTTCAAGCACTTTGTCTTGGTACAGCTACGAGTACCTAGGTATCAGAGCATTATTGCCTTCCAGGGCTGTGTTGTTAGTCTCGCAATATCACCACCATTCATGGATGTTCCACATTTAGTAGATAACGGCAGTACCCGGTCGAATTTATCCTAAACTACTAGTACGTACGTTCATCTATAAAAATTATGGGTCAAATTTGGGGGGGACCTTGAAGAACCAAGAAAAAAAAATCTGAAAGGAACAGGAGGTTCCCACTGCGGCTGATAGTGCTCCGAGGTTCCCGCGAACCCTCGATAGAAAAAGGATTCTTGGAAGAAGTCGTACATTATCATACCTTCAAGCGGGAGAAGACATAATGAAGCTGCACGCAAGACTGGGATAAGTAGGTAAAGAGTCCAGGCTCTTGCCAAGGGGGACAAAACGGGGAACAAACCAAGGAAATGTTCAACTCTCAGGCCTGTCAACTGCAGTCTGACGTCATCTACTATGGTTTGCCTGCTTTACTTGTAGACGTGGAATTACCACATCCATTTCTCTTAAATCTTCTCTTAAATCTCCCCCTTGGAATTATAGAAATCATTATTTCCCAAATGTCTGGTTTCATAGATGGATGAATCTGGTACAAAGCATGATAAGAACACGAGATATCTTTGGTAGATAATATAGAGATAGATATAGATAGATATAACTTGAACTAGATATGAGGAAAATCATCTAATCTCCATTTCTGTGACCAAAACTCGGTCGCATCGACTTAATGTAGGCAATAGTCGTAGTTCCGCTCCATGAGCTCCGGATTTCGCGGCACGTTAAGTGGAGACTACGGAGTGCATAGGTCGCTGCTAGGTCGATCCACCAGAAACGTTGACAAGATATCCCACAATTTCAATGCACTATGCATGTCACGGAGAAATTTCTGGGATCTTGGGATTTCTGCCCCTCCATTCCCACTAACCCTGTGTAGCCTCTAGAGGCTGAAAGGGGAAACCCGTAGAAAAATTAGTGTTCCGTCCCACAGAGGTTCAGTACTCAAGTTGTGCTTTGCCTCCTTACCTTCGAGTTGGAATTAAATCCGGTCAATTGATAAAGAAGAGCAATTGAATCAAGTTAATAGGAATACGAATTGCAATTGCGATAACGATTGCCTTGGTTCTGGGGCAAGATGTAAGTATGGTTCCATGGTTTGAAGGTTGCCTTTGGGGGCGATGATCAGGGCAGGACACATTGTGCGCGTTCTGGCCATCTATTGGATTACGAAATGTAAGGCCAGCAGAAAAAAGGGGGCCTCAGTGAATTTGCGACCGGGTAGCATTGATTCAAATGTTCACCTGGAGAGTATGGAGTACGTACATGTAGTTAAAGATCTAAACGAAATTAACCAATTCAGTAAAACTTGAACTGAAAGTACAAGTATAAACCCTCGGAGAAAGACATCCCATAAAATCTTGGTTTGATCCATGGGCCAATGAAGTGGGTAAGGGTGAAATCGGGGACTTGGACCTCTCCGCTAAGAGAAGGCTTTGATAAGGATTTTTTTTTCTAGTAGGTAGTACTACGATGTACTTCGTAATCCGTACTGATTTTTACTACTTCTTTTTAATCCTATACTTCCAAGGTTGATTAATCTTTCAGTCCGATCATTGCAAATTTCCCAATCTTGTTTTTAATTATGATGATATTAACATAACAAATCCCCTACTTTCCACCCTACATAAGAGAGGGGCTCCGCTTCTTTCTCCGGTCGCTGTCAGAGGTGATACAATTAAAGTACGTCAGTCCAGAAACAGGGAACACAGAGAGATAGCTTGAAAATAATGGGGGTAATACTGGGGCTAGTGACATATGAAGCGGAGCCCATCTCATACATTACATTTGTATAACGAGGAACTTGAACATGAAATCGAGATCATTATAATTCCGTAAGAAGATCATCCAACACCCTCGTGCAAATCCGCCACATGTTGCGGGTACATCGGAGTAAAAAATAAATAATAAAAAAACAAATGCAATAAAAATAAAATGATAAAATGAGAATAATTATTGGAAGTTTGATTCTTAGAGGTTCTAGACTATAAGGGGTAGGTGAGCTCTTATTGACTAGTAAAGTTTTAGTATAGCACTGAGTCATTATGTTATCCATTGACCTCAACTGTTTCATGATATACTAAGAATACTATGAACACATTGAAGGGAAATAATACTATGAACATTTTAGAATTGATATCATCCGGAGTACATAAAATAAAATAGAATAAAAAAAAAAAATAGTCAAAATCAAGTATTTTCTTGGAAGTTGACTTCCTTGTTCTCCACTATATACGCACTGACTCGATATGCAAAGCAGACGCACTTATGTTACCAGCGCTTAGTCTTTATTTATCTTTTTCAATCCTTTTTTTAATCTTTTTTTCCTTTTTTTTTGTTCCACTTTTTTTTGCCCCTACCACGACACTTGGACCACCTTTACGCAAATGGCAGGATTCCCTGATCTCTAGCTTTTTCGACTTTTCTACCTTTCTTCTTTTTCACAATTTTTTTTATAATCATTTCCTTCCCCCCCCCCCCTTTTAGACCATTGTGAACTTCCTTTTCACATTTGGATCTGGGGTTATTCCTATTTCGAGGGATCCGTGGGAATAACATTTCAATATCAAAGCTCTTATCAATTCGAAATGGCTATCTGATTCGCCCCTCCACATCACGACTTATCGGATACTTCTGAGGTACTGGGTGAGGTGATCATCGATCTGAATCATCCAATCCTATCATCCTCCTCTTTTTTTATATATATAATCCTTTTTTTGTATACGCTCGGATCCTTTCTTTTTTTTACATATCCTTTCTTTTTTTTATATATATATACTTGTACTTTTTTTGGAGGGTTCAACTTTACTACATTATTCCGTCGGTCTCGCCACTTCTCTTCCCCCACTTGGCAACTTCATACTACAGGTAAGGATTGATAAAGTTATCAATTTCCCTCTTTCACTCTTTCCCTTTTCTCTTCTTGTCTCGCAATTACAACATTGCAACATTTTGAACATTCGCCCATTGCCTTCTGGGCTAGTCACTTCATCCTATCCCGGTGTCACTTTAAGGGTGTTGTGATACCATTCACTTATACCGGTCCGCGCTTTCCTCTTACCATCTGGTCCCACCATCTGCATTTATCCCTCCATTGACCTCCATTAACCTCCCCACACCCCTGCCCATCTGCATCACAATTCTGGCGGGTACATGGTTATGCCCTCGTCTCTCGCCTCCCTGTTCCTCTGCACATCTGTTTCTGAGCGTCCCCCCCGACTTACACCTCGCCACCCGCTTTGGATTAAAAAGAAAAAGCATGAACTGACAGAGACCCATTGCAGCAGAACCCTGCCTGGATGTTTCTGCCTTGAAACCCTCTCACCTCGAGTATTCTGTGAATATCTCTCTCCCCTTCTTGTGTTGAGACACACAAGTCGGCCGGATGCCATACACTGCGCCATTGAAGTCGTTGCTCGCCGCGCAGCACATTGAACATTGTGATCCTAAATCAGACACACCTTCAGAACGACCGGCTCTGCCTCGTTCTGCTTCTTCCCGTCTGCAAAATTCCCGGTCTTATTCCTCTACCTCGTACGTTCGTCGACACAGAAGGAGTCCATCAATCTCCAAATCCCCCGTGTCTGCCCCGGAATCTCCGCGGTCACCAACAACCATTGACCCACATGCTAGTCTAAGACAGTCTCCACCTCCACTAAACCATGCTGCCATCCCACCAGGGGCGGTAATTTCACCCCCGGAATCCGCCCCCAACTCGAGTGATGAGGAATCACCTTGCAAAGCTGAGGGAATTAAGCTCGAGGAGCTGGAGGCAGCTGTGAAGGCCATCGAACAGCGACGAGAATCATCCCCGGAGAGAATGGGCCCAGCAAAAAAGACTAGAATTGAGGCTCGCCCCTCGTCGAGTCAATTACCCTCAACACCAACTTTAGACACGAAATCCAACCACCACCATCTACGATTATCAAAGGAGGCTCGCAAGATTTCACACTCACGGTCATCAACAGAATCTGCAATCACTTTGAAGCAAGAGCAAGCCCTGACCAGCTCCCCCGATGAGAGCGATGCAGAGGTCTCGCCCAAGCCACCCATGGTTCGGAAGAAGTCGGGTGAGCTGGTTCGGCCGGCCCTTCGACCTGCTTCGGCTCGGCGTCGCCCATCTAGCATGCCGGGCACCCCGGTCTATGCGAAAGCTGTGCATTTCGACTCACATCTAGAACACATTCGCCACTTCCTGCAACTCGACCGCCCATTGGCCGTCAGTGCCGAGACATCTCCCGTCGATAACCATGATACCGATGGGGAGTTCCCATTCGAACAGCAGGGACAGAATCAAACTCCCTCATGGGAGTGGGAAATTCGACTCAATAACTTTCCCAAGGATCAATCGGCTCGTGCCACCATTCCCGTTCGTCTTGAAAGATTGTTTCTCTCTGGCGATAAGAATGTGCTGGTCGGCTCGGTGGCTGTAGCAAACCTTGCTTTCTCCAAGCATGTGGCTGCCCGCTTTACTTTTGATTACTGGAGAACCGTCTCGGAGGTTAGTGGAGTGTTCTGTCACGATGTCCGTCGCAAGCAATCCTATGACGGATATGACCGCTTTTCGTTTGATATCAGGTTGGATGATCAGGCAAACCTAGAAAACAAGACTCTGTTCGTTTGCATTCGCTACACTGTTGATGGCCAGGAGCACTGGGACAACAACCAGGGGAAGAACTTCCAGATCGATTTCCACAAGGTGCCCAAGATCACCTCCAGCAAGCCATCTGGTGGATCTCGTCCTGCACTCCCTCGCAGTCGTACTTTCACTGGCTCGCACGCGCGTCCTCTTTCTATGCCACCATCTTTCGACGACTTCCCGGAGATAACAAAGAATGTCCCTTTCTCCAATCCCTTCGGCAACACTAAAGCTTCGCCACTTGACAAAACTTCAGCCGATATCGATACATGTGGACCTCCGAAACGTCGAGAAAAGCCAAGTCCTCAGGCATTCGGTAACCGATATGACTTTGGCGCCTCGTTGACTGCGGCTATGCGAACCAAGCCTCCTCTCGATCGAACTGCTCTGACAAACCGAGCACGCTCAGGCACCGCGATTCATTTGGATACAACTAGGCCAGTGGCGAAGGATTTTGCAATTTCGCAGGGCGAGTCTTCTGCTGTGAGCAATGCACGCGATGGAGTCCTAGCGGAAAATTTGAAACCTTCCTCACTGGTTTCTAGCAAGCCATGCCTCGAGTCCTCGGTTTACAAAGAGCTGGTCGATAAGTACTGCTTCGTAAGTTATACTCCTTCCCTTTCATTTTTTTATCTTACCTGTAATGAACTGTGACGCTAACTTTACCTTTTAGTATGGAACACAAAAGTCTTCGACCACGAAACAAACCTTTGCCGTGAATGTTCCTAGTGAAGAGGCTTCCAGGAAATTTCCTTCGGGGACTCCCTCGCCGCCTCTTTCCCCCGGATCACCAGCTCCTCTAGAGCCTCCCTCAACCGAGACTCCTCGTGAAGCTCGGGCGCTATCACCGGCTGCCATGAGCCCGCGAACCTCCCCACGTTCCTCACCGTCGCCTATGTCTCATCACTATTCTTATCGACAGACCTTACAAAATGGATTCTTCCCAGACCCTCAGTCGTCGCCTGTCATCAGAGGGTGAGTGACATTAGGATGCTCGATAACCATCTCGGAGTCAAGCTACTTCCTGCCTTCACCCATCCCCCAAGTTTTTCTTCATGAAATTAACTGTTTTCCATGAAGGGGGTTTGATATTTCCTTTCCATCCTTCACCAGTGGTACACACACAGCTTGGGTTGGCGCACAATGATTCTTAATACTTTTTTTCCTCGCAAAAGGTGGACCTCTCCTCTCTGAAATATTTTATGGCCCATCAGTGTCTTCGATGACATGGTCTCTATCAACCATCTGGTTTCTTGCGATGTAAAATAAACCGCGGGGCCTTTTGAGTGATTGTTGGCTGCGTTGGAGAAGAGCTATGGCCCTCGCATCGGGATAAACGATGGATGCGAGTTTGATGTGAAGTGGTTCCCTCGCCGTTTCCATCTATTGTTTTGATTACGCCTGATGATAACCACGATTCTCTTCTGTTCTTGTTTTCTCTTGGCCTTTTTTTTCTAATTTCGTCTGCTTTGCGTTCACATTGTTCCACCCCCTCGAGGCATCTCACTTCTCTCTGCCACACTGCAGATCTACCACCTTCTCGTCGAAAAAAAGTTTTAACATCGCCCGCCTCCTTTCCTGCATTTGTGTTCTTCTGCTCCTCATTGCGTGCATGGTGCTTTGGAGTTCGTTCTTATCTTTTTATTTTTCTCCTTCTACCAGTTCTTGTTCTCAGAGACGACATATTTGAATGGTTTCGCATGGGAAATACGATTCTCAAGATTGAGGATGCCTGCCGTAATTCGGTAACCACATGATCTTGACATCCTAGCATCATCAAGGATATGAATGAATGTGATTTTGAATTAAGGTCTGCCTTCAAGTAGAGTGGTAGGTCAAGTAAATTTCATTGAAGTTCATTAGTAAGTTCAAGTTTGGAGTGGGAAGTTCCCTTTAATAGATGCTAGGTCCATAAACTATAATATAAGACTATCGTGCAGAGAATACATTGTCCCATAATTAGGACTGTTGACAATCCCTTCGTATGTTTACTGTAGATCAGAATGGATACCTTGCAGATATTTCTACATAGATGTTGTACTCCGTATAGTTCCAAGGTTCCCGTAGAATGCGGAATAATTAAGTGTGGCGGGTGCTTATCGGAACTCTTATCAACCACGTGACACTATTGTCTGGCATTATGGTTTCCAGTATTATGACAAGGCACTGACAATGGCCCCAGATAGTGCTTGCAATCCAGCCCTTCATAACGCCCTTTTTCCTCCCAGCCCGTCTACCAATCACCGCCGCATTGCAGAATGCAAAACTTCTGGCTTACCTAAACCTACCCCCGACCCCCCAAATCACGCGTAGTCATCCACGTATTTAATTCCCGCTATTCCCCCTCTCTTTAGGCTCTCTTTTTTTCTTTCTCTTTTTCATCTTCTTCCCTACCATCGACACGTCTCGCATACATCTATCAACCACTACAACTCCCCATCCAATCTATCAATTTCCTCAACTCTGCCAATATGTCTGGACGTAAGTAATTCATCTTTTTATTGATGATTCTCTTCATATTCGCGTTCGTTGTTCTTTTCAAGTTGTTGTGTTTCTCGTGGTGATGTTGAAGTTGGTGATGCCCCTGGCATGTAATTGGTGGCGACTGGCTCCGATCTTGGGGCCTCAGGCCACCATGCATCTCGGCCCTTACCCGATTAGGCAACCCTTCTACTATATACTTCCACCTTAACATGACCTTACCATCCTTCATACTCTTACCTCCCTATCCCCCTATCCTTTGTCTTTGTTTCGTTCTATTGCTGTAACATATCAACATATCCGTCGTCATGGAATACTAACATCCGATTACAGGTGGAAAGGGCGGAAAGGGTCTCGGCAAGGGCGGCGCCAAGCGTCACCGCAAGATCTTGCGTGACAACATCCAGGGTATCACCAAGCCCGCTATCCGCCGTCTCGCTCGCCGTGGTGGTGTCAAGCGTATCTCCGCCATGATCTACGAGGAGACCCGTGGTGTCCTCAAGTCCTTCTTGGAGTCCGTCATCCGTGACGCTGTTACCTACACTGAGCACGCCAAGCGCAAGACTGTCACCTCTCTCGACGTTGTCTACGCTCTCAAGCGCCAGGGCCGTACCCTTTACGGTTTCGGTGGTTAAATCGACTCGTCTTCTCGATATGGCTCGTCGGATTCCTACCGGCTTTGCCTTCCTTTTAACGCGCTCAACGGTGTGATGGTTGTTTTTTTCTTTTTGTTTATGGGATACTTTGAATACCTTTTCCCCTTGGATGTTATGGATTATTGGGTTTATGGTTTGGAAGGTTGGGGTTTCGATGGATTTGTCTTTTTATGCGACATGGTCGCTGGGTTTGGGTTAGCTTTGACAGGCTCGTGGAGCTAGAATGAAACGATTGCCTAGTCTATTGTTCCTGGATTATCTGCATCTAAATGTAAATTCTACCTAGTCGGTGCCCTGATCGTAGTCTTGGTGGCATGACTTCAATTACTAGGACAGTATGTAGAATGTCTCCAGGTCTGTCGTGTATAATCACCCCGCACGGACCGTGTGATCGGCATGATGTAATCGATCCACTACCTCGGCCATGCAAGTACATCTTTCACATTCATGCCAACACTCCTGATTCTTGATCGACCCATCGTACGATTCGACTTTCATTTAGTTCTTGGCGATGTGAATCCACCGGTATCAATAGTCCAAGCTACATTCTCGAGCCTGGAGCACGAATCCATCTACAAATCCCGCTCAAAATTCATCGGTCGGAAGTAAGCAAGCCGTCTTCCAAGGTTCTCCTTGAATCCTCAACGGTCATCAAAACAGCATCATCATGGCAGAATACAAGCTCTCCTACGAATCCCAGCTGGTGAGCCTATAATCTTGTCCACATCTATGTCAATTAATTCTGACTTACATCTAAAAGGATGCATTCCACCCCTCCTATCGCTGGGAAAGCCACGACCCAAGCGAGGACTGGAAATCGAAAGCCCTCCGTGGTCCTGCCCTCCCAGTCCTCGGAAATGCTGTCGCTGGTGCCGTAGGCTCAGCCGTCTCTAACGTCGTCGTCTACCCACTCAACGTGATCGTCGCCCGACTACAAACACAACAGAGGAACAAAAATAAGACAAAGGATGATGAAATCATAGATGATGAGGAGGAAGAGGTACAATCCGGTATTTTCGACGCCGCACACAAAATCTATCTCCAAGAGGGCCTTGCGGGTTTCTATCCAGGCTTAGCACAGGATACCTGCAAATCAGTCTTGGATTCCTTTCTCTTCTTTCTCGCATACACGATTGTTCGTCAGCGCCGAATAATCGCACGGGTTGGTCCAGCTCGCGCAGCAAGGAATAAGAATATCGTCTTGCCTCTCCTCGACGAACTCGCTATTGGGGTTGTGGCAGGATCTTTCTCTAAGTTATTTACTACCCCACTAGCAAACATCGTCACCCGGAAACAAACTGCAGCTAGCAAAGATGGAGCTTCGAGCCTGTCTACAAGGGAGATAGCAGCGCGTATCCGGAAAGAGAAAGGTATAGCTGGGTTCTGGTCTGGATACTCGGCTTCGCTTATCCTAGCGCTCAACCCCTCTCTTACTCTTTTCCTGAATGCACTGCTGAAGCGTATTCTTCTCCCACGTTCAAAACGGGATAAGCCCTCGCCTGCTATCACATTTTTACTCGCGGCTTTGAGTAAGTCTGCTGCGTCGTCGGTTACGTATCCGTTTTCGCTGGCGAAGACACGTCTTCAGACTATGAGTGGCTCGAAGGGTGAGCAGACTCCCGGTACGACGTTGAAGTCGAGGACGCTTCTTTCTGCTCTGATGCCTCAGATTATAACTACTGTTATTGCTATCGCTCGAGTGGAAGGTATCTCTGCTCTCTATTCTGGACTCCAGGGTGAGGTGTTGAAGGGATTCTTCTCTCATGGGTTTACCATGCTGGCAAAGGATGCGGTTTACGGATCTATTGTCAAATCTTACTACATGTTCCTCGTGCTCTTGCGTCGGTACCCTTCGCCTGAGGAGTTGATTGAACGGGCGCGCGAGCAGGCGGAAGAGTATAGGGAGATTGCGCTTGAAGGCGCTCGTGATCTTGCTGAGAAGGTCAAGGAGGGTGCTGAAGATGCCTTGGATAGCCATTCTGGAGGTATTTCTGTGGATATGACCTCAAATACGGCTGCTGCGGTAGCTGCTGTGGGTCAGGATGCTAAGTATGGTGTTGATGCTTCCTCCGGTCTCAAGGTACCTCCCGTACCAGATGAGATCAATGAGACTGCTGAATTGGTGGGAGACTATGTTGAAGACGAAGCAGAAGAATGGAAGAGTTTCTATCATTGGTTCTGGGATAAGGATCGAGGACATAAAGAATGAGTGCGTGAAGCAGACACATATAGTATAAGTAGATTGTATTTTTTCTCACTTATTTTCTCCTCTCCAAATACTTACTACCTTCGAGCTACTTGTGATTTACAGCGTGCATGTATAATATCCTGTGAATATGAGATTAAAATTCTCTGTCAACTCATCAACATTCAACTTTACTAATATTAAATCTATCTCAGTATGACAGGGCAATCTTAAGCACAATCCAATACAACATCAAAGTAACAGAGGTATCTCAAATGTAACCCAAATCCATATTTGTATAACCGAAATCAACCCAACGCAATGCCCAATACCTCGAAAGCACCAGGGAGAAAAGGAGATTCAGCATCAGAGAAACCACTCAAGGTTCTTCAACCCGCCAAGTGGTTTCACCAAAAATTCCCCCAGAGCCCCATAACAAGTAGGGAGTATAGGATATCAAAACTCGCCAAAACAAAAAAAGAGAAAAAAACCAACAGATCCAACCTTGGAAGTATAGCACTTTGTGCTATACAACGAATCTCCTTTTCAATAATACCTCATCAAGACCACATTTAATGTCTCTTGCGCTCAGAACGCTCAGAACGTTCCTCCTTAGTCGTAAAAGCAGCCTGAAGCTCCTTCTTAGCCTCCAAAAGAACCCAAATAGGCACAAAGACCCAAAGGGTATTAAAGAAGAAAAGGTAAAACCAAAGGTAAACAGGATTATCCGTAGCCAACTGCGACGAACCAGTCAACCACTCCGGCGCAAAGGTCATAAACCCACCATAGAGCTCCGCAGTAGCAAGAATAGTAGAAACAAACCACAGCATAGACTTAGCCTTGCCACGCGCCTGTACTGGAACCTTGCTATTTGCCGACTTCACAATCAAGTAACAGATATAGATAGCAGCTGGTCCACCCAGGAACACTGTAAGGAGTTCCAGGGAAACAACGTTGATATCTGCGCCGGCCCAGCGACGATCTGCTTTTGCGTATTCTTGCCAGAGACGCGCGAAGGGTCCGGTTCCGTATGCGGGGCCGTAGATTCGGTCAGGTCGGTTAAGGAATGAGGGATCTGTAGAGTGGATTCCTGCGACGGTTGTGTAGCTGAAGAAGCATTCGTAGAGAAAGGATCCTTCGATGAAGAGGTGGGTTAGGGCATCATAAGCGTGCCAGATGAATAGGAGGCGGTTGCGGAAGTGAGAACGTGGGACTAGATAGTCGGCGAGGTAGTATGCGATTGGCATGAATGAAAGAGAAAATGCCAGACTGAGGACTGTGGGTAAGTCCAGGACAAATGGTTCGGATGCCATTTTGGAGCCTGGGGGACAGTGGCCTTTGCAGAATTGTTGTTCGGGGGGTGGTTGGAGGTTTCTGTATATGGTGTTGAAGAGGAGCTGAGGAGATTGGAGTTAGTTTAGGGGGAAATGTGGAGCTTTTTATTTTTTTGATTCTTGTGGAGCTTGAACTGAGATGATCGACATGGGGGGGGGGGGATTGCGGCCCGATGGGTGAGGTGTCTGTTTCAAGGTTCCTTTGTGTGGGGAAATTCATTCAACTTGAACTTACCACTCCAACTGTTGTAGGACCTTGATGTCTCTTAATGAATGGGATAATTGGTGATGCTCGATCGGAAAGTCCAGCAAATCTAGGGATTGGATTCTTGATGGCTGGGAAGAACATCACTGGCATAGGGTCAGGCTCTAGGAACATATAAGTAGTCAAAACCACATGTGCGGCGTGCTACTACTAGTAGATATGACAGGTTCTTAGAGAAATAGTATCAAAAAGATCATCAGAGACGTGGCTTCGGTTAAGTATCTTAAAAGTGGACTTATTTCCATCATGGTGTTCTATTTTTTGCAACATCTTTGGATGGTTGAGACAAAAGGCAAAGATATGGTCACTGTGTTCAAAGCAATGAATGTCCCTTGAATTCCGGATTGAGATTTAGTGTATTTTTGTCAACTCGATAGTCTTTCACGGGGACGAAGTATTCCTCAGCATTTCTTTGTCTCTTTGATGAAAGCAATGAACCCTATATGGTGGCGTTGACAATGAAAGAGACAAAGCATATGAATAACTTGGAGGTCTATATCATCGGAAATCTTGGAACAGAGCTCCTCTTTCGTAGACGGCATATCTCTTTTGGGTTAACTTCGAGGCTGTATCATCTTTTGCCTTCAGGCAGCCAGTTATTGTGCTTCGAGTTGGATTCAAGTTCTCAGACTTATCATGCATAAAGGCCCATAGTACTCAACCTGCATTAGTTGATACATGTCTCATCCAGGGTTGTGTGAAGTATCAAGCTTGGTTCCTGAGCCGTTTTTTGAGGAGCATTGTCATATTGCTGAAAGTCACCAGAGAATTGATAAGAATATTTTCACAGCATAAAGAATCTTTCGAGATGAGACAACTTCCAGGTTGACTATTCCAGGCTATACAAGCGGGCCGTTGACAAGATTGTGGGACGAGTGGAACATATGGGCTGAAGCGACCGTAAAAATAATGATTTGCTGACGCGAGATCAACTGGACTGAATTGATAGAGTAAATTGTAAATTAAAAAAGGGGAAAAAATGCAAAAAGAAACTCTCCCTCGGGGAATCGAACCCCGGTCTCCCGCGCTTATCGGTGTTAATGACAAGCGGAAATCATGACCACTAGACCAAGGAAGATGAAATAGTCGAGTTCCACTCGACCACTTGGGGTGGTTGATGTCTGTTTTGCAACTTTTAGCATTATAAACCCATCGTCTCCTCACATACCACTTCCAACCTTCAAGTTGGACATTGTAGGTTAAATGACTAGAGTGATCACTGGCATTTGGCTCAAAAATAGATCGACTGAAATCTTGGTCCAACTAAATAAATATTTATTGATCACTTACAAGCCTTGATATCTGCCAGTGATATGTCCTGCAGGCGCAGGGGTCATAGGACCCGGGCATAATAATAGCCCTGCTGCGCGCCCCGGTCCGCTTGACCCAGTCATCTTTTACGATCATCCTGCACCTGGGATTCGTGCCCTTACCCGTGGACTAACATTGACAGATACGAGCACCATTCATCTCAAGCCACGTCTTCGTACCTGGATGTTAATTCGTAATCCACTAATTTGGGATCGGGGTAAGGCACTGGGTTTCGTGTAGAGCTATCGATCTTTCACACTAGTTCCATGATATATATCACCCTGAGGCTCATGCTTGGATAAATTGAAGATGATATCCCGGGTCTTTACCCATTCGAAGGGATTAACTCGCCCCACCAAATTCCTAACATGAATACTCAGAGGTCATTCTAAACGCCCGAGTGATAGATCACCCGGGTGGTTGTTGAGACAAAACTTGGAATCGCTTGGCACGTGTAAAGCACCAGGCGGGCGCGCTCGTTGATTTATAATGCTGCGACCTCCAGCCTGGAGGCAAACAAATAATTTATTCACATATATCTTCAAATTGAAACACAGACGGAGTGAGATTCTCATAATCCAGAAAAATTCGAATCCTTTACCCTGTTCATCATGGAGGCTGGATAAGATATCTGGACTTCGTTATACTCTGACTCTGCACTTGAAAATCCAACTGCCTCTCCTCTCTAGTGAACACACTAGCATTTACCATCACAAAATTTGACCGCGATCTTTGAACTTGAGAATATTGAATTTTGGAAACCCTCCGAGATCAACCTGAAGGTTTTTATAATGCTGAACCGTCACCACCGACGACACCACTCCTGGCCCCACTGCGGCTCCGAGCTATGCAGACGTGCCCCATCCAACCTAGAAGTACGTATGCTCAGACCAAGGAACGAAGCTGGACCCCAAGAAAATCAACTCTGGGCGTTCCAACAAAGCGCTGTACCCCTTATCGCTGAAGAAGTCATTGACAACGACGATGCCGAGATGGCAGGTATAGTGAGAACTCCATCAAGAAGCAGCGTACATCGACTCTGGTCGCGTCCTCCGCAGAAGCAATGGCCAAATGAACCCGAAGCATCGACATCCACACCTGAGGCTCGGAAGCAGGTTCATCGCAGTGTTTTGCGACGCCTTATCCGTCGACCCCCACTTGATAAAACTAGATCCTTGTTTGTCATGCCGACCATGATGACTGCAGGTGATCGTGTCATGATTTCTGGGTGGATGCCTCCGAGATTATCGGCGAGACCGGTCATAGTGACTGATCCGCGGGGAACTTTCTCGGTGGCTGATTCGAGGCAGTTTGTTAAGGAGAGGAGGCATAGGAGGTCTCATTCTGAGCAACCGCGATCGTGGAGGGAGCCGAGTGCGAGTCTTTGGCCGTTGAAGGAGGAGTGAAATTTCTAATATGCTCTGGGACTTTTGTTTTTCGTTTGTGATGGATGATCGGTTTATTGGATGGAATTTTGAAGATGGAGTTTATATTTTGCTTAAATAGTGCGTACAATAAAGTGAATATTGGCTGGTCCAGTGTCTTCCAAAATTAAAACCAGACAAGACATCTGGATAATCGAAATTATAAATTTATTTCAATATTTAGATAGATTATAAGAAATATAGTTGCACTTAGATGGTCAAAGTGGCCTCAAGAGGAAGATCTCTGCTGTTACGACCAACATAGATCTTGTATGTCCCACGCTGCAAGAGCCACTCCTGCGCATCGATATCCCAAGTACTCAAGTCACGACGAGTCAAACTGAAAGTCACAGTAGTGGTCTTTCCGGGGTTAATCGAGACCTTGGAGAATCCACGAAGCTGGCGGATAGGTCCATTGGGAATACCAAGGTAAAGCTGAGCCACCTCCTGGCCACTGACGTTACCAGTGTTCTGCACCTTGGCGGTGACAGTTACCAGGTCATCAAAGAGACGGGGGTTTCCACCTGGAAGAATTGAGGCGCTCGCTGGGTAGGAGGTGAATGAGGAAGAACTCTTCGAAACCTTCAAGCTAGAGTAACCGAAAGTGGTGTATGACAGACCGTAGCCGAAAGCATACTGAGGCTCAATATCATACTTGTCAAAGTAGCGGTAGTCGATGTAGACACCCTCAGTGAAGTCCGACTGAGGGAAGTACTCGTAGATTCCTTCAGGCTCGGAAGGCTCAAGAACAGAGCCGTAGTCGGACTCGTTCTTAGCGACGGTGTAGGGAAGTCTGCCAGAGGGGTTGGAATCTCCGTAGAGAATCTCCACCAAGGCCCGACCGGTGTCCTGGCCAGGAAGGTGGGCGTAAATGATACCAGTCACGTTAACGTGGTCAACCCAAGCCTCGACGGTGCGGATTCCAGCGTTGTGGATAACGACAATCGTGTTAGCGCAGTGATCCGCAACATTGGTCACGATCGCGTCACTGTAGGTGTCGGAGAGTGCCTGACGATCTTCACCCTCAGTAGCATAGGAGTTGATAAAGACCAAGCACACGTCGGAAGTGTAGTCAACAGAAGGAGCCTCAGAAGTGAAGTCCCAGAGAACAGAAGAGCCATCATCATAGGCTCGGCGTTGGATGGCGCTGATAGGGGCATCGACATAGGCAGGTGAATTAGCACCAGAGCCGCCACCAACCCACTGAGTTCCATTCTGATAGAGGGGTGATCTATCTGTAGAAAAGTCATAGTAGGTGGTAAGATCGACTGCCATAGGAGTGTAAGCATCGTAGCCGAAAACTGAAATCAGCTTGGGCGATTTAAGAGGGAGCGCGTTGTTGGTATTCTTAACCAAAACGTGGCCTTCAATAGCTGCCTGAAGAAGGACAGGCTTGGCCGCTTGGGAGGTTGCGATCACTGCTTGATGAGCTGCAGGTCCACTGCTAGGCATACCGACACCAGGATTGGGGAAAGCAGAGTCCTGGTCTAGATAGTACCATGTGGCCATAAGTCTGCCAGATGATAGTTATTAGTGTTGGAGCAAATCTGGTCGTTTGCTTTTCCTGACATACCTGGTAATCATGTCATCCAGTCGGGACGCCTCCATGGTTCCATTTGCGATAGCAGTGATCAGATTGTTGCCCCAGACACTGGAAGAAGGCATCACAACGTCCAGTCCAGCATTGGCACTAGCAATACCTGCATGTTGAGCAGCCCAATCAGTAACAACGTATCCTATTTGATTTCAGGTTAGACGTTAATTCAAATAAAAGGATAGATACTGCATACCTTGGAACCCAAGCTCAGTCTTCAGCAAGCCATTTAGAGACTTGCTGTTCTGGCACGCATATGAGTTGTTCAATCGGTTATAAGAGCACATAACGCAAGCAGCTCCAGCAAGAACAGCATCTTGGAAGGGCCACAGATAGAGTTCGTGAATTGTCTTATCATCGATGTTGGAAGAAACTGACTGGACTGCATGGCCATCAGAGTCAGTGCTTGGGTTGCGGTTCGTTTCTTGTTCGTTTCCAATAAAATGCTGCTCAATAGTCAGATGGCGAAATCCAAAGTCACATATTTTGCTCCTACACGTACCTTGAGAGAAGTGGCAACATTTTGAGACTGGAGACCCTTGACAGACTCAGAGACCAGAATTCCACTGAGGTAAGGATCATTGGAAAAGCCTTCCCAGTTACGGCCACCGAGAACAATATGACCGAGAGGGCCCACGACAGGACCGAGGATCATGTTGACGCCCTTGGTCCGGAATTCCTTGCCCATGTATATACCTCGGTCATTTGCAAGATCAGCGTTCCAACTGGCTGGATGTTAGCATCGATGAACTTCCAGGGAACTGTTGAAATCTCAAGAAAACCCACCTGGCTCCAACGGAGATTCCCGAAGCCCAACCATTGACATAGTCGGTTCCTCTCTTGAACGAAAGTCAGTCCACACTTCTTGGAAATAATAGAAGAAATGCATAGTGAACAAACATTCTGTTACTTACAAGACCATTTCCAGCATCACTGACACACATACCAGGGAATCCCAAGCGGTCAATAGCTTGGATAAATCCTGAGCATCCCGTCTTTGAGGTAACACCGGAAGTCAGGTTGACCTTCTCATCATCCGAAAGCTTTGCAACTAATGCTTTAGCTTTCTGGTAGGCAGACTTCCAGTCCCCAGCACCAGTTCCCTCAGCTATTCAACACGTTAACTATGTTTCCAACACAAGATAGGTTTTCACATACGAGTTGGATAGACTGCGGGAGAGCCTCCATAAAAATAAGTGTCACTTGTGATTACATCCTCAGCTACTGAAACAGTACTGAAGGCAAGACTCAGCAGGAGGCCTGCCTTTGTGAATGAGTTTAGCATCCTGAAGAGAAGAAAGAAGCTGATCTACTACACTGAGCTTTCCGTTGAAGAGACATGGCAGGAATCAAGCCCCTTTTATGCCATTTCTCGACGGCACTACTGCACTCAGTCTCGCGTGTCTGAATGAGGCCCACAAGGAAAAAACTTCATTCTTCCCCACATGTACGTACGACTTCCCATAGAAGATGACTACAAGACCTGCATCATGCGTGTGTAGATGGCCTATCGGCCCCGTGCGCACTCCAAGTGGCACTAGTGAGGTAGTACCAGTCGGATTGTGACCTTAATGTCGGGTATACATCGGGCAAATGCAACAAATCTCCTCTCATCCAGCCAAAAGTGGCGCCGAGAAGGAAGGCTCCTTCTTAAAGTCCATACTCCGACTTGGCAACCAGGCTCGAAGAAGCTTCAAGGTGCGGAGTGAGTTTGTTATTGGGTGCCGTGCGCCGAGTGGCTTGATACTAGAAGTAAAAGAAGATTGGAAAATGGAAGCGAAGCTAAAAGTCATTGCATTTATTTGTCTGATCACGCGCATGGTGGACTAGATTGCGGGAAATCTTCCCCACGGGGCTACTGTAATCGGATCTTCCGAACGACAAATGCATTGATAAGCAGAAACATATCGAGATAGAGGTGCCCAGTCCTGCAGACTACTGCGAACACTCGCGTGCATTCCAAGGATGTGGTATACCCCTCAGGCCCCAGGGTGAGATGAAAAGAATTAGCGTAGTTTGGATAAAAGGTGCCACTCCATAGTATACTGGGCAAATGTGGGGGACCTCACCCGGGGCCATAAATGCCGGGGCACGCTAGTACTGGAATGAACCCTTAAGGGGTCGCTGTAATTTGCCATGACATTTAGCGGGGCTCTAATTTTATCCAAATCCGTGACTCGTACTCGTATGTCTGCAAAGGAATCCTGAAGGAGAGCTGACATCTGGAATGTGCAAGGTCTGTCCAAGGTGCGAATCTGGGTGTAGACATGTTACCCATAAAGCACCCGCGGATAGTGTACATAAAACAAAGTTATGCATCAAGAAAATTCAAGTGGGAGAATCTTGGAAATTGGATCATAGAATTTTCCATGCCCAGATGCCAAGATTGAGCGTAACTTGAATGTCACGGACTCAGGGTACTAGTAATTGCGGGGCTTTTGGGCTGATACTCTATATCTACTCTTGCCCCGAAGTCGGCAGTCAAACGCTCAGACTTTTGGGCGCCCCGAGATCATAAAATGAATCCTCTTCAAGATACTAGTAGAACCAAATTTCCCTTTTTGAGCGCTTTTCATGGCGTTCAGCCACTTTTAGCGGGCTGAAGGTGGGGCTCTCGCCTTGATTTGCCGTCTTATGTACATGGTTTTGTAGAGACTAGTATACTCCGGAAATCCCAATATTCTGGAAGGTATCGAGAGCAGGTTGAATCACGAGAAGCTCTATAATCTGTTGGTTAGATTTGCAGAGCTGATTTGATCGATCGAGCCAAACCTGGGACTTGAAAAGATTTGAAAAGCTTCGGCACTTGTAAATAAAGACCAACCCCGTTCACCGGCCGTTGATTCAGCCACTTGAATCCACCCAAAAGACCCCAAGAACATCTCTGCTAGCTGTTTGTGCATGTACCATGGCGGGAAAAGATATTTGCCGCCACGAGTCCTACCTACCTATCACAACCTTAGAGGAAAAAGACGTTCCCTTTCTAGCAGTATCACCTCTCGCATCTTGAGTCAGATGAGTAATAACCAAGACATGCAGCAGGGTACTAGAGTATTTGTAAACTAGTGCTGACTCTTGAAAATTTCAAAGAGATGAATATTCAAGTTTAGAACTTGGGACTACTGGTCCACCGTCCGTGTAGGATCACCACACATCTCACATTCTTCTCTCCTCTCTCGAAGAACACTTTTCCTTTCTCAAAAAATATGAAGGGAGCTACAAGTAACATGCTTTTGTCAGAAAAAGAACCCAAAGATTTAAATTGGCAACAACTTCAAATGGCTTGTTTAAGATCATGATAAAGATGCCTAAGGGATAAATGACACCTGAACAGAAAAACCGGTCAATCTAACTTGATATTCAAACAGTAATCTCCTGTTGTCGTAGCCACTCCAAAATCTCGTTCAGCCTTTGTGAATGGCTTAGCATGACCCAATGACCTGACGGGATATCCTCGGTTTGGAGGTGGGGAACATAGGATTTCATCGCTTCCACCACCTGTGCAGTGATTGTAAAATCCTCTGTCGGGCGAACAGATAAAACGGGACACTTTATGATTCCTCCTTCCAACCCTTGAGCAATGAACAGCTCATCGCGAGAGTTTTGATCCCACATGCGATAAAGGTTACCTATAATTCGTTAACTCGATGTATCATTGCGCAGAAAGAACTGTCTTGCATGGACATCGGAGCCCAGTGCGAGAGAACTCATCTATATAGTACTCCATCATCTCTTCCTCTTCAAATATCTTACTGAGAGATAGCTGTGAGCTAAGCTCGAAATCAATCCCTTTTGCCGCAGTGATTGCCTTCTTCCCATACTGAGTGAGGCCACCAAATAAGGGGTTCAGGAAATTCCAGATACGTTCTCTGGTCTGCGTATGTTTTTCAATCTCGCCATCTCCGCTGCAGAATTGAAGCATGTATTGGAAAGATGGCTGTAACTTCACGAGAGTGGGCAGGCTGATATGTTGTTGCGAAGGTGGAAAATATGGAACACCGAGTAGGATAAGATGAGTGACGAAGTCAGGGTAATAGAGCACGATGCGAGAAGATAGCATGAAGCCACTGTTTATTGTAGCTTAGCCTGTATTTTTTCCGTCTTGATATTGAGCGACATACCAGTCATGGCCTGCAAGGATGATGCTCTCGCAGTTGAGGGACTTTGCTAGAAGACACAAATATTCGGATTGTGATTTCCCAGGTGCCAACTGAACAAGTTAATATCACTTGTCGGAGAGTCCTTTGTTGTGTTAGTTTTTCATCTGAACGTTAGCTACTGATAGCCAAGAATTACAAGAAAGTACTTACCGATCGCCCATATCCAGTCCCATTGAAAGATCTGGAAATCCATGGATCTTCGTGATTTATTGACCAATGTGTCTCGGAATCGGTTCGCAAATTTTATCTATACCTTAACAGAAAGATCGTGTTGGAATACTTCGCTGGTTCGGTATACAGGTAGCCTATGATACGTTAACATTTGCGCCGCGGGCGTCAAATGGCGGAGTTACATACTATTTGTCCACGGGTGCCACCCAGGGGTTCCAAAATATGTACCCTATGTTTTCTCATTGATTATCGCACTCAGCCGCAGCCAGTGAATGCGTGGATCGTTCAGTCCGATCTTCTCGGTAACTTTGTCCATATTGGAGATCGAAGGATGCATGAGCATGACTCGAATCAATGCAAGTAAGATGGAGCTATTTAAGTGTCTTACGGGCAAGATCCATGGCATTGGCTAATGAGTGGGGAAGAAGCGGGTTATCTTAACAAAGAAAAGCAAGGAGGGGTCACGGTTCAAAGCGTTTCGGGTTACTCCGTTCTGGTTTCCGGGCACAGCTACAAGATACGGCTACTTAGACATTGAAGAACGGTGCAGAAGGATACATAAATAAAACTATTCAAGTTATATACTAGTCAGAAAATAGAATGTATTCACCTGGACAATATACTATTCTCTAATATAGAAATGTGCGACATCCTTTGCTAGTCTTCAAGTTCCAAAACTTGCACCTCACGCCGACGACTCCCATGTTTTGTTCATTTGTTTGAAATGAAACTCGATTTAAGAGGAAGCAGGCAGCTTGCAGTTCGCAATCCACAGAATTCAGAAACTTGCATGCTGATTTCATTGCTGAATGTGATTAACTGTGGGTCCTTTTTCCTCCGATGTTCGCCCCGATCGGGTCGCTTGCTCCTGTCGACTAGCTTCAGCCTCTAGCATCATCATTTCTCTATATCGTTTCATAGTAGCACTAGCATCGGCCGCATAGTGACAGCGCTCCCGGATCCAGGGGCCATATCTGTGCAGCAAAAGTGGCATAGGCAGACATGCCAAAGCGAGAAAGGCCGGTATTGACGCGGCCCAGTGGAGTCCTAATTTCTTATACATTTCGCCTGTGAAGAGTGGGAAGGCTGCCCCAAAGATACAGCGCAAAACGGAAGTTGATGCCATGGCTGAGGCTGCATAGATGGTATATGCGTCGACAAGATAGTTCAAAACAGCTAAGAACACTGTAAGCATGCCAAACCCAAATGGCATACCTGCTATAACTGGAACAGCCCAATGGATCGAGGGGGAGTTTGTCCATGCAAACATGAAAAGACCAACGGGTAGAGCGACTGCACCCAAATACCCGTCGGGTAAGCGAGCTTCCGGTAGCAGTGGAACACTTGATTCCAGCGTCTTCTTTCTGTACTGGAAGTACATTGGGATAGTGTATGCGGTGCCAATCAAAATTCCCACCATCACACCGATAAACGTAAGGCCTGTTGTACCCTCATCCCATCCACGCCCAATCTCGAAGACTATTGGGTAGGCGGCAAAGAGCATATAGAGTGTACCATATATGATGGCGAGATACAAAGATAAGAGTAGCACGATTGGCTCACGAAACAAGAGAATCCAAGGTCGTGATAAGGCGATGCCGAGTTTCTTGCTCATAGGAATCTTCTTTTGGCTCAAGTCCAGACCACTCCGGTAGATCTGACCGGTAGTTCTTGATAATAGTTCAGCCCGCTTGGCTAGAAGAGCAGGTGCGTAGGTCTCAGGTAAGAACAGGTACATGACTAACAACATGGTGCCTGAGAGTCCAGTCAAAAGCCATTCAACCGCGCGCCACCCTTTTGATTGGGAAAGATAGCCTCCAATAATCGGCCCTAGAGCTGGTCCTATAAAGGGTGCGGCTCCATACAAGCCAGCTGCAAGCCCTCTTTCAACGGCTGGAAACAAGTCAACAATCACTCCTCCTGCTATGGCTAGAGGCGCCGATCCAAAGCTGCCACCCAGGAAGCGAAGAGCAATGACAGACTCAATATTTGGAGAGACTGCTACACCGGCTGTTAAAGCCGTCAACGCGATGGCGTTGAGAAGGAGTAAAGGACGACGGCCATAGGTTTCACTAAGCGGCGCCCAGAGTAGAGGCCCAACAGCAAAACCGACAACGAACATCGAGACACCAACCAATGCAAGCTCCTGGCTTGTATTAAAATCTTGAGCCAACTCAACCATTCCACCGGTGTAGGCTGAGGATACAAGAGCGACGACCATAGCTGAAAGCGAAACGATGACTGTGATGGTCCATTTTGAGGCTCTGCTAAAGTTGAGTGGATTGTGCGGGTCATCGGCAAACCAGCAAACAACGTATGGTTCATCTTTAGTACCAGATCCTGTGTACTGGTGGTTGTTAATCCGTTCGTTGAGAGCAGCGTTGAATACCATGCTCCACAAGGGAGATCTAGAACAGCCGACGGCCTCGTCTGCCCGGGTTTTTGTCATTTGGAGTTGCTAAGTCTTCTAGCCTGAAATGTCTCTGCGACTTTGACGTTAGTATTACGCATCAAACAGACCAATATTGCGTTGTCGTACCATTTCTCAAAAGGGGTGAATGTGAGAATAGGGATGCAAAGAGGGATTGAGAGAATAGCTATCAGCCTTACCACACAGTTCCTCCCATTTTACATCACGAAACGTGATAGGAACCAAATCAGGTCTGTGTCTCATGGAGAGTGGGCAGCCAGGTCTTGCGAACCAATGTAAGGGTCAAATGTGATTTCATTGGATGTGACACATTCCTTGCAGCTGGAATGCACAACATAGCCCGGAATATAAGGCAACAAATACAGGCAACTTAGACCAATCAAGAGTCAGGAGTTGTCGAGTTTTACATGAGCATTTAAAAAGCTGAATGAATATGAAATTTTCATACTATTCTTGGCAGCACTCAGTACTCCCCGAAGGTGAACAGATGTCTTTGTGACCTCAGAAATCAGGATTAACCAGGGGGTGATTCAAACTTAAATGCTCACTTTTTATGAGGATTCCAGGCCACTGCCATATAATAATAAAAGCACTTGAGTTCTTGAAAATCGAGAGCGTATCTCATTTTAATAAATTACTCCCTACTGAGTACAATCCCCCAAAATGAAAGAATATCAACTGGTCAATCTGAACACGGAGTACGCTAAACCTTTTCAGGTTATATCAACGACACCTGGACACCTGGTTCCAGCCCCCAAATATTGCGCACCATTTATTTTATAAAGATCATCAGAATCTTCACATGTTTGTGCATTGCGGTAGCTAGAACACCCTGGCTCATGGCTAATGATATATGCAAACAATCGCTGGCGGGACGAGGATAACATTTGAATGCATACGAGGATCGCCAACCACGTCACGAAATGCTGATCTGAAGATCGACTCTACATTTACATTATCGCCACAGTTGATTTTGAAGCCCATCAATTCTTACCATGTCGACGACAATCTCTAAGCGTAAGCGGGCGATGAAGGCATGCATCCCATGTCATCAGCGCAAGCGAAAATGCGACACCGTGTATCCTTGTGGCATGTGCACCACCTACGGATACAACTGCAGATACACCGACGGCAATATTGATGCTAATATTGGCGGAGGCGAGCCAATTATTCAACCTCCAACGAAGCGAGTCAATCTGGACGGTGAAAGTCGTCTGGCGAGTCGGGCAGCCACAGACCCGACGCCGAGTAGTCGATCTCATGCGGAGCGAGACTGCATCGATGACAATGCCTCTTCAGCCAAGAGTCTCACGGTCGCGACGGGCACGTCCCCGGGAATTCTTGATGAACAGAAACTCAGATACTCCGGGGCATCGGCGGCGATGTCATTCCCGCACATCCTGGGCGTTGCTCTCGGCTCTGAAAATCCTCCGAAGACACGATCATTCGCTTACAACTTCGGCATCCGCCCAGAAGAGGCATCAAATCCGCACTGCTTCCTAGGAGATATCATCTCAGATGAAGATCTCAGCCTTTTCTCGGGTGCGTTTTTCTTGGTATTAAGTCCCATCGGCGATGTGATTGATCCAAGGATCTACGCCCAGCGGTGTCGGGATTACTATAACAGGACGGGTAACAACGCGGTCGCATTTGCCGCTGTAGCCGCTGGCGTGGCTGCTCTTGGATCGTTCCTATCCCCCATCAGACATCCACGGGAATCTGATCTGGTGCAATATGCCAAAGCCATCCTCGATGATCCCGCCTCCATGCGTTTGCATGGGATCGACCATATCGTTGCATGGGGCATGCGGGTATTTTATCTTCGGGCAACAACGCGACCCAGCAATGCATGGATCGCTTCATGCACGCAGATGCACCTATGCGAAGCCATCGGGTTACACGAAGAAGACAATATCAAGAAGATAGCGTCGATCGCTGGTTCCGCTATTGGGCATGATGCCGATCGGCTCAGGAGAATTTTTTGGATCTCGTGGGCGGGACATGCCATGTTGTCCTATGAATATGATCGGTCGCCTGTGAGCTTTCGGGTAGTGACTTGCCAGCCTGTCCTCCCCATACGAGGATCCGTCGCCGATCAGTTTGTAAAGTTGATACAGATCATTCCGTCTCCCAATTCTCCGTTCCAGCTTGAATTGCAGCCCAAAAATCCTACTGAAGAGCTCTTTGGGCATTTGAAGGCGCTGCATGAGCTGCAGATCAGCCATCCGTTTCTGGTGGTGACCAAAGCAGACATCGCATTCTGCTTCTATCGACGTCTTTACCAGCTTAAGGCCTGCATACCGGACGATATAATTAAGCTACTCATTGAGAGTGGCAATGGCGCAATACAGGCGGCACAGCAGCAAGCTAGCCAAGGTCGTCTGTTTTGGAACGTCATCGGCAGTGTCTTTCAGTACACTTGTATTCTGCTGGCTCTTGACACACCGGTGGCTTTTGCGCACATCGGCGCCGCATTCAAGGGATTGGAGAGCCTTGTTAAGGCTGCTGATACAATACTGACACGTGAGGCGTTGTCTACGGCACGGCATCTTCTAAGTGTCAGTATGACAAAGAAACGGAATGAGCTTGCTCAGCTGGAAGCTGTCGAGGCAAGCTATGAATTTTTTCAGACGCCGCTGGCACCTGAGGTTAACACCGCAGTACCGGACATGGATTGGAATTTGGACTGGGATCAATTCTTCATTGAGCCATATTTATCCATGCTCGGTCCTGACGTTCAGTTATAGAGATGCATATCGCTGGATACTCATCTAGCGTCAGTAAATGTGGTTCAGCATTAGAATTAGCAAACTATAGTGTAGAGACATGACGCCTCGCCGCAGGTCGCAAGAGAGTATATGCCAATTGTTGATCCTTAAAAACATTTGAAGATTTCAAATTGGTATTATCTTGGTGAAAAACGTCACGATGCTCAAAGCTTCAGTCCGTCCGCCCATAGGTGAATCACCAACTCATACACTGCGGCTTCATGTGCGGCTATTGCGGTGTCAAACCCCTTATGGCCGCACTAGCCTATAAGGTCATAGAAGCGGACTCCTGTCTGCGGCTACTGCGGCGGAGAAACCCCATTATTGACATCTCTACTTTGGCTTCGCCCGCTCGGCTCCTTCACCCCATCTGCTATGTTATCTCCGGGAAAATCAAGTTCTAGGCTTCAACCGATGGACTCTTGAAGCTGGGACTTTCCAAATCCGATCAAATATGATAAGGCTGAGATGGAGTGAGCCGCAGAGAACCACAGAACTTGTGTCTGGGTCTGAAGTGTATAAAGAGAGGCATTTCCTGCTCCAGAGAGGGATAGAAAATTACCACATCTCTTCTACTTCTATTTCCAGAGCGTTCCTTCCTCACTCAGAGCATAAGCACCTCGCCTTGTTCAACTCAAACGACTACGTTACCAACAGCCAACACGACAACCAGCATGGCCAAATACGTCAAGGATCAGTCTGCTGACTTCAGAAACACCATTGAAAGAGTCGCTATCATCGGTGTAAGTAATCCACTCCACGGCTCTACATATACAGAAACACTGACAAACAAATTCAGGCTGGAGGTACCATTGGATTGCCCATCACCAACGCTCTTCTGAAGACCGGAAGACACATAGTTACGGCTATCTCCCGCGAAGACAGTGGTAACAAGCTCCCCGAGGGCATTCTCGTTGCCACAGTCGACTACAATGATGAAGCGACCATTGTTGCCGCCTTGAAGGGCCAGCAATTTGTGATCATAACCATGGCCCCCACTGCGCCCAAGGGTACCCACAGCAAGATTGTCCAGGCAGCTGCTAAGGCTGGCGTTCCTTATGTCATGCCTAACTGGTATGCGGCCGATATTGGCAACGTTAAACTCGGCCAAGACATCTTGCTGGGTCCCCAAGACCAGGCTAATCGGAATGAGATTGAAAGCCTCGGAATGCAGTGGGTCAATATATGCTGTGGGTTCTGGTACGACTATAGCCTGGCAGGCGGGGAATCACGTTTTGGACTCGACTTTTCCACGCGTTCTTTGACTATCTATGATGACGGAAACGCTCAGATTTCGACATCGACCTTATCTCAGGTTGGGCGCGCCGTGGCTAAGCTTCTGAGCCTCAATGAACTTCCCGAGGATGAAAACGATAAGAACCTTACTCTTTCGACATTCCTTAACAAGGGCGTGTACATCCAGAGCTTTTTGGTCAGTCAGAACGAAATGTTTGAGAGCGTCAAGCGAGTCACTGGCACCACCAATTCCAACTGGACGATTACCCACGAGGCTACCAACAAGCGATATGAGAATGGCCTAGCGCAAGTGAAAGTGGGTAACATGATGCACTTTAGCAAGCTGCTCTACGCCAGAGTGTTCTATCCGGATGGTTCCGGTGACTTCTCGAACAAGTCACAAAATGAGTTGCTTGCATTGCCAAACGAGGACCTGGATCAGTCCACCAAGGCTGGAATAGATTTGATTGCGGAGTTAGGCCGTCGGGTTGAGCGTATGGCAGCATAGCTGCATAGGAGGACAGCCACAGCGGGAAGGGAAAGTCTTTAGATATTGTCTCTAGATATTGTCTTGAAATGGAATGATTGCACTCAAAATTAGGCTGATTTGAATTAGTGCTCCTGTAAATCGATCATAATTCTGTGAGTACTTAGACCCCACCACACGTGTGCATGAAAGAGATTAATTTCGTAAGAAGTACTATACATAGCACCTTATCTAGACCTCGGCACTTAAATCGTTTGAAATAATTGTGAAGGTGAAAAGTACTTTCAATGGATGACTAGGATATTACGTATTAAATTTTTTTGATTGGTCAATATATTACCATACAAGTAAATCATAATACTTCACCTGGCGCATAAATCGGGGGCCATCGGGTCTCCCGTGTGGAGTCGTGAACAGATGCGGAGGACTGGAGTATGTATTACTACAAGCGAAGGATTTTAGCCCCCAAAATGTGTTTCAGGTTTTACTCAAAAATAAATTAATTTCCGTGTTAGTCTATGTTAGTATATGCACCATTATGCATGAATACGTAGCCGGCGTCATATGTTAACCTTGTTAATCCTATCATGATTTTGTTCATGTAAGGAGTGGAAATGAGAGAGGTATTATGCATTTAATGGTGGAACTACTACTGTACTACTACTCAAATGAGCCCATAATTTCTATTTCGCATAAAACATTAGGAAAGAATGTTGTCAGCCATATATGCCGATCCCTACCTATTTATGCATGGTGGTGCATCGAATTGGCCAGGATCTCGAACAAAGAACTAGTTTTAGCTTATTCTCCATCTTCTCGAAATACAAGATGCATCCCACCTGCATTTCTGTCACATTCACTTCACGCCACACTCTAACTGTGAAGCAAACTTAACCGCCCCGATCGAGATGCCTGCTCGATCTTCCCTCTTAGTGAAACTCTCACTTTGGGCGGCTATCACTTTGTTTGGGTGTCGTCTATCTGGTATTCGTTTAGAGTCAATAGGACCATTCGTCATATGGTTATGTTGCACTTGGCTCTCTTATTGTATTATAATTCTTGGATGGAGAACTATCGGTCGACAATGGTTCAGCCCTTACAATGATTTACCTGGGCCTAAGGTATGTAATGCGTTCATAGTTTCTAAGGTTCGTGTGGAATTGATCCTGACAAAGACCCCTGCAGGGAGGGAGCATCCTTTTTCGACACGCCTCAGCTATTTTTGATCAGCCCCTGGGGCACCAAATTACTCAATGGGTAAACACAATCCCGAATGATGGGCTTCTTCACTTCTTCGGATTTTTGGGGGCCGAATACCTCATTACGACAAATGTGGAGAGCTTATCCGATGTTCTTACCAATCGTTCGTATCTGTTTCAGAAGACCAGTGGTCTCCACAGATGGACAGTGCGCTTCTTTGGAGAGGGCATTGTCATCCAGGAAGGCGAAAAGCATAAGCAAAATCGAAAGTCATTCGTCCAGGTCTTCAATCAACGACAGGTTGACAAGCTAAAGCCGGTTCTATCTGGGAAAGCAACTCAGATTGTGGACCACATCGAACAAAGATGCGCAAAGAGTGATGAGAAGCACCTGAAGTCTGCTATTCTTAACGTCAGTGACTTGACAAAGGCAATCACTCTCGACGTGATGGGAATCGTTGCCCTTGGTGTTGACTTTAATACTATTCTTGGCCAAAATGTCGAGATCACCGATGTCTTTCAGACCCTTTTCTCCACTGGTGATTTGAAAAAGTCTCATTTTATGTGGCACAACTCTGCTCCATCTTGGCTTATCAAAATGTTCCCGTCCAAAATAGATCGACAAATGGACGATGCTCATCTAAAGCTCAAGGTAAATCTTGAAAAGTTACTTAAAGAAAAGCTCGCCACTTTAAAGATGAAGGATGTATCTGATGAGGATATCCTAACTCAAATTGCATGCTCCGGAGATTTTACACCAGAAGAGATCATTCCACAGGTTGTTACGACACTTGCAGCTGGGTAAGTTCACTCTTAGACAATTACACCATATTCGATCACGAATGCTAACAATCACTACAGTTTTGAGAGCACAGCAGGCACATTAGCTTGGACTCTTTACTGCGTTGCCACAAACTCAGAGGTTCAGAAGAGCTTACGACAGGAGCTACGTGAAGCCAAGGCCACAAAAGGCCAGTTAAGTGAGGCAGATTATGAAAAATTACCCTTGTTAAATGGTATATGCAACGAATCATCTCGTCTATACCCTACATTTGCCATGACAATGCGCAAGGCTACCTGTGATACCTACATCACCGGACGCCATGTTCAAGCGGGTACATATATTGTGATTGTGCCCCGAGCAATCAACCGAGCAAAGCACCTGTGGGGTGCTGATTCTGAGGAGTTTATACCGGAGCGATGGATCGATAGAGCTGATCCAGAAAACCCCAAAATCAATCCCACGGGAGGAGCGTCTTCACCCATGAGCATGCTTTCCTTCCTCTACGGACCTCGAAGCTGTGTTGGGCGGTCATTATCCTTGGCAGGAATCAGGAGAATGACAGCTCGGATTGTTGAGCGGTTTGAGATGGAGACGACAAGTTCAGTTGTCCCTGAGTCAACGGGCTGGCTTTCATCGGCCCCTTCTTCCGAATTACAGTTGAAATTCACACAAATAGATGAATAGATCGCTTGAGCGAGAATTTTTTGATTGTTATGTATTTAATCATGATGAATATAGAAGCGTTGATGGGAGTCACAATTCAAATACCAAAAGCTTTTGCCTGTCAAAATTGAAGTTGATAGAACACACTATGAATGATTTGAGCATCTTTCTATCTTATATTTGTCTCAGACATGTTGATCGTGAATATCCATATCATGGCTTAGTTCACCGACCGAAAAGCTCTCATATCGTTCTATATGATGATTCCCGAGTCCTTCATCTCGTGGAGGTACCACGTTCAATACATAAGTGCTTGGAGATACAGTTGCTCTTGCCCCAAATATCCTGCGTTTAATTAATTCAAAAGCTCTTCCAATTTTTGACTTCTCACCGATAATTTTGAAAAGCGGCCATAGTGGAGCGGCTGTTAACGCAATAAGCACTGACCAGAGCTCTGTTATGTTCAAAATCAGGCTTATGCCTTTCGTGCCTGGAAAAATATAAGTGAAGTGACAAAGACGGGGAGTCCAATAGGATTGTGGAATATCTAGTATACGAACCTTTTGCTAGACACAGTAACAGTAAGTTGACTATGCCCAAAATTGTACCTATCGTACCCAAGCTGAGCAAAATACAAACGAGGAACTTTTGCGTTCTGCGAATCCGACGGTTCCACATCATAATCACCGGGTATACGAGTAGCAGCAGATCGGTAATAGCGGACCATGCTAGGAAAGTATCAAAGTCAGCACTTAGGACTGAAAAGAAATTCCCCCAAGAGCAGAATCGGTTGAATTGCATACTTGCTGACCAAATCGAGAAGTAAATCGCCTTATGCCCACATTTCCCAGTCCGGGTCTGGGCGGATGAATGGCATTGTAGGAAGACAACAATGGTTAATGCTATAGCACTAACAAACTTCATTTGAAATCTCAGTCACTTGAGTCAGGCAAGCCGCAACAATGAACTTAAAGCCGACATCTGGAGAGCCTGAGATTGGGATCTCATATTCAGACCGGCTGCGCTGAGTAAGATCCATCGACCAACCCTGTATATTCTATCCTGTAAGTGAAGAATATACATAGTCATCGCAAGTTTCATAAAAGCCACTGCCCAATACCCTGCGAGGTCGTCCAGGACTAGAAGTGCCGTCAAAGAAGCTAAACGCCTATGACAGAGGGCAATGCAGTATAGCGCCGTACTAAGTATTGCAAGAAACTGGGATTGTCAATATCGTTTTATGAAGCATTGACAGGACTTGAATGGAAACAAATCTCATGACAGGTAGAGCGATTCAAATGTCATCTTATGTTGCGTGAAAAAGGTAGGAATCTGGAATCTTCAAGTTGTGACTTACCCAGCCAACAGTAGCCCATGCCAGAGCCCAGCCACTTTTGTGACGAACAACAAAAAAGTAAGTATGGAAGCGCAGAATCATCAAAATTGTTGCCAAAGAAGACAGAGAGACGCTGAGCGCTATTATTCCCTGTTTATATTGGCGCGTATAACGATAGTGGGCCATTATTAAGTGAGAGTCATTTCGTTGATCTTAAACATTGATCAAGATAAGACCAAATGAAGCCTCGCCTACGCACTCAAGTGCTGGCAATATGTCCTTAATATGAGAGTTTTTTTTCTTTCTCATCCATGAGTCCTTCAACTTGAAATTATAAGCTCCTTCAACAAGTTCAGGTTTAAGTTTGAATCTAATTCCAGCTGAACGGGGCAATCTGTGCATGTGCGACTTATTCAGCTACTTGGTACTAGGTACCCAAGGGGGCTTTCTTTGACTTGAACTGCCATTTTTCCGACAAAGTGACTTTTATGTAATCCGTTCAAGTATCCAAAATTTCAAAGGTTACGTGCAACTTGAAGAGTGCAGCCAAAAATGAAACCGTTGCGTTCAGACTACACATTTGTCTCCCTAGACAACGAAAGGTGACCAATAAAAGATGAGTGGAACTTGAAAATCTTGAGAGCGAATGAAGCATTCAGCTGTGTCGTCAATATGCGAGTGTATTAATCAATATTATACACCAGGAAAGACGGGGTCCATTCCGCACGGGGAATGAACCGCGAAAGGATCAATGTGGCTTTAAATATCATCCGCAAAAAGATTCGTTAAATCAAATGGTTCGGAAAATCCACTCTCCATCGGGAAAATACTAGTATTTTCGCTGGACATGTAGGAGTTCTCATTGGTCGCGACATATACTTGGCGTTGATTATGCATCATCGATACATATGAAGCATATGAATGATCCGACTACCAAAATATGTGCCATCAGTACTCCATTCGCCCGATGTGTTAGATCAAATTCGACTTAGGAAATCATGCAGCCATGGCTTTGCTATGAAATCACCTTCGCATAGTAGAGGAGGGGGAGACGGGACTCTCGAAAGTTCCATTGGCCTTGTTATAGTTCCGGCCTCCACATCTTGTATATAATCCCGAGCGATTTGAGCAAGATCGGAGAGAAGAGAGAATTGTAAGCGCCCATTCGAGGAAAATTCCACGCGGCAGAAATATCCGGAAGCCACGCCCATCAAAGCAATATTATTCTTCGTTTCCTCGTGAGACGGGTTGTGAATCACGAAGTCGAAGAGTATGAAGATAGCCGACAGCGGGACAGATAGAAGAATCCTGGTCGAATATTAGTAAATATTTCCATATTGTGTCATCAAAATGGATAGCCAGAAGGAAAACGCACCAAATTGGAGTAGACGTCTCCACATCGATGTATCTTGTTAGATCAATAATCGCACGGGACGCGTGTAGAAGCTGTTTCGCTGTCTCCTGTCTTTTCGAAATTAAATCTTCAGGCAGAATACTAAGCTTCAGTCGAGCCAGAGCAATAACAGCACTGTAGTAATGGAAACTGATCTTCAGCTTCAATTCCATTAACAGGCTTCCCATAACGTTAGCTTGAAGATTACACCCGGGCCGGAAGTGGGGGACAATAGACATCTGCCATCGGTCAAGATCGATCTCGAAACCCTCTATACGGGCAATCAGAGTATTGTTAGGAACCAATGTTGCGCTGATCGTGAAAAGAGAGCTCTGGGCTTTGGATAGCAACCGGCTTAAGCTACACAGTGCGCGGAAGGAGTCAAATCCGTCAAAGACTGCCTCCGGAATTTGAGGCGCCGGTATACCAATATTAGAGTCGACTAAGATCTTGAATCTCCAGTCAGAGAAATTGGCATCCTTAAGGGTGGAATGACATACAGAGTCCCTGTCGCATATGAAAGATTGCGTCTTTTCCAATATGTAAGTCACCCAAAATATCCTCTGACACAGATCGATATTTTCGCTTTCGTACATGGCCCGATTAAGGCCAAGCGCTTGCACAATTCTGGCGGCTTGGGTTGTCAACGATTTCTCAATCTGAACCCAGGAAGTGTTGCGAGCAAATATAGCCTAAACAGTATTAGTCAATAATTCATGCAAGGAAGAAGAATTCAATAACCATTGCTATCACCGCCTGTTCAAATTAGTAATATGATCGTGATATTCTGGCAAGGGCCATACCTGAGCATGAACCAAAGTCTCCTTAGAGGCAATGATATTGGGGAAATGACTAAAGGCAACCTTGAATAGCTTCCAGGCTGTCCCTTGGCCCGGCTGGAAACATCCCCCTTCTCGACGTTGGCAGCCAAGTGCTAGTACTGCGTGATACAAGGCCGAAAATGATGCGCTTTCCTGACAGAATGCGAGGCATTGTTTATCGAGAGCCTTTTTCTCAAACTCCTCTCGGTGTAAAAATGGGTATATTGGGTGCACGTGCTCGAAGTATGCTGAGGTATTGTTAACAAAACATCCAATATAGTATGATTTGGGAACGAACAGGCGCAATATGCACTAGCACTAGTAGCATCTATCCCGGAATTCGATGAGATGGTGTGAGGATTTGAATTCGTTGAATTTTCTGAGGAGAGGATGTTATGATTGACTCGTGCATTTGTAGAATCAATCAGGCGCGTGAAAAAATCCTGGAATCTCGTGTGACCCAGAAGCTTGGATATGGAGGCTATCTTGCAGTCCGAAAAAATAGCAATGTTGGAACTCCCAGCTGTGAATTATTAATAATGGAACTATGCAGTGATTCACCTATTCCAAGAAGAAAAATCATACCATATTAATCATGAGGCTGGAATTGCCTCGTCAGTGGTTTGTTCATTACACATGGGGGCCTTAAGAAATGCGACCTTCAATAAGGAACTTTCAGTTCGGCTTTTCCCGACTAGTGCTTTACTCTCAAGAAGGTGATCCACATAAAGCTTGGTAGGAGTGCCAAAGATAGGTGAAGAGCTTTGCCCTGCCCATGGAATGAAATCGCTGGAGAACGGATTCTGTGAATTACCACCACCCTCTGTGGACCCTTCTTGAAATTAAGGAAATGGGTTAATTATGAAGCATTCAACTGAAAGTGGCTGCGTAACTCACCACTGATAGCTCTTTGGGCATTGGGAATACGAGATCTCCTTTTCTCTCTCTGCTTCCTCAGTGGGAAAACACATGGGATTTGACGTCTCTATAGCTTGATATGAGCATGACAGACACAGGAATGATGATTTTTCGGATTCTTACGTAGCACATCTCGCAGATCTTGGTACCACAGGTGCCCGTTGGCATTACTGTAATAGAAGCGGTCAATATATGTGCCTAGTTCAAATGTTTGTTCAAACGTTGAGAATATTTAAATAAGGGTGGTCAATCTTACCTTTACACTTCACTTTTCGAACCTGGCATTCAACGCAGGAATTAGAAGCCCTGGGCTGCACCATTTTGAATCTCGCCCGTGGACTGCGATGACAGAAAATTAAACCCTGATTCACTGTTCTCGGTCAGATCTGGATCTTGTATCCGAGGGTCTAGTCCAACATTGACGCATCACGTAACGCCGATGAACGCGCTACACGTGATCTTCAGCACGTGATATAACACTTAAAGGATGCACTAGGCTAGAAAGAGGCTAGTGGCTTTCAAGACGTCAACTGGCAGGTCTATACGACAGTCGATCGCTTAAGAATGCAGCTACTTGAAAATAATTAAATGGAACAAAATACGATAAAATAGGAAGAAGTATGGAGGTCCTCTTGGAATAAACCTGCAAAAGGCTAGAGGAAACCACGAACAATTACGATCATGCTTATTGTTTGATAAACGTTAATACCATATCAGATTTAATCGAGTTCAAGTCAATCGCCGCCGTCAGTATGAAGTTGCACATAGTAAAATGGCGTATATTAGTCGAATCCTGCATTCCAGCCAAGTCTCTATCTTGAAGCTTGACAGTCGACTGTAGATATCTGTTAAACCACTGTAATGAATCAAACTTTTATTGTGGCATGGCGGAAGTTTGAAACCGGTATAATCCAGCAAGTTATGTAGAATACGACGTTAATTAGAAGGGAATCAAAGCAATGGATAAATTGCCGGAGTTTTATTGCAGACTCGGATGAATATGAAGCTCACAGTTTTTTAAATCCACCAATTATCGACTTCCTATGGAGAAAACTCTATACTTTCCCCCAACTTCGAACTGAGCACGGCCAATTCAATGATCCGAATAATATCACGAGCCTCAGAGCCACTAACAGGCACAGTCCCTTGTCCGCTCAGGGTACAAGCGAGTTTGCGGTAATACTCAGCCCAAGTGGGATGCTGAACAGGTATGATGACCTTTTCAACGACAGACCCGTCGCTTTGCTTAGCAGTAAGAACTCCTTTTTCAAGTTAATGAATGAACCCAAAGTATCTCGGAAAATGACTGACCATATCTTTCCCCAGACTCCTCACCAAATCCTTCGTCGACAGGACTTTTTCCGGCTATGAGATGGTCTTTCTGGATGTCCATGTAAAACTTGTTTATTGTTAGTCTCTTCGAATTCTGGATAAATGAGTTGTCAGACACACCTTCTTGAAACTTCTTTTGTCTTCTCTCACTAAGAATCGATGTGGGGGCTTATCCGAACTTATTCTAACAGCCTTAGCAGTAACAAGAATCCCACTATTGTAGTGCATTAACACCGTGAAAATGTTGCTGGACTCAGAAGAATCAGTTTCTTCGATTTGATCATCAAGAAGGCCGGTAATCCTTTCAGGCAAGCCGAATATCTGAACCGCCTGATCCAGAAGATGTGTCCCAAGATCGTAAATTGCCTTGATCTGTAAAGTAGCCTTGGTCACAGTCATAGGTTTATCAATGATTGACTTGGGCTGGAATAATTCAAAGCGAGTATCAAAGTCAATGACTTGACCTAGCGTACCACTGTTTACCAATTGGCTTAAAGTAACGAAGTCGGAATCCCAACGACGATCTAATTACAAAAGGTCGCTAGTTAGCCACGGCTGAAATGATATTATAGCAACCAAAAAGTGATGTTCTGGTAGTACTTACTATGGAATACAGCCAGAACTCTCTGCTGTTCACGGGCCAAAGCTATAAGCTCATCGGCCTCTTTGGCAGTATGGGTAAAAGGCTTCTCGCAAAGAACTAGTTGCCAAGACAATGTCAGTATACTGGCAAGAGGCGAATAACAGACAACTTGCAAGTTTCAATTTTGAAAAAGGTAGGATAGAGAAAAGAATAGCATACCATGCTTTTGTGCGTATAGTGCAGACTTGGTCAGCGAATAGTGCGACTCAGTGGGAGTCGAAATCACCACCAGATCGACCATAGTGTTCTCTAACATGTCTTCTAGAGAATGAAAGCATTTCACATCGAGATTTTCCTTTCCTGCATCGTTTCTCACTTGGGGGGCTTCGTTGAACGATAGCGTGAAGTTCGTATTCAGGCAGTGCATTGATGAAAGGAATGTGGAATATTTTTGCACTCAAGCCATATCCCACGATCCCGACTTTCCAGATCTTTGAAGTCATTTTCCTGACAGCGTTTGAGGCGAGAAAGAAATTCAAACAGCCCAAAAACAGGTACTGATGAGCTTCAGAAGAGCATGTGCTTGGAGGGAGGATTTGGTAACCGGAGAAGACCTGATGATGGAGTGTGGTGGAAGGCGATATCCATATGAGAAATGGATATGGTCCTAACACAATTCAATGACTTGATGCTTGATGCACCGGGTTAGGCACATTTAAATAAATTAACAGATCAATTAGCCCACAAGATGAACGAGTTTTTGTCACTTAGCTTTGAAGATACCCACATACCCACTAATCCCGAAAGTCCAAGTAAAGAGAGTAGATTCAAGTCAGGCCTCCAGCCTGTTTCTCCGTGTAGCCGAAGACGCGCGTCTTTAGCTCAATGCTACTATTGCCATATATTCCATGGTTATTAAATATGTGCTTTTGTTTCGTGGTTGGACCAAACAAGTAATACCCGAAACCCCGAGTCTGAACGAAGCTTTGGAGGCAAATCCCGAAACTCCGTCTGACAACCAGAAAATGAGAATGTGCTATAAAGATCTCTCCGTTCCATTTTATGAGTCATCTCATAACTAATATTCGGGGCAGTTACGATGGTCAAAAAGGTGCGTACTATATACTAAAGTATGAACTATTACTGTGCTCACTAGAGAGACAATAGGCAATTATCATTGGCGCTGGCCCGGCAGGGCTTGCAGCTGCTTTGCGTCTGAAACAGAATAACGGAATCGACTGCATCGTTTATGAGATCCGCGAAAAGCCCGCTACAATTGGTGGCGCGGTCAATATTCCTCCTAATGGCGTTCGATTGTTCAACAAGCTCGGGGTATATGACGCTCTTAATGCTCGAGCTTCCTCAGCTTCCTTGATGACCATTGCACCGACAGATAAAACGCCCATCTTTGAATATGATATTGGGGAAGCTTGCAGGAATGCCACTGGGTTCGGCATATGGCGAGTGTTGAGAGCAGATATCATTGAGGTCCTTCTTGCTGCCGCTCAACACGAAAAAATTCCCGTTGAGTTTGGCAAAACATTGACGGAGGTCTTTGAGACACGGGAGAGCGTCAAAGTCACCTTCGAGGACGGCACGGAAGACTCTGCCGACATCCTTCTCGGCTGTGATGGCATCCACTCCTCGGTGCGTAAGCTACATGTTGACCCTCTTATCGAGCCGGAATATTCTGGGGTCTCGAACATGTTTGCGATCTTACCGTCGACAGCTCTTGCTGCTCCCTCGCCTGTCAAGCCAGCCATCCAAATGACATTCACTTCCGATGGCCTCTTCTCTGTCGTCCCATGCACGGCTTCTGGCGACCAACTGTATTGGTTTTACTCGCGAAAGATTGAAATGCCAGGGGATGAAGACAGTCGTGATGGCTGGGAAGCCTTTGGTCAGAAGGCTGTTCAGGACTTGAAGATGGGCATGTTCGACGCGCTCAAGGACGTAACCGGGAAGTGGGGAGACGCTATAAGAGGCCTAATCTCAGCAACGGACAGTGTCAAGTTCTACCCCATTTACAAGATGGCCCCGTCGTGTCGATGGTCAACTGGTCGTTGCATTTTACTTGGCGATGCTGCCCACGCTATGCAGCCACATCTTGGTCAAGGAACTTCCATGGCACTGGAGGATGTTTTCTTACTCTCACGCCTTTTGGAGAGTCGACCTATCGAGCTAGATGAGGCTTTCAGGCGTTATGAAGAGATTAGACGTCCCCGGGTTGAGAAAATCTCTCAAAGTGCGGCTCACTCCGGAAACCTGCGAGCAAAATTGGATCCTAGCATGTCTCGGACGCGTGAAGAGACACTCGCGGCTCAGTGGCGCAATGGATCACGACTGACTGATTATGTCTATAACATCCTTGAGGTAGAGCTGTGATACGGATTTCTGTAAAGTGCCGTATTGTTATTTCCCACGTTGGACAAGGTGACGAAACATGCATCACAATTTGTACATTCTAAATTGACTCAATTGATTTCATCCTTTTATCACGTTTGTTAGAATAATTTGTTCCAATCTCATGCGTCCCTTGCAGATTCAGGACGAATGCCCCAGTGTAGAAACTGATATCTTCTTCTACAAGCCATAGATCGTGCTCGCTCCCATACCCAAGCCAAATTTTGAATTTTCCGAAATATCTCGTCCAAGTGAATCTGGAAAGAGGATTGAGAAATAGAAAGAAATGACGTCCTCCGAAAAATCGCACCATAGCTGGGAGTTTCGGTACGAAGGACTCGTATTCGTATAATCTTTGTCCTCCACTTTTACTTAAGACTCTTTACCTATTACACAGGTGGCCGCTTCCAAGATTTTAATTCGTCTATTCATTTTTCTATATTTGAAACATTTCGAGGAATAACTATATTCTAAAACGATTAAAAAGATAGCCGATGTTTTCATGCTATTGATGACAGTTCGATTCTTGACAGCGATAATGAGGTGCACGGCGGGTATCATACTGAACCTTTGGAATACTTCCCGTGCGCCCTAAGCTTCTTTCCATAAATATAAAACAGATATGGAATGGGAAGCATCGCGATAGAAATGAAACCCAGAGTACTCGCTGCCCAGGGAACACCAAGATTGCGAAACATAGTGTTGGTAAAGAATGAAAAGCAACCAGCGAGGATAGAGCGCAGAAAAGTGCTTGTTGCAACGGCACTGGCTGCTGTCGAGTGGAAGGTATCGATCAGATAGTTCATGGCTGGTTGAAGGATTGTCAAAATCCCAATACCCATCATCACAGCGCCGATATTTGGTGCGATCCAATGAATGTCTGCAGGACTGGTCCAACCGAATATAAACAAACCCCCTGCAAAGAAGACAGAGCCCAGCATCATTGGGGGAGGACGGGGTTCTGGAACAGGGCGGTGATTATTTTCCTTCAACCGTTTCACGCCAAGTTTTGATTGGCGAGGTTGATAACGGCACCGATGGAAATACCGATAAAGTAGGCCAGGAAAGGAAGAGCACCAACAACTTGATTCCAACCTCGAATGTCTTGAAAAATGATTGGGAATGCGGCTAAGCTGAGGTAAAGAATTGCGTATACAAATGATGCATATAGTGCAACGAAGAAGCAAATTGGGGTTATTAGGAGTCGTAGGGGACGAAGAAGATACTTTTTCCCAAAATCTCTCCAAGTGAAATTCCACTCTTCATGGTGGGCATGGAGTGCCGAGTTTCCTGTTTCAAAGCGTAGGCGCTGTGCCGTATATTTTAATAGGACAGGTGGGTAGCTTTCGTCTACAATGAGGATGTCTAATATAGCGAACACCATCATCATGATCCCGGTAAGATACTCAGTCCAACGCCAGCCAAGATTGCTTTGTGAGATAGCACCTCCCACGATAGGGCCTAAAACAGGTCCACCAAATACTGCCAATGAGTATATCACTCTCGCTGCACCACGCTGTTCAGGTGTCCAAATGTCGCCTAACACCCCGCCGCAATTTGTCACAGGGGCAGATCCAAAGAACCCGGTAAAAAAGCGGGTTATCATAACAGTCTGTATATCTTTGGCGGTCGCAGTAGCAAAGGAAAACACAGCGGCGAAGAAATAAGGGATGACAACAGCGGGCTTTCGTCCGTACATCTCTGATATTGGTGCCCAGATGAGAGGACCCAATCCCAAGGCGAATAGAAGCAATAAAGTTCCGAGGGTCGCGACTTCAGTTGACACTTAAAATTCCGCGCTGATTTGTGTTTGGCCGGTAGAGTAGCTGAAATAGTCTTGTCATTAGTCGTGGTTGAATGGTTGGTTTCCCAGAAAACATACGTAGAACTGGCCCACGGAGCACCTAACTGAGTAAAAAAGTGAGCAAAATATCAAGGAAATAGTTTGGAGCTGGTAATAGCGCACCCATTGCAGTGAATCCGTAGAGAATAGTTGTAATGGCCTTCTTTGAGAATGACCAATTCAGAGGTTGGTAGGGATCATCAGGACCGTCAAACTCGACAATCATATGTTCACCTGTTCTCAAATGCGAGCGAGGATTGATAACATGCTTTCCATCGAGTTCACAGCACTCTGGAGTCCGTGTTCGACAGATCGTCGGCATTGACTTGACATTTTCTAAACCCTCCACTGAACCCGAGAGATCAGGGTTATTTCTTGCCAATTGTGCACCGCTGTATTTCGTGGCAGCGACATCGCTTGAGTCACTGGACCTGTAATTACCCAAAGTCTCTTTGGCCATAATTCACGCATTCATGTAAATATTTCTCGGAACAAAAACGCAATGCTGAAACACTATTAGAATGGGCGGTTGGTTGCGAGTCATAAGAGAAGACTCACGAGAACGTTGGAAGTGCAAGGTGAAATGAAATCAAATTTGACAAATGGTGGCCACGATGAATGCAATTGAAAGATACTGGGTGATAATATCATGGTTAAGAGCACATCAGCCTTGCAAATCTCCAAATACTATGAGCCTGGTAAATCGAACATCGATGCAATGGTGGGGCCGGTACTTCGGCAATGGGTCTGCGGTCGGCTTTTCGGTTCAACCAGATCTCAAGTGCTTCTAATTCACTAATCCGGGAATAAGAACGCAAAGCCTCAGTGCATTCTCAATATTTGCCGTTTTTTTCTCGGGTCGGCATGGATGGATGGTGTAGGGAGTGATGTTGATGGATAGATTTCGGGGTTTCGGGAATTTCCAGGTTCAAGTTGGGATTTCGGGATTTCGGGACTTGATTACAAGGCGCTCAGATCCACAACCTCATGCCATTTAATCAATGAACGACGATGATACATCGTATTATCAAGGGTTGAGCAGATTAGGTAACTCAGTATTATCAAAGCTTTCTTTCAATGAGCCTCGCTGGTGCTTGAGTTCTATGTCAGTGGCAAGGACCAAATTTTTACTCCGCACATATATGTCCACGAGTGAAAGAGCCCATTTAATGGTTTTAAGGCTCAACTGTGGGAGGTAACTCCTTTTTGAAAAAATAAACCAGAATATCAGCCTCGGACGGATACTAGTAACAAATGAGAGAAAGAAATCTGACATAGTAAATGCTCACTGGCAATATTGGAGTCACTATTATAATAGGGCCGAAAAGTGAGTGCATTGCAACCCGATGCAGTCTCAGATGCCAGTGTATCATGACCACTAGCAGTTGACATATCGAGGAAAAGCCCTGGGAGATATGTGCCTGGAGCGAGAGTCTAACATTGAACATCTTCGAGAAACATAATTGGCCCAGACATCTCAAGTGCTGGAGCGCCCGTTGTTTACCAGTGGTAGTTTGTACTACTGGCACATGTATGCACATGTGCACTCGGACTATAGAAGTACTAGTATCCTTCAAAATTGACCGGGTGATGCTCAGGTGCTCTACCAATGTGATTGGAGAGCAGATATAGTAGTATTGATAACCTTGGAAGGCAAATTTCGATTAGGTTGAAAAGAGTCCCCAAGTTTGTAAGGCCTACAAAGTGGTACCTGATTGCCGTTCCCATTTAAATGCCTAATTGCAAGGCTGCGTAGGTACTAATGGGCCCCGGTGGTTGTGCATCTTCGGCTCATTATGGTATTGAGTAACATCCAATATTCGGAAGTAAAAGTGATATCCCGTTAGGTGAATGATCTTTGATAAATCCCTTCTTATTTGTGGGTTTTGTCTCAAGTGTTCTGTCGTTTTCTTCAAATTTAGCTGAAACCATATGACCACTGAGAAATCAACACTTGAGTACTTACTGATAGAGAACAAGGGAGTTGAACAAAAGTACCCACACTATCAAAAGGGGCCAAAAATTGTGGATAAAATACGTGTTCAACTCAAATTTGGAATTTTACCGAATTTTAGTGTGCTCGAAAGGGACTGAGAGGTGGAGATATAATATTTGAGGGACCTGAGTGCATAAACCTAGTGATATGTCTGAGATCTGATCATTATGCACTGTAACTCAACGTCACGATTGGGGTTAAATCTTCGTCCTCTAGTTGGGAGCTAATGCGAGACTGAAAGCAAACGTGAAAGGGGCATTCGCAGTAGAGCGTCGCACTGATGCCCAATTAATATCTGAGCAAGATCTTGTTGGCTATTCGATTTGATCGACCACTGCAGTTTTCAGAAATACTGGGATCATCAACTTGAAGGCTTCACATGAACAAAGCTGGACTCGAGACTGTAATAAACGCTAGGCCCGGGCTCTTTGCCAATAAGAATGACTAAACATCCTTTGATTCACCTGCATGTCCCTCTTTGCACACGTCTCCTGCCGCTAGTGATGTCTCCTAGCCTATAATCTGCTGAGAGCTGAAGATTTGACAAAGGGATCCTTGAAAACATACCCCGATCTGCTGCATATTTATAGCATCTGTGGTTCTTTTAGCCGAGAATTCCAGGCACCGTGACTAATTTATGTAAAATCTATTGTATTTGTGATCAAAGTGCGTTCAACATAAGCGCTGAGCCATGAGAGACCGCTTGATTTTTCCATAGAATTTCAAGTAGATGATTCGTTACTTGAGTGTGCGGGTGATTTGAGCGGAGTTTAAAGGCCTTTGAGTGATTGCGTTCATCTTGAAGTTGCTGGACCATAAATATCAGACCCAATTCCCCCTCATCTTTATCCGCACATGTGCATGCCCGGTCATCCAGCAGAATCAGTATCACGAACATCAACCCTTGCAAAATTTTACAGACATTCCAGGAAAGAAAATCTTTAGAATTTCTTTCAGAATGCCCAGGTGAGTTCACTTCAAAAATCCCCGACTCTTAATTCTTTCGTCCTAACGTTGTTTTAGTTCAAATCACCCGGTGCGAGCTTCGCCCCAACCCGAGCAGAGTCTCATCCTCGACGATGATCTCCCAGCCTCTTTATTGGAAAATATTGATCTGGAAGAGTGGTACGGCGATATCGATGACATTGGGCATGAGTCACATCATGTTCACACATTTTTCCAGCAACTCCTCTCACATTGGATTCAAACCTCGACGATCGGCTCCATTCGGCTCCCGCAAAATATGCACGAGTTCCCATATGAGTCAAAACCGGATTTGGCCATGTGTTATGGTTCAAATAATCAGCCGCCATATATTCTTCTCTTTCTGGGGGAGGAAAGTGAGTTCCCTGATCGTGAGGGGCTGGCAGAAAGGCTCCGAGAAATGGCGACGTCATATTTAAGGAGTATGGGTCAAATAGAGAGTGAAGTCATGATCGCCGGTATTGCTGCCCTTGGGAAAAGGGTAAAATTCTCTATTTGGACGCGACAACCTGGCAGCGAAAGAGTCGAAATCTCGCCTTCTTATTGGAGATCGGGTGACTTGAGGGGCAGCCCGGAAAACTGGGGCATGAGTATAGAGGATCCTTTGTTTCGAAGATTCCTCTGCGAAGTGGCCGAATATGGATATCGCAAAGCCCTGAATGCTTTGTACTAGGGATAAGGACATTCATAGCTGAAGCTTTGTTATACGGACCACACGGCTCTTCCAAGGTTGGTCATATTGCTATATGCTCGGAAGAGAAGACTCGGTTCAGGTACCTTGTCAACTGGTTGACTGTTTCCAACTATGATTTCGGATTATCTTTTTGAGTGGCTTGGCTGCCAGGTCGCAGCTCTCGATATCTGCCTGTCGGCGCTTATTATTCATGTCGAGTCTTAGTAGCTTCGACCTTTGGTGGGGTTGCTGAAGTCATTCATTAGCCCAGTGTCATTCTTTACTATGTATGTTCAACAAACGAGTATGCATGTGTGTAGTAAATCCATGGTCAAATATACCTACTATTTTGTTGTTCTGTAAGATCTTGAAGAAATTAGAAGAAGAATTCAACGTGACCAGGCGAGTCTCACATCTGTTGGTCTTTTTGATGAGTCCTACTGCAATTAGCGAGCCGCATTAGCAAGACTCGGAATGAGACTAGTAAGTTCCACCAGTTGACAACATATGATCCATGGTCTGAGTGGCACCTTGAAATTGAAAACAGAGCTGGGCTTATCTAGCATTCTCTTTCTGTGCCACTGGCATACTAGGTAGCATACTACTATGTCTATCGTCCGCTACCTTCAAGTTTCATGAGACGACACAGCACTCGAGTCTGCAGGGCCGAGGAATGGTATGGCTCATGAAGCATGGGGAGGGCAACTTCTACATGGAAGAGAGAGCTAAAACTACTACTAGCACAGACTAACTGACACTTAGTCTGGTAATTTCACACATCAGTTTCCCCCACATCGATTCTACGACAACGTAGGTAATGATAGAAGGATGGAGGACGGAAATTTCAAATGTTGCTACTCTGCGACGTGTCGGAGTGAGGAGATGGTGATATCTCTACGGTCACAGCCAGTTGACAGGTACTAGTAATAGATAAAATAATCAAACCCCATTCACGATGACTGAGGCATCCTGGATCTTCGACCCGGAGCTAGGATTATTTCGATCCTGGCCAGCCTTCATGTTGTATCACCAGCAGGGCCGCACATCTTGTTCAAGGAGCTCAATGAACTTGAATTCATCTAATTTCATTTTTCGATCATCGGTATCGCCGCTGCGGTGTGACACTGTCAATCTCACATGCATACATAGGAATCTATGCAAAGATGCCTTACCAGTATCCATGTACCATCCTTCCTATTTCCTATATGGAAGGTATACCTTAGTTCGAGATCTTTGACCCCCACATTCCAAGGTTGTTTGATGTTGTGAGACGAAGCTAACCGCTAGTACGGTCATTGCCAGGTGTCATGCATCTCGATGGACAGTCTATTTAACATTGGATGTGGGGCAAGGGCATTTAAAGAATAAGATGAGAAGTCATATTTCGAGTCCCTAATGTACGCCGTGGGTAAAGGGTTTTCCCTCATAGTCGGCTAAAAACTCGAACCTACTAATTCTCTCGTATTCATTACAAGGAATATTATTTCAAATTATAGTTGAGAATCTTCAAATATTTCAAATGGTACTAGTGATTCTTACCAGAGGATTGAAATCCTAACATGGCAATTAGTACATAGTATTAAGAGGCTTTCTTGACCCCAGAAACTATGACTGTTGGTCATAGCTTCAAGTTTTGTCTGAGACAATTCATGATCGAAGAGAGTACATTATACTAAAACGATAGATATTTTGTTTTTTTTTTCTAGCCTCTAGCTGTCATCACGCATCAAATCTCTGCCGTTTTTCCGGGGGTGTTGATTGTCGTCATGGGAAGTCGAGTGATCATCCTGGACTTGGGTATGAGAGTGGGGTGAAGACGCAATTTTGCCGTCGGTCTTAAAAGACGCAATGATAAGATGGCCGAGCACTAAAAAGACTGATCATTTCAAATTATGGGAAGTGAAGAGTTAGTGTTGGCTTGATGGTCGAAAACCTACATCAGATGACTTCAATACTAGTAGATCCACGCAATCATATTGAAAACTCAATGAAGATACATCAAACGCATGTACATAGTCTCAGACATCATTCCCAGTACATACATAGTAGATTCACCTCTCGGAGTTACCGTGCCAATTTCATCATATTCACTGAGCCGTGTCTTGGCTTAAAATCCAATGTGGAGTCGAGATGGACTCAAACAGGGCACAAACGCCCGTGGCCCTCGGTTACAAAGCCTTCTGGAAAGCCGCTAGAAGATCATGTGTCTCAAGTTCAGCCGTGCTGATTGGGAAAAAAGCTACCATGAACAGCTGTACCAGCAGATGTCCTCGGATAACACATTCGGGGCAACCCCAGTTTCGCATTGGCCAACTCGGCTGATTGAGTCCACCTGACTGAAAAAGGGGGAAAGGGTAACGAACTTAAAACCACAATTCCAATACAGATAGCGACCTTATAAGGGACAGATCGAAGTTCTGTTTGAATAAAAGAGGGGCAGCCCTATGGGTAACGGAGATGAAAGTGGGAATTTTCAACAGATACGTGGCCTGTGATGCAACGAGCGGTGAATCTGCGGGGTCCGACCGAGTCAGTTCTTAGTGATTGTGGACAAATCGAAGAGGCTCCAAGGCAGACACAATCTGGGATTGGTTGAAGGGACTTTGTGCCCTGCAACACGGGTCTCATTCGGGTCACTTCTCACCGACCATATTTCCACTAAACCTTACCAGTGGATTCGCGGGTTTCCTCAGCTTTGTCCGGTTGGTGAATTGGAGGGACGGTCCGCTTGATGGATTCACAATCACCAATTTCATTGGTGATGATAAAGACTGGGGCGTTATCATCCACTCATGAGGTCAGGTTTGAGAGTGACCCGCTTGAATTTAATTGGATGCCCTACAGGGCCAGGACAGACGATCACTCGGGATGAAATTGAGGAGAAAAAGAAGAGAAACTGGGAAGAATAAATAACCTGCTGCCTCCCACAGAACGTTTTGTCATACTCCTCCCTACTTGATCCCTCCACCTCTTTCTCCCACTTCTCCCCTCTCTATATCTATCCAAGGAATGCGCGCTCAGTCCCACCAGAGCGGCAACTATCCCCGGCGCTCTCTATCACAGACATCAGCCACTACTACCTCTTCCAGAAGTACTGAGCGCTCTGACGAGAAGAAGCATCATCGTCGGATATCCAATCCACTATCCTCAAAACTGTTCCGATCGGGATCCAAATCAAATACCCCGATCGAAATCTCCAAGACTCGGCAGTCTACCACAGACACCCACGATATCCCTCGGAGTAACCCTGACGACTCCTATTTTGATCAACATCCCGGCTCATCTAGCCCTGTCAGAATGTCTCCTGAACCTTTATCACCTCGCTCTCCCAAGCCAGACTTTGAGAAACAGACCGCACCGGCTCATACCCGCAAGAACAGTGATGACTACCGTCGCTATAGTGGTACCGTGAGTCATTATGGTCGTCACTCGAACGATTGGCTTTTCGGTGGCTTCAGTGTTCGCGATACAGTGCGTGATGGTATCGAGAAGCTACGGAATCATGATAAGGACACCTGAAATCATCTACACCCTTCTTCTCGCCATCTGACGAATCTCGGGACACCCTCGGCACTACCCCTTCGGAACAACGCCTCATTTTTTAATGGGCAGTTATCCTTGAATTTTCATACGTGAATCCTCGATTGCCGGGAATTGAATCTATATTTGATTCATTATGAACCCGCAATGGCTCTATCGACCAACTTGTATGATCCTGTCCCGGGTGCTTTGTTGGTGACGGCGAATAGCCGCACCTGGGACACTGATATGTCATTACGATGACCTATTTGCATGATTTTGAAGATTTTGATCTTCTGTTACGAAGATGATGACCTGAATGTTTTTGTTTTCCTTCACCAAGCGTGCAAGATATGTCCTTTACTGGGACCAGCTGGACTCTTCCCCATAAGAATAATTATTACTTAGTTTTATTGGACAGAATGAATACCTTTTCACTCTCATGGCAAATTTAAAGCTCTCCTTCTATATACTATCTACCAATTGTTGATATCCATTCCCATCGCCGAAACTATGATCATCGTCTCGGTCTCCCGTCTTCAACGCCGAAGCCCTCTCGGAGCACTTGAACCAAAAGGAGCGCTTCCGTCTCCGATCATCGGCACTTCTCCGACACGGACTCATCCCGCACAGTATAAAACCACGATTGACTCACACTTACCCCAGAAATATTTGAAAAATATCATCTAGATATAATTCCTCTATGAGCGAATATAGTATGAACCACGCCCTTTTATTTGTTTACAAATTCGCAAATTTCAGCCTGAGCCAAACAACTCTCATAGTATTCCGCCCCCACTCTCATCGTGCATTTCAGTCTACATCCTTCAGTGTGCGTCGCCAAGAACAATCTAAATCTTTTGCACACGGCAAATTCAAGTTTCAAACAATCATGGACCCTGCCAAGCCTGTAGTGGCTGTTTTGTATCAGGCTCTGCCGCCACCCATGTACGGTGGTGTGAGTAAGCCACCCAAACCAGGAGGTATGTTCATATCACATGTGCAGTACACTATGTATACGAAGTAAACCTGTTAGTATACGAGTGTGATTTTGAATCAAACTGATTGGTTGCATTTAGGTTATCGTGATTCAGGCGCTGATGTCGCTTATACTCTGCAATCTGCAGGGACCACCGTGCTGACACCGGTGGAGTCGCCAGACCCTGCGAATCAGAATCATTGGTGCTTCCCTGATACTGAGGAAGGAATCATGAAGGCCACTCAAAGAGGTGCTACCCATCTTTGGGCTAATACCGTTCTTTTCGCAGAACATCCGTTGCAGACTTCGCCCTTGTTAAAGGAGTATGAATCCAGCATCCGCGTTATTGCCCAACCGCCGCTTTGCGCAGATCAATTCGATGATAAGTCTTTCACGAATGATTTGCTTCGAAAGCGTGAGGATCTGACGTTGCCAAAGTCGTGGACTGTTGACGATCCACGATCGTCGGATGAGGTGACTGGCCACACACAGAAAGAGAAACAAGTCCAGGATACCTTGACCCAGGTGCTGAGCTCTATCCAGGAAGATGATTATCCCATTGTTGCGAAGCCGGTTCGTGGACGGGGCAGTCATGGTGTGAAGATCTGTCATGATGCGACGGAGCTTTCCGAGCATGTTGCGCGGTTATTCGATGAATCACCGCGGGTTTTGCTGGAGGAGTATTTGACAGGTGAAGAAGGCACTGTTACCATTCTACCACCGTGGACCACCTCTACCCCTGGATTTGAATTCTCAGGCCAGCATTCCGCGCACTGGACTCTACCCCCTGTCACTCGCTTCAACCATGTTGATGGTATTGCGCCGTACAGTGGCAAGATCGCTGTGACAGTGAATTCTCGTGCAGTAACCGCAGCAGAGATGGAAGCGGATCCAGCATATGGACAGATCATGAAAGAATGTGCGACTGTGGCTGGTCTACTAGGGACCACTGCACCCCTACGTATTGACATCCGACGATTCAGGCCGGGATCGAGATTTGCTTTGTTCGATATCAACATGAAGCCGGTGAGTCACATCAATGCAATCTCAAAAATTGATTTTGTGTCACAATTATACTGATTCAATTGGAACAGAATATCACTGGCCCCGGCCGCCCTGGCCGAGACGACCAATTAAGTCTCATGGGATTAGCCGCCGAGAGTATAGGTATGAACTATACTGGTTTCTTGCAGTACGTACTGGGGTCTGCGCAGAAGCTCGTTGATCTTCGCAACTTCAGTAGTACATTACTTGACAAATCAGATTAAGTGGGAATGCGGAAAAAGAAAAGTTCAAATAATCCCAGGAGCCTAGTACCTGGAAAAAAGAAAAAAAGAAGGTAATTACAAATAGTACGCAGGGACCTGGGGTAAAAAGTTCGCCATTTATGTTTTCTTTTGATTTCTCTCTTGACCCTGACTCGACGCCCTGTAATTATGATTGTGCATGTGTTCAATCACTTCGTCACAAGTTAGCCGTTGACGTAGGAGGTATACTGCGTATGCACAAACACCGCCTAGAGGTATAATAGAACACTTCCAAGGTGACAGAGATTGAAGATTCTCAATAGAATAAAAAGAAAAGAAAAGAATTATCATTGATTCGGTCCCTCATACTAAGTAAGGGTTTCAATACTGAGAACATTGAATGTTGAAAATGCTTAAGCCTCGTCTTTGCGGGCGTTCCACAATAGGGAGAACGCCAAAGACTCCAAAGAAAAAAAAGAAAAAGGTCTAGACAAATCAAAAGCAAATATGAGATGAAAAAAGAAAAAAATGACACCAGAAAACTCCACAAACCCATCAAATCCCGATAAAATTCAACCTAAATCATTTTTCCACTCCAATTACGCAGTCTGCCACTTCGCAATATCGGCAGATGTGATATCCAATTTTTGAGCCGTAAGCCGCTGTAAAGTAGCCACTTGCGTAGCAGCTACAAAATTCAAGTTTTCGAAGTCAGCACGGGTCCAAGAAAGCTAATACTATGGATCAAAGTATTCCGAAACCAAGATACTGGGATAAGCAAACACCGTAGAACTTGAACTTCGGGTAAGAGGTAAAAAGGTAGAAGAGAGAAGAAGATGAAGATAAAAGAAATAGAAAGACCCACTTGGCCGTTGAGCTGCTGGTGCAGTTGGTCCCACAATGATAAGACCAGAATCGACAAATTCCTTCGTAACGACGCCATTGTATGAAGCAGCACCAAGCATCACACGTAACCGGTACTTTCCTGGTCGCGAGATAGTCAAGGGTCCAAATTTGGCATATCCGCTAAGTGCACCATCGCGCACACTTGTTGTAAGACTTCCGCCTAGTCCTACTGCGGCGCCGGCTCCGGATTCATCGCGTAAAGAGGCGTGCACGGCAAGGGCTTGTACGTTTCGTGAAGGTGTGCCAATGGGTCGAATCGATACAACCACTGGAAGTGTAAAAGCTTGACCTGGACGTACGGAGGTAGGAGGGGAAACTTCGAATGAAAGACTGAATTCGCGGGCAGCCATGTTGGAAGGTCTTTATAGATGATTCCTTTTTTGACTTCAAGGAATATGCACAGGATAGTAGTGATTGAGCGGGATGAGGAGCTTTTAAGGTTCACAAGATCTGCTTGAACTGATTGAACAACTTGAATGTAGGACCAAGGATCGGTGAACTATAAAATAGATCGTGCAATAGAGTTCAGTAGAAGTGGAGTAATGCTTGAACGAATTGAGATAATGGTCAAGTGGGAGATTGAAGTAGAAATAGAAAAATCTCCACAGCTGAGTCGAGATACTGATCTATGAGAAGGATGAACCTGAAAAATCAACATGAAAGACACGGTACCGGGCTTCATATAGTTTCCGGGAGCAGCTGAGACTTCATGCACTGTTCAAAGATCTCAAGGATTCATACCTTGGATCAGGCGTTAGATTCATGGGGTCTTAGATGTTGCCACTGTCAAAAGTACCACGCGAAGATCGCATAACGATGGGCGAGTCGTGACCAGGTATTCGGGAATGGTTCTGTCAAGGCAGCCGTAAAACCTTAGGAAATGACGGAGTTATGGAATTCAAAATTCCCTAAAAATCAATAATATCCTCAAAAGTAGAACAAAGGGGAAGAGATCAACCGGCCGACTTGGGGGTTTCGTTCGGATGCAAGAATCCTTGCTGCAGCACGTTCTGGGAACAAGGAGATGAACAGTGGGGAAAACATGATCTGGTTTTGCTTTGGGCTCTGATAGAGCGTAGATCACTGAGGGGATAAAAATAATAGACCAAATCAAGTTAAATTAGATCTGAGGGATCGAAGATTGTGCTGCAGGTAGATCTGATGCTAGCGAGTGGATCAAAGTCTAGAGCAATCACCCGGTTCTCCACATAAGATATGATTTAATTCCCATCTTTTACTAGTATACAGTAGTACCCAGGAACAGTGAGCAGATTAGCACGCGCCTTCTCATGCACGATCGACGTTCATGTGCATTGAGAGTAGCATCAATTCCTGGAAACATCAAACCCCCCTCGAGGATTCTTTCCCTATGCATGTGGTAACATCATTATCTGATTTGAACTGATGATTCGATGTAATTTTGCATATAATTTCTTTTTTATGATTTCCCCTTTCTTTTTTTATCAATTAATTTCTATTTCTTTGACCTTTCGGCTTTCTTTTCAATAGTCCGGTGCACGGATCCACTATGCACTTAATGCTGATGCTCGACATGGAACTTGAACCCCGCTACCTCTTTTGATAGAAACTGCCCGGCCCGTCGCAGCTGTCATAGAGTTACAGTTAATTAGATCACACTATTAGCCACATTCTGTGTGATACTCGCCTCACTTTCTGAGATTTACTCCGAGAAATGTGACGAAGGAGGCAAATAGTAGTATACTTTGATAGAAATAGAACCATGTACGTACTAGTACGACGGAGTACATGGAGTAAGCTATGTAGAGTCTGTGCTGGTCCAATCCTATCAAGGGAGAGACGCGGAATCAACACTACACAGTAGACCGCGATATGAAGTACAGAAATGAAACCCCTACCAGGAAAGATGCAAGCCACATCAAAACGGTGAACTGTGGCGCGTGTGGAGTCAAGCCTGAGTCTAGGTTAAGCCAAGTCATTCCTATCGGGCTCTCCGAGACCTTGTTGCGGATGTGGCCCCCAATAATATTTGAATATTTTGAATAACTACCGGGGCTTTCTTGCCATCTTGAGATATTATTGCATCTTTGGAATACTGAGAGAAGAATAAAAAAGATGTTGCCTGGGGAAGAAAAAGATACGAAACCTGAAAACATAAAAAATATTCAATGTTATAGAAAGTGACAGCTCTGATCTAATCACACCAGCCACAGTTACAGATAGGATCATTCGTGCTCCGCTTCCGGAATGAACTTACTAAAAAGGGGAAACCTGCAGTAGCTTATGTACGCTTGGACACTGGACTGGGATTGCAGAAACAAAGGGAGTTCCACGAGGGAAGAAACTTCCACCGGGGATGCGTGTTGGTTCACTTGGCACTGATCCCGCTAAGGCTCTTTTGGTCTTGACGATCAATCTTGCCGATCGGGCACGGGCCAAGCAATAGTTCTATGAACTTGGGGGGTCTAGGTAGGAACTAGCCTGAGGAGGAGTATTCGCTTCAACTTCGTGGTGTTGGTAGTCTGATTGCAACCTTGCAATCATGATCATCGAACGAAAATCTCGGAAATCTCGGAAGAGGAAAACTCCCCCTGTTGCATTACCTGAAGCAGCATGAACACGCGGGGATTATTGCGTATGTTGTCGTCAATGCGATCGTCCGAACTCCGCAGAACTCCGCAGACTGCGACAGCTGCTACGTGTAGATGTCTCCGATGACATGTACAACAACATGAAGTCGTGTAACATTTGCCCAAAATCTATGAAGTTCAGTTTCGAGTTTGAGAAGTCACTCAGAATGTCAGAGCAAAAACTAGTGGGGGGGACTAAACTCGAAAAAAGTAAGATCATCGCCCTGTGACCAGGTAGGAGGGAAGAACGGCATCGTATGTCGCTAAGATGAGGATGATCATTGGTGGTTTACTTCAAATGTTCCCAAAAAAAACACGAAGAATCCCAACAAAAAGCAAAGAATTGCGCAAGGTCAACCTTGTTTCGTAGTTATTTTCCCTTTTCCCTTTTCCCTTTTCAATTTTCAATTTTGAATTTTTCTTTTTTAAGGGAGAGGAACCATGCACTGTAGATCCAATGGTCTGGGAAGGAAGATCGGGTCTAGGCTAGATCAAATAGTCGCACCGCCATAAACATCAGCCGCAGTGGCTAATAAAGTGGCTAATAATCTGTGGCTAAAGCAAGGAGTGGCTAGTGACAAATGTGGCGGTGTAGATTAATATTAGTATTATATTACCCAATTCGGTAGACGCTATACTCTCATCGTTGGAGCCCAAGCACTCTCGTTCTTCTTTGGGTAGTAAATGGCCTGGTCATTCATTTAATAGCCCCGCTATGGGCCGCTTTTTATCGACTCCCAGCATGGATACATGGATGCCCCTGGCTTGATAGAGTGGGATACAGGCTCATACAGCATAGAAACCCAAACTTGAGTCGTGTCCAAGGTTGTTCATGTGAATGCCTTACCGGAAAATGAGTGCATTTTTGCTGCTTGTCTCAGATGGGTAAGGCAATATACTGGAGAAGTACCTGTGGACTACACATGACCTATCACTCGGATATCATTAAGGTTGGGACGGCACGATGCCTTGGATCAAAGGAGAATTCGTCACAGGATGATGACATCGGTAAACATATCACATTCTTTGACAACTTGATTTGGAATTGGGATTTGAATTGCAGGGGACCTTGGAACTATCATACAGGGCGTTTATTAGAAAATAGCTAACAAAGAAAAAGATGACAAATGACGACTCGACCGAGAACCCTTGGAAGAAACTAGGAAAGCGGACAGAGTGGATGAAAGAAAAGTCATGCAACCATGGCACCATATGCAGTCTCGCAGAGGCACTTGAGTGCACCTATCAGTGCCATAGCCTGTATAAGAAAAACCAGCTTTTTAATGAGGCCATCAGTAACGGGTATCTCAAATAATCGAGAATACCCTTGTCATGGAACGTCAAAATGCGCAGAATGTATTTGTCAATGACAGTACGTGGTGAGCCATCAGCAAACATCATCCAGTGCATCATGTCCTTTGTTAGAGAAGTGGTCCGCTCTGCTCTGACAAATAGGTCCTCCTCGAAGTCCACGAGTTCAGGGTTAAGCTGAACTGCAGGGTTTGGTGAATCGAGAGCTTTGCCAACAGCGCGTGATAACATCAACGCATCTTGCATGCCCACGTTAACACCTTCACCAGCGAAGGGAGTCATGAGATGAGCTGCATCACCAATCAGTGTGACTCCAGGACGGTGGTCCCAGCGCCAACCAACAGGAAGCATATACAGCGAGGCGCTGGAAGGCTGCTCAGCTGATTTGATGAAGTTCACGAGATCTGGATGCCAATCATGGAATTGTTCTAACACCAACTTTTTGATAGCTTCAGTGTCATTGACATCATGAGGGAGAATCTCTCGCCAATTCTCAGGTAGTTGACACCAAGCATTGATGTACAGACTTCCATCACTGATATATTGACTCATGATGGAGCGACCGTCAGAGAATGAAAATACCGAGCCTCGGTTGGTTAATTTATAGGCCGCTGGTGCTGTCTCCTTGGCATTGGGAATATGGAAAATGTATCCAGAAATACCAGAGTAGTCAGGCTTCTGATCTGAGAGATACCTGCGGATCTTGCTCCATGCGCCATCAGCACCAACAACCAAGTCGAAACCGGATTCAATACCATGATCGAATATTAAGTTCCGGTTCTCGTCGATCTCACGAAGATGACATCCCCATCGAATCATCTCCGGGGGCACAGAGTCCAGGAGCATTTCACGGAGGCTTGATCGGTCGATTTCAGGACGGCCAGCGGAAGACGTTTCATCTTTAGCAGTGAGGGAGATATATTTGACAAGTTTCTTGTCGCAGATAATCAAAGCTTCGCCGTCGTATCGGACATGTTTTTTGAACTCATCCCATAAACCTGCTTCTTTGATGGCTGCAAGACCGGTATCCGGGTGTAGATCGAGAGTGCCGCCTTGTTGGCGAGCATATCTGGAAGGTTCGGATTCAAAAACGACCACTTCGAGGTTTCGCTTGGTAAGGTTATGGAGTAGCCTAGCGAGAGTGAGACCGACAGGTCCCGCGCCTATAATCGCGATTCGAACAGACATGTCACTGGATGTGGGGACTTCGAGTTGTTCTAGTGGACTAGTAGATGGTGGTATAGATAGAGATGAAAATCGGGTAAATTTTGGGGCAGTGAATTTGGAAATAATGTATGAGAGTGCAAGGTTGATAGTATTGAGAATATCCAGCACCGTGATCATATAGATGAATGATAGATGATATTGCAGTACTAGTGGTAAGTGAATAGAAATTGTGAATCACGAAATTAGAGTCGGCCGAGCTTTGATCTTATATTTTTCAAAGTTCAGGCTGCCACTTGCAGTCCAGATTTCCACCGGTTCCATACACCTATTGTGCGAGAACTGTCGCATTTTCATAACCAGGACCGATCAGGTTGCGTACTGCGAAGAAAACCCCGAGTCCCTGCGCCAGTTGCGAGGCTTATTGATTGGTTGAAGCGGAGTATCCCTCTGCCTGGGTATCAATTGAATTCAAATCTACCCCACTCATTGCGGACTGGTAACTGAAATGGGAACAGAGGTCCCACTTAGCACCCACTTAGCACCCGCTGGTGCTGCATTTTGGCGGTAAAATCTCCACCGTTCTATTGGATCAAATTGTTAGTTAATGAATAATGCGCAAACAAGAAAGAAAAAAGTGGAGTATGTTGTCGGTGTGTGGATTTTGTCCGGAGTATATGTACATTCCCTTGTAGTCCGTACCTAGGTAATGAAGGATTCTATCTCGAGGCTGTGAGAAGAAGGATCTGAACATTTGAGCCGTAGTGTTCCGAGCTAGTATAGTGGCTGATCTGCCAGTTGGCGGTACTACTTTGCAGTGAACACGCGGAGTTTGAAGTCTCTACGGAGTACACGAGGTACGAAATACGATATAGGTAACTTGTGGCAAACATTTGAAGTCATTTGAAGTATCTCAGAATTCTATAGCTTTTACCTTGCAGATCTAAAAATGTATGCTTGCGCGTCATTTTTCCATAGATCATGCGTGTATCCGATTTTACTAGGTGAAAATGCCGTGTCCGACCACCGAGTCCGAGCTCCGCCTCGCAATGGTTACCTCCCGAGGTCATCTCTAGGCGGCCTCCGACTACATTGTAATAACTCCGCCAATGCATGGAAATTGGGCTCCGACGTCATTTTGCTTGCAATTAACAATCTGAAAATTATGATAAATCATCATGAACCTTGCGTAATCATAACTTTACTCTCCCATCATTACATCCCCTCGGAGGGACTAGGCAAAACAAGCGCCGCCCAACATGAGCAAAAACCAGCAACCCATTCAACCTCATCCAAGATGAAAAATATACTCATCTCTACCTAGGTATGGGGAGATCGATAATGAAGAAACAATGAAATGACTGGCGATCTCTTGTCCGGCAGTGTCAGACATGGAAACCTTGCGGGGTGTGCTTTCCTTGCTTGAACACACCATGGCCTTCTTGAAACTGGCATGTAGACCTTTCGGTCATTCCATGTGCCTTCAAAAGTCCGAAACAATATCGTTACTCTCTTCCAGTCGGATTAACTAGTCGAATGGCGCCATTGGTGATTCGACAGAGCCATTCACTCGTTCCATCACCTCCCCGTCCGCACAAGGGTGAATACACAAAGCCCGTTGAGGTGAACACCCATATCGACCCCGTTGTCTTTGCGAAGCTTTTCGCTGGGACAGTGGGAATATTCATTCTTTCGGTCTTGATCTGGAAGCTTGGCAATTTCATTCGCTCATTTAGCCAGTACAGGGTGCTGAGAGAGGGCAACTCTCCGACCACGCGATATGCGAAGACGTGGTACGGGTGGGTGACTCTCAAGACGCACGAGAGAAATAAACAGTTCTTTCGCGATATCTTTACGAAGGTATCAAAGTGGACTGCCTGGAAGTCAACGAGAACGGATTATCGATGGGTTTGGTGGGATCCTGGCCAAGCAGCATTGACAGCACGACGGAGGAACCGAAGGCTCCTGAGATGGTTGCCCAAGTTTTTGATGAGCTATGAGTCGCCTACTGCTGATGAAATTTGGAATCCCGGTCTCCGTGTTGAGTGTCATGGTGCATTGCTGGTGCCCGAGGAGCCTAGTCCGATCCAGCTGTTTGAGAGGATAAGGGAACGGTCTGAGGAAAATGCCGATCCGATGCCGCGAAAGCCATGCAGAACACCCAGTAAAGAGGAAGTAGCCATCATTATGAAGCCACAAGATGTCTATGGACAGGGTCATTCACGACTCAGCATATACACTTCTGAAGACCGCCGGGAGGATGTCGTTTGGTATGACGCAAGAATGCATGTTCTTTCCTCCACCATATCGCTTGAAAATGATAGAGGCTCGTTGGAAAAAGGAAAATCTCCGACCAAGCGGGATGCCTTATCGAGGCTTCGTTCGAATGTTGAAAAAGAGACCATGCACCTTGCACAATTCGACGGCCCTGGATCCTTCCGAATGACTAGACCCCATGCAGCAAAATCTCATCAGCCCTCACGAGACCCACCACGCGGACCTACCATTCCCCGTGCGCATGTGCGGAAATACCAGGTGTGGTCTGCGAAGATGCAAGTGCAAGCGTCAAAGGCATTGGTTAAGGATCTTAGAGACTCGTCTGGACCACCTGGGACGCCTATCGTGGAAATGTTTGCTAGCCTTGATTCAGAGAAAAGTGCTGCTGCAAACACCCAAGAACAGCAAATGAGCCGTGTCAGTGAAAGGTCGGGAAGCTCTGTCGAAAAGTTTCCCTTCACAATCCAACAGGCAGTCATGAGGAATCGAGCCCACCTTTTGGATAGAGCACACCCCGGGAAGACTCAGACTCATTACAACACACTGCCTCTGCGGCTCAATGGGATGACGAGAGATTCCCAAGGATCTGGGAAGATGGAGTCCTCTGCTCGTGATCGGAACCTCGATATTACCCGGCACACAGTTCATGAAGTGCGGGCACAAGATAATGTCAAACCTGGACCCCAGGACCACAGAATCGTACCAGGCCCAGGGATAGATCAGAGCAGGATGAACCTCAATCAACTCAATGATTGGGAGGTCAGACTCATAGACATGGTAGACCGAAAATTGACATGGCTTGTGAACGAGACAACTCCTGGTCAAAAACCATACCACTTTTCTTTGCTCGCAAATCACTGGTTGAATAGAGAGACTTGGCTGGTAATTGATCCCGTATCAAGAGTTTCCACCGATGCACGAAGAAATCAAGGTGATCCGCGGCACAATGTCCCTTATCCAGAGCCGGACCTCGGTCGCAGACCCAAATACCCTGCCCCCGTGCGGAAACGTGCCCATCATCCTCGGATCGACTCCTGGCGTGCTGCTGTCAACCGTCAGAGGAGAGTATCCGGAATAAGAGAACGCATCCAGCCCGTGGAGTTATACGAGGATTCCGCTGAAGAGCCACCGGATGGTCATATTGACCCTGCATGTTGGATGTTACCAAGGCCTCCCCAAGGGTTCGAAATGTCGAGCAAGCAAAGAAACGCGTGGTACGAAGGAGGCGCGGGCTGGCAAGAAAAACTTGATGACTGGAAAGCAGTGAAACGTGGTTACCGTCTTCGAAGAGGCATCTTCGATGGACGGGTTAACAGGAACCGTGTCATAGAGATTGGGCAGAATATCAACGGATATTGTCGCCGGGTCTTGTTAAAGTCAACACCTAAATCAGCAGAGAGACGATCAAGAGTTCAGTCAGCGCCTTGAGTTGTTTTTTGAGAATGGGGCCGGAGTCCGTCTTTTCTTTTTCTCTGGCCGAAGACAACCATTTTATGTTTTTAATCTCTTGTGATATCATTACCTACCACAGTCGTTTGTCCTACTCCTAGAAGACTGCCGCGCTCCAAATAATGAAGACCCTTTTTAAACAAATATTGAAATGTAAGAAATCGATCTAAGCGTTGGGTAATAAAACATGTGTAATTCACGCCATTCTCTTTCAGAGCGGCCGCGTTTTCGCAAATGCCAAAAACTCCAGGAATCCTTCATATGTTGTTTGAGCCCGGACCAACTATCGAATGCAGGTATAGCGGCAGAGCATACGGTGTATAATACAGAGAGTGACTCGATCTTTCCATGATGGCGAGCCATAGAGGGTGTGTCCGTCGTAGTCGAACGGGGAAGATAATATCGAGGAGATCTTAGAAACCAGGAGGGTTCACACGCTGGCTGACACGAGTCCACTTGGGCAGCTCTGCAGAAAGTTCCAATTAGCATCGCACAAAGTCCCCCCCGACATACCCAGGTAGTAACATACTGTGAATGCTCTTGCGGTAGCTCTTCTCCTTCTTATCGAAAAGGGTGTATTTGTCCTTAGGCAGCATCTCCTCCTCACGCGGCATCTCCGCGTACCAGCGCTCAACGGCCTTGGTAGTCTGGCCGTTTCGTTGAAGGGCTGCGCTGAGAGTGTCAACGACTTGGTCGACAGCGCGGAGACGCTTGCGTTGACGGGCCTTCTGCGGCGAGGACAGACGCCATGGGGTCTTCCTATTTACCGGAACAGGGATTAATTAGTTTTTGATGCACGGTGAATGTCAATTGTGTGTAATACGCACCAGAGAAGACCTCCAAATAGGGATTGGGTGGGCTTGAACATGTTGAGCTGATATGCGGATGTTGGTGGAATCGGCGAAAATCGTGCTCGAAGTCGGAGTTGCAATTGGCCCGTGCGGTCAATCATATACTTGTTACTCTTACATTTGTCTTCACTTTTATCAACAATTACGACAATGTATAGAGTGAAATCAGGAATAGAATACTCCAATTAAATGAATAGATGGCATGATTATCTTTTGTTTAAAAAAATTCTATATATTATTGTCTGTAATTGACTGTTTTCTTCGTTGAAATTTCCTTTACCCCGGCTTAAGTCATGTGATCTCAATGGATAAATGTGTTTCGCCGAGAATTGGAATCTTTCCCTGACTCCCTTGCTCAATTCTATCTGGCTTGGCCAGGAAAGACGTTCCTTTCCTGTTGTTTTCTGTGTTGTTAATCCCTACGGACTCGGTCTATGGATTTTCTCTAGAGTCGCGTCTCTCCTAGTACCATGGACTCCGGCGCAACAGGCGATTACCCATCGCTCCCCTGGCGAACATGGTCCAACATGACCATGTGGGGTGTAGCAGGGTTATGTCGCGCGTTTTTATCAGGCCTCTGTCATGCAGAAGTTCATGGCGGCGAAGCCTTTACAGAACTCCTTGACTCACGGCTGGATCCGTCGCAAAGAACTAAAGGATTGATCACCGGTATTTACACCCCACCAGTTATGAATTTGTTGCGAGTGTTTATTAATTGATTTGGGATTGCCTTTAGTTTCGAACCATATCAGCGTGTACGTCCCTTCTAAGCGATCCGATGACGAGAATCCTCTTATTCAAAGTGCGAAAGTAACTGACCGTGTGTTGCGACAACTAGTATGGACGATCCACTAGTATGGGGAATGTTGCCCGCTAGATTCTGGAACAAGCGGTGGTCATTTGGTAGCCATGACATTTGCTACCAGACCAGGTGTGTTGATATTACAATAGCCAGACCGGGGAGTACGTTACTGATCAAAGTCGCGTCCCTAGACCGCTATCTTTCTTTTTCACCATGGGCCAAGTCCTTCCTACGCACCGTCTTGCCCATTCGCCATTCGGTGGACTTGGACAGCCAGCGATAACACAGGCAATCCGTCTCTTGTCGAAAGGTCCCTTCCCCGTCGACCATCATCGCGCCCACGAAGAACTCCAGAAATTCAGCACGCAGAATGTCTGTGTCGACCCATTCTCGGATCTCTCCGTTGCGTATACCACAAATGGTGATGACGCCCACATCGCACCCTCCGCCTACGCATGCAATTCACACTCATGGGTTCATATCTTCCCCGAGGGCAAGATCCACCAAGCTCCACGGAAGACCATGCGTTACTTCAAATGGGGAATTGCTCGTCTCATTCTAGAAGCAAACGAGTGTCCGGATGTAGTTCCTATGTGGATTGAAGGCTTTGATGATGTCATGCATGAGAGCCGTGAATTCCCTCGATTTCTGCCTCGCCCTGGGAAGAAGGTCAGTGTGACTTTCGGCTCGAAAGTCGACTCCGAATCTGTCTTTGGAGGTGTGAGATCTCGATGGCAGAAGCTCAAAGCAAAGATCGAAGCTGCAGATGCTCAATCTCAATCTTTGCCTGTAGGTGTTTTGAGTGATGAGCTGTTGAACAATAAAGAAGCTGTTGAACTACGCAAGGAGGTCACTTTGAAGATCCGCAATCTTGTGCTAGATGTGCGCAGATCCCGTGGTCTGCCCGATGAAGATCCTAAGGAAGGACTCGTGGAGACCTGGCTGGAGGAAGGCCCTAAGCGTGAAGGGCACATGAAGGATGATTCCTGGGTTAGAGATATCTAGTCCCAGCCTGTATATTAAATGTAAATAGTGCATAGATCAAACATAGACTTTTTTCAGGGTTAACCTTCCAAATTGTACTTTGTATACATGTTTTTAGAGTAGAACCCTTGAGGGCGGTGAGAAGGGCGGTGAACAAGATAAAGCGATAAGCGGGTAAATTGCTTCGCCTCCGCATTCTCATTGTTGACTCCTAAACATCACCGGTCTATATGCCGAAGAAGCACAGAAACTCATTCGCATACACAAAACCTGCAGCCACAGCTCACCACTCGCTCACATCATCTGCTGAGTTGTCAAGGGCCATTCACAATGCCCACCATACCAGATTTGGGACCGGACCCGCGAGGGGTCCGGAAAGATCTATGGGCCCCACGTCAATCGACGACTCATCAGTCAACGACCTAATCAGTCACCTGCGGCGTACACAAGGCCTTGGTTCAGCTGAGAGCTCCTCTTCCTCTTCTCATTCTTTTGAACCACAAAGATCTCTCCCACCAGCGTTGAGAAACATTCTACAGCTTCCCGAGCATCCTGCACCTCGTCCTCGACGCAACATATTTCAAACTCGAATTAACGGCCGGCCAAGGCGTCTTCCACCTGGTCCTCCAGCTCCAGAGAGTTGGTCATCTGAAACACGTACCAATCAACACCCTCTGTCAAGACACGGCAAAATGGAGCCCGCCACCCAAGACCAAATCATTTATCGCCTGAACAGGCTGCCTGGGGGTCGCTTCCCGGAGCTCACAAACCGTGGAGCTCGAAGCCTTCAACATATTGCTCTCATGGGAATTGCTATGAACTGGGCCTCGTATGTGGAAGACGTTGGAGAATTCTTGTCCGACCTCCCCACTCATCTCAAGCAAATGCTGCTCAGCTATGTTGCTTTCTACTGGAAGCCCACGAACTCGGAGAACCCAATGAATGGATTCCGACCACTGTATTTCGGCCAAGCTGAGTACGACCGACTTGCCAGAGAGCACCCGGGCCGGTTCCAGCGTAGGCATATCACCGACTCTCAAACCATTCGCTTGGATCTGTCAAAGGCAATTGGCCATTGGTTGACTTTCAGACAACTGATGAGAGCACTGCGATTACCAAGTATCTCCAGCCGCACCACAGACCCGCCAACTGAGAGCTATGTGCCCGACTCATGGGACGAAACCGAGGTGGGAGCCGTGCCTCGCCCAATACAAGGGCCGCGCTTTTCAGGTCTTCGATACCTCTCACTGGCCCACCCAAAGCCGGGAAGCGTGAGCTGGATGGAGCTGGTGAGCCTCACCTCACATCTCCCGACCCTCACTCACCTATCTCTTGCGCACTGGCCAGTGCTACCGCGGGCTGCCGAATACACCGGCTTGAGGACGAATTGTTGGGCCGACCACGCGGGAATCCTTCGCCAGATTGCCCGCAACACCAACTGCTTGAGGTGGCTCGACCTGGAGGGGTGCACTGACTGGATAAACGCCCTGGTGTGGAAGGGATTGGTCCCAACGGGCAATGGCCCCATGGATACCGTCCCCGCGGGGTCCGATGGTCCGGACTGGAATGGCGCTTGGCGCAATGTCGAGGACCTTATCCTGTCCCCGGGCTATTGGATCCAGCCCCAACCGGAACCACCAACGGGGCGTTTAACCCGGGCAGTGCAGAAGAAGAGACAGGAAGCCTGGCTCAAGACGTTGTCAGATACGACGGAGTTCCGGACCGACGTCCGAACGGCCCAGAGTGTCGCCGACGCCATCAAGGCGCTCCGACGAGAGGCCCATGGGAAAGCCATTGTGGTGGAGACTGCGGAAGATGAGGAGATTCCAGACATCAATGAGTTGATGCGCCTGGCTGATGAGGAGTACTAGGCATTGGCCGTGGTTTGTTTCTTTTTCTTCTCTCTTTCTTTCTTTTTTTTACTTCTTCATTGCCTCTGATCACTTGGCAATAAGCATTGCACGGCGCGAGTCGTTTTTTTCTTTCCTCATTCTATTACTCCCATGCGATTTCAACGTAGATTAAACCTTCACTTGAACGTAAGAATAGACTTAATTGGTCTAGTAGAAGTCAGTCAATGAGGCCTTACTTCAGAGTAACGAGTAACTTCAATAGAGCTCAATTTAAATGTACTTTTCTCATTCCTATTTTTGTGGTTCCAGATAACTATACAATAATGGTATCATAGCATGCACCCAATCTAACATCTTTGTCATATTCAATCAACCTTACTTTCTACCCCGGTTGAAAGTCTTCAAAGGATCAACCTTCCCACCGGAAGGCTTCCTTCCACCCTTACCCTTCGCACGATTGCGATCTCTAGCCTTGCGAATACGATTCTCACTCGTCTTCTTGAAACCAACATATCCAATTTCTTCCTTCGAGAGACCCTTACGTCCCTTAGCCGGCATCAGGTACTCGGGAACGTTTTTCAAGTGAGCCTGAATACGAGCAGCGCGAAGCTCACCATCGTGTCGCAATTGACGAAGCTCCTCTGGGTTCTCCTCGAAATGACGCTTCAACTTCTCACTCTTGATCAGCTCCTGACGAATCTCACGCGCACGCGCTTCTTGCACAGCGAGACGGGTAACAGCGCGCAACGCATCGCTCATACGGTAGCGGAAGGCTTCAACTTGTGACATCTCGAAGTGGTAGGGTCGGACCTCGTGGCCCAGTTTGCCCTGGCGCTTAGTGATCTTAGCGAGAACGGTCTCATCGTGCTTAGCACTGCTAACCGATGTAGGCTTGTGTTTGCCATACATATCGGAGGGAACAATAAAGGAGAGGGCCATGCCGGCTTTACCGGCGCGGCCGGTACGGCCGATGCGGTGAGTGTAGGATTTCGAGGTGGTAGGGAGATCGAAGTTTAGAACACAGGCGACGTTCTGGAAGTCGACACCGCGTGAAATGCTGTAATCCTTTTCCTTGGCGGTCATCTTGCGTCGCTTTCCGGGTCGGGACTTCTTGGTAGTTGATTCCTCCTCTTGATCTTCGTCCTCGCTGCTGCCCATTTCTTCCTTATCCTGATCCATTGCGTCCTCGTCGACGGGCTCAATAGACTTCTTGGTTGGCTTGGATACTCCCATAATTTCCTGCTCGTCTGCGGCGATAATAATGTCGTAGACGCCCTTATTGAACTCTTCCACGACGTGTAGACGAGAATTAATGGGAAGCTCTGAGTTGAGTACACAGCTCTTAATACCGAATTGTTCGAGGAAAAGCTTGACACGGTAGCATCGGTCGACGTCGTGCACGAAAATAATGACCTTTCCCTTGACTAGTTGCAGCTTGAAGATGACATATGTCAAGAGGAACTTCTCGTCCTCGGCACACCTATTCAATCGGTTAGCTCTGGAATGGAGCAGAAAACCCCACGAAAGGGGACTTACTTAACGACAAATTGGCTGACACCAGCACCCTTCTCTTCCTTGTCTTCCAGCTTAAGGATGACAGGGCTACGGCAGAACAGACTCTTCAGAGTATCCACCTCAGAGGTAAGAGTAGCACTCATAAGGAAAGTCTGCACACCACGAGGGATCGCCTTGGAAAGCGCATTGATATCCTCATCATATCCATAGGAAAGAACCAAGTCGGCTTCGTCGATCACCAGATGTGTAAGCTGTTCGAGAGACAGGGCCGAGTTGTTGACATTGGCAAGAACACGGGTAGGTGTGGAGATAACGAGATCAGGGAAGTCGGCGAGAAGTGATCGCTGCACAGCATCGGAAACTTTCTGTGTCAAGTTGACGGATCGGACATCCTTTCCACAGAAGCTGGTAAAAGATGTAACGACTTTCTGGACCTGCTCGGCAAGCTCGCGGGTCGGAACGAGGATGAGTCCGGATGTCGCCTTCAGGGAGAGATCATTCTGATCAAACTGTGTTAGTAAATGTTTCTCAACCCTGTCGATATCAGATAACTAACAGATTTGCGCTGGAGGATCGCTTGAAGTACTGGAAGAACGTAGGCAGCGGTTTTGCCAGATCCAGTCTTCGCACGGGCTATTTCAGGTCAGTAGGAGTTCTGTACATATGAATGTCCTGTCCGGGTTGAACGTACCCAAGATATCTTTTCCTTCAAGAGCCAGCGGGATAGCCTTGGACTGTACGAGTGTCGGCTTAGAGAACTTTTCCTTAATCAAGGCCTGGCGCAGTCTTGGGTCGAGACCAAGAGCTTCGAAATCAAGCTCCTCCTCTGTGGCAGCAGCCTTAGGGGAGGGAACGTCGTTGGCATCCAGTTTGCGCTTCATATTTGATGTGATGTTTGAACTCTCGACTCTCGAGGGAAGATTTGAATTGCTAGATTTGGGAAATTTTAGCGGGCGGTGAGATTTCCCAGGGTTTTCTGGGCGGTCAAGGATTTTTAAGATGCTGACTCATCCAATCGTGTCCCAATGCGGAAAAATCGCAACATTCTCTTCTCTTATCTATCATGTCACTGATTGCTACTTCTTGCAATATTTGAGAGGTTCTGTTAATTAACACTTTCTTTTGGGCTGAATCAGGGTCAAACTTCTAGCCAGAGAATGAAGCAGCTAAGATCCCTGGCTTCAGGTGAGTTAGTTGGATCAATTGTTGCAGTGGGGCAGTCCGAGTACAATGAACAGGATAGCTTAATTTCAGAACGAACGTATATGACATGTCCTCCTAAACGAGCGCACCCGCCTTCATTTGGAAGTCAAAGCTCAATCAAAGACCAGAAAGTGAGAAAAAATATTCAAATGTCCCAAGGAAAAGAACATAGAAGAACAAGGTGACCTCTCAAGGTTGGAAACTTGAGCTCGAACCAACTCTCGTGCCCAGGTAAACAATAGCCTGAGCCCACAGCCTACTTACTAAGTTCGGCCCTAGTGTATGCATTAAAATTGTGCAATGAGTCCTTTGTGATTTGACCAACTGGCAAGACCTTGACGTTATGCTCGACAGTGTAGACTTTGCCAAAATTCAATCGGGACATTGGGTCCAACTTCTGATCAGCTCTAGCCGGCTCAACCTCTAGCGGCTCTTTAATCATGGGCTCATTTTGTCTGGTTATCGGCTGACTACCACGCGTATAGATGATTGTATGCTTGCTGCGGTCAACTCCGGCTTTTGCCACGCCTTGCCCACTATATGTGGTGACGGGACTGCGAGCTTATCAGCCATTTGTACTAGAGAATGTTGAAAAGCATCTTCACTCACATACACCGGCAGCAGCCTTTCTGCTCCTTGATCACGACCATTCGACGAATACTGCTATATATTGGCTCTTGGAATTTACCTTTGGTATATTCTCGCCCCAGAGATGGGTCTTTCTGGCTCATGGTGGTTCCGTGATAACCTGCATTCTCGTGCCAAAGCATCGAGAAAACCTAGCATAAGTTAGACCCGATACTGGTAGGGCTGCCACTGAGATCTTACTCTTCCAACACGAAAGAACCTTCGAGGATCGCTTTGTCTCTTGTAACCTGGTCCGGGTCATCAGTCGCTGGGTGGTAAACCGACTTGGAAGATATTCAAGTTGTGGAACTTACGGGGGTCCAAAGTGTCATGCTCATTCCCACCTCCAAGAACCACATATGTCGGCTCTGGTGACTATTGTCGAACCCCATTAGTCCATCATATTGTGACACGGGTTCAGGCTTTGATTTACCTCCAGAGTATCAACGCCCTGTGAAATATCCCCTAGAACAGCCTGGGGGTCCCAACGAATATTCCCCGGACAGTTTCCCAGAGGAGTAATGAGTGGCGCATGAATGGATTCTAGTAGGCCCAGCCCACGTAATCTGAGGGACGAAGGGATTATTGCAGTTTCGTCACTATTGGAGGATGACGCACCACTGGCATCGCTGTGATCGGATATACTCGCACGAGTTGACCTGCGTCTGTTTATTGATCGATTGAGGTCATCGGGGTAGGTCAGGAAAGTACGGAAATCTGGTGAAATGCTTCCTCTTGCTGTCGCCGCAATGGAGTTCGCAATATAATGATGCCCTTTTTTGTCATAGGGAGCCCGCCGGTGTTTATGAACAATTTCGTGGAGCCCATGAGGGGAAGTGGCATACCATTTGTTGGGATATTCTAGGGGCAGCGAAAGATCCTGTCGAGTGTATTGCCAGGAATTCCCATTCTGGTGACCTGCATGAACCTGGGCGGTTTCTAACAAAGCTTGGTAACCATACGAGGTCCTTGCTTGGTGTAATGGCGAAGCTCCGGAAACACTCCTTTGTTGTGAAAAAGCACTGACTCAATTTAATGAGCGCCGAACCAATACAACTTCAAGTTTTGCGACTCTGGGACAACTCACCCTGATACTTGAGGCTCTCCCCATACTGTCTGTGTGACCAGCCCACCTGGCTGGTCGCACTCCAAACATGCCTTCCCTAATATTTGTTAATGATCCGTTTGTTCTCTTTCCTGCTCATAATAATGTTTCGTTGCCTGAAAGATTATAGATCAGACGGCACAAGCGTCCCCTCTCTGGGTGAAGAGTCCAATCTGCGGCCATAACTGTTACTTGTCATCTGAGTCTGTCGCATGAAGGGGGTTGGACCGAGCCATTTGTATCAGCGACGTGAGAGCATTTGATCGAGCTAACACCTGCCTTGTATCTTCTCTCGCATGTTCCATGGGGCTCGGGCCGTTTACCCACCCCGTGTGTTTCGAGTGAAGCGATTATGCATGGCGCTTATCTAACGCTTTTCGATGGTTTGTTGGCCATCGCTCACTCGCGGGGTCAATCATTTCAGGGTCACCTGATGCCTCATTTCAGGGGTTTAAGAGGTCAATACAGTTCCGTGGCTGAATTCGCATATTGCATCGACATATTAAACTTCAATCCTATTAACAGGAAAATGCAAAATGAGGGAGGCGCGGCGGTAAATGACAGGGATTGAGAAAGGCCTGGGGGGGTCACGGAGCGTCGGAGCGACAATGATTGGATTGCGGTTGGTCAGTTCTTTGGCCAGAAAGACAACAATGAGGCCCCAGAGCGATCACGCCAGGACGCATGAGGAAAGACTCAGACCTTCTCAGAGGTATCATGGCCTGTTGAGCGGTAAAAGATGTACAAGACCGCAGATCTCGGTCTTAACCAACATTTCGTTGTGTTGGTTTTTAACTTGTGATGATAGCCTGAAGCTTCGGCCCCGGCCCGCCTTGTAAATGTGATAGGATCCTCTTACTGTTAGATTACAGGGATTCCAGGATATCTGCGAGTAATTTCGTGCTGGTCTGAAGCCTTACCATTCCCCTCTTTTTGACGAGTCAGGATCTGAACAGCCCCGCTAAGATTCGATGCCATTGGTTCCATCAGTGAAATTTATGCTATGCATTTGCTAGTATGTTGATAACAGAAGTGAGCCATATCTCAATAAATGGTGGAAATCCCCGCAGACATGCAGCATGACGATGAACTTTCCATAGGTTGCCTGGTGGCGGCCGTGCTACTGCCAGTATCCTCGCATCAATAGGTAGAGCACATCTATGCAAGATGTGCTGATCTCGCTGCACATGTAGCACTGTTACACCATTTCGCCAAAGATAGAGACCAAAACTAGAACGCTGGTGATCCTTCGACGCTTCAAAGCATAGCTGAGCGATACTTGCAGTCTGAATTATTCCTTGGAGCCTTCTTTTGTCTCTTATATCAACAGCCAAAACAATAATAGCGCCAAAATTGCCAGAATTGTGACCAACATACTCCTGGAAGATGTCTCCACCAAGCGGAAATAGCACCAAGATTTGGATATTCCCCGACATCTGGAGATTTGAAACTGAATATTCGGGAGATCTTGGCTCAATATTATACTAAATGGTGCTATAACATGTTACCGCTGTTGGTTTTATTGTTGGAGATCTAGATACCACGATGGCAACATACTAGTAAACTATGACTCGGATCCAAGGGCGAACAGCATGACACATGACACTGGAATCGACGACTTGGAATTTGAGTTAGTAAAAAATGCTAGTATTTCCAAGACAGATATATGCGCCGAATTTCAAGCATTGTGCCCAACTATTCTCCGAGCTATTCATCAACCCAACATCATGATGATATTCAATCTTGATCCTGGGAACTTTTGACTTAATCCATGATGCTTCAACCGACTATACCTCTAGCAACAAACCAAACCTGGTCGAAAAGCGCCGGCAAAGTGGATCACATTTAATTCCAACATGTACATCCATTGGAATTGACGTGCGCAATCTTGATGACTTCGAAGCACAACATACAGCTTTCGATCAACGCCACAATCGGTTGGTTTCCCCCATAACGCGTGATTGACTCTATACTACACTGTGAAAATAATTTTGAAAAGAACCAGATTCCAGGGGAAATCTATGCATTGCAAATCTCCACATGAAATAATATCCCGTGTCTACTAAGAACCATTTTGATATCGAATGAAAAGCTCAAGTGCTGCTCAACGGCAAGGAATCTACAAGAAAATCATCCCCTGGCCACTGGCATGGATGACTCGGCCGAATTTCTCGAAACATGCAAGTCTGAGAACAAGCCACATGTTTAGGTGACCAAATGGTCTCACAGAACTAAAGCTCATTCAGGGTGGAGATCCGGCACCTGCTTAACACTGGTAGCTATACATAGGATCGACACAGTATCAGCCAGATAGCGCTAGCACTGTACAAACACTGATAGTAACTTGGAACACGATGAATTTAGCGAGCAATTCGGATGCAAAGATGATGCCCAAAATTGAGTAAGTTCAAGTTGAATCTAGGATTCTAGATAGTCGCTTAGTATCGGGTATTCGGCAGCGGGGCCAATGAAGGCTAGATGTAGATAGCCTGAGCATGAGCCTGTTCTACATTGCTCTTTGTTCAATTCAGCAAACATTTCTGGGATCAGCACGGACTCGTTAAAGTCAATTATTTCTATTATCGTCCTTGTCGGGGAGAGATCTAATTATTTTCTCCGTTTGTCCGGGAAATTTCGGATTTGAAGCAACTGGTGATATCCTCGGGTGGGTCGATGATGTCTTAGTCCGATATACGGAATGCAAATTCCATGTGGTTGACAACTCGGTAATTTCATCCTTGAATGAGTAAACAACCTTTGGTATCATCTTCTTCGCGAATCCTTGACTATCAACCCTGCTTCCTTTGGTCCAAATTGCGGGCTTTGATCCAATATATCCGTGGATTTGCTTCCCCCGCATTCCCCAATTACGATGGCCTCTCTCAAGGAACAACTCGCCATTTTGGTTGAGAACTACACAGCTTGTGATGTGAGTCAATCCCAAGTGACTTCATAATACCTCGAGGGCTGCCTTTTAGTCTTATCTTTGTATATGTCCTCAATGTTAAAAACTTCTGCTCACGCTTCTTACAGATATCAGATGCCCTTTTGAAACTACAGAAAGTTCCAGCTGGGACTGCACCACGAGCTGGATACCTGGCTGATCTCAGTGAGTTATCAATAGCCCCTTTTCTATCATGCAACGACATGACGACAAGATTTTCCATGAACACAAAGTTTTGCATGCTAATATTCCCAACAGCACCATTCTCCCCGATAGCCGGAAGAAATGACACAGCGCGGAAGATCGCCGCACCAGCTACAACCTTCAAGTTCCTCAACAAGAGCGATAGTCCACCTGCTATTGCAGTTGAGAACCCTGAGAAGCACGGTTTCCCACCTGGCAAGCACTGGGTAGATTACGTAGGCGATTTTCAAGATGCAGACCCAGCCAAGGCTGGCTCGATCATTGTTATCGAACAACCAGATGAGCAGTACTGTGCTGTTACTGGTGGTATCATGGCTACTCGGATGAAGTATTTGGGTATCAAGGCTGCTGTAGTGGGTGGCAGAATACGTGATCTGAGGGAGCTGCAGGGTACAGAACTCCCGGTAAGTCTCAACTTCTTCGACGTTGACACTCCAGCTTCAAGTTGGTCTATTCGTTCCTTTCCTGCTGATACTAATACTCTATCTCTGTCTCTTAGATATGGGCTCGTGCAACTTCGACTGTTGGCACAGGCGCTGAGGCTAAAGCTGGCGTGCGTAACGTGCCAATCTCCATAGGAGGAATCACCGTATCACCAGTAAGTAGTTCACATTATTCTGATATAAAACAGCTATCTGACGACTGGCATGCATAGGGAGATATTATTTTTTGTGACCCAATGGAAGGAGTGGTGGCTATTCCACGGGATCTACTTGATGCTGTTCTTGAGACTATGCCCAAGTTGATCAATATGGATGAACAGGCAAGAGAAGCTGTAGCACAAGGGATGAGTGTGACTGAGGCATTCCAGAAGTTCAGATAAATAATCAAATCAATTGCCTTTCTCACTTCGCACATACCTGAGTATTTGAATTTACTACTAGTAAAGCCGCAGACGTGTCTTGCCTCTTAGGCTTCACGATAGAGAATGTTTTTCCCCATAGTATCTGACATTTGGAACCGGATATCGATAATTTCAGTATGGAAATCTCTATCGAATAATCTCTTGACTTGAACTTGAACTCCCAGATTTCGATAATGGACCCATGCTGTAGATTACTTAGTGGGGCCCTGCGGCGGTGCGGAGTTGGTTGCGGAGCGCGGCAGATCAAATTCTCCAACTCCATCAACCTCCTCAATCTCAACTACACTATACCATCCACGGAACGGAGACAGCACAAGAACAATTTCTTGTCATACGCATCGCATCCTCTCATGCTCCGTCAACTCTTCACCGCAGCCGCCCCATTGGCGCGGCTCGCAAGTCCACTCACAACAACCCAACTCTCCTATCAACCAACATGGCGTCTCCTCGTACGACAATCCAGTACCCTCAAAGCTACAAAACAAGCCAATCTATGGAACGAAATCTAATTAATTTAAATAGCAAAGCCAAAAATCCCCCTTAACCCGCCTCTTCACAACAACTAGCACCCTCCAAAACTCGCCCTTCCGCCTCTCAACAGACAGACCAACCTCCCCGTACGCTGAAGAGGATCCCTATAGCCAATACCCACCCAAGCGCCAATGGCCCCCGGATATGTCGAAGCTCTCGCCGAAACACCAGTTCAGACTGGAGCGGAAATACCGTCGGCGTGCGGCGCTGAAGTATGCGCGACCCAAGTTTATCAAGGCTGTTACGATAGCTCAGTGGGTTATTATTGGATGTATGTTTGGTTCCTACCCTGATACCTGGAAGTGGAGTTTGAAATTAAACCATACGGTGGCTTTGTTGTGGTTTATTTGGTTACTGATTGGTATATAGTTGTCGCGATCTATGCGATTTTGTTCATGAATTGGGATACCAAGGATACACCGTTCGATGGGGTGAGTTCTTCTTTACTATTGTCTGTTTAGTGATGATTCATGGAACTTGAACTAACTGCTGCTGTCTTGGTAGATCCGAGAGAACTTTTTCGCTGGTCTCAAGAGCGTGTTCTCTACACCGCCACCTCCTGAACCGGTGAAGAGATCTGATGAGAAGAACTGAGGACTTGATGCAAAGTTGAATAAGTTGAGTCTATGTAAATCCTGGAGCTTCATATACTACTGTACAATATCATATGTTGGTGGGAGAGCAAGTACAATTTATCATCTTTGAGTAAAGTGGCGAATAATCGTGATCTATGGTTCAGCTGCTGAGCTGCCACCTGGGCATTGTCCAAATATCGTCTTCGGTGACTCTTAGTATCTATGCACATCAATGTGAGCACCTTGCTTCAAGTGAGGCACTTGCAAGGATATCCTCAAAATACCTCAAGAAGTTACATGTACATAACAAGGAGACCATTACTTCAATTCATGCAAGGCAGTTTTCAATAATTCAACGACGCATCAGTCAATTCTCATTTCTGTCATTGATCGTTATGAGTAAATTCAGTTGGAAACACAGCTATTGACGGCAAGGAAGAAAGAGCGAGACAAAAAAAGAAATAACATAATCCAATCTTTGCTCCATCATTCCAGGCCTGTACCCTGGCTTCATCACGTCATGTCCGCCAGGAATTTCTGGACAAATGAATATGCAATACCAAACACCTGAGATGCCAACGCCTGTAAAATCAAATAAAAGCAACAATAAGAAACACGTTCAAAAGGGACTCCATTGGCGCAACTTGATACCATCAACTGGAATGATGGTATGGGCCCGTAAATCATAAACCGTAACGCCGAGTCATGAAAGGTAGAGATGGTCATTTAATAGTTGAAAGAAAACATAGGAAAGAAGAGAAAAATAAAAAAAAAACGGATCAGGTGGGCCTTGTTCAACTAAAGCCAGCTGCGAAGATCGCTCGATGGAGTCAATGGACCGGATGGTCGACTCTCTGGAAGATTAAGAACGAGCTCGAGCTTTGGTGGCTTTTCGTCAATAATACCCTTCTTCGGACTTCCTGGTGCTACCTTCTTGGGAGACTTGGTAGGTGAACCAGGTTCTCCGTAGCGAGGAGGACCTTCACGAACCATCGTGTAGGCCCAGCCATCCTCGGCTGCTGCTGCAACCCAGGTTCGGAGGCACTCGTGCACACCGGAGTAGAACTTTTCTTTGCAAGTTCGTAGACTCCCACCCATCACCTTCTCGAAGCCGGATGCTCGCAGTTCAGAGCGGAGCTGGTTGCGTTCTTCCGCTGTAGGGAGAGAGGCAATCAGACCGTTGAGAAGATCAAGGTGGGCGGCCAAGTAGTTGGTAGCATCCCATTCAACGCCACCGACATAAGGGGCTGCAGGAACGGGCGGACGAGGTGGGGGGAAGTGTCGCTGGGAATAAGGACGGCTATCGGCCGACGCCTTGTTGTCAATAAAAGGGTCATTCGATGCGGTGTCTGCCTTTGCAAGTGGGATCACGTTGAGGTGGTGCAGGAAAATCCAGAACACTTCCTTAGTGACATTAGTCACCTCCTTGCACCAGACACGGTATGGTCGAGACTGGTATATATTGGCAATAAAGGCTAGCGGTTGGTTGTTTTCAGTTGGTGACGGATCCTTCAGGTAACCCAGAAGTCGTCGAGCACGCTCAGCGGGCTTTTCGTTTGAAGAGGTGGATGAAAGTTGGGTAAAGAAGAGGTTGATGATGATTCCGCGAGTTGTGAATTCGCTGGGACCCTTCTTCTCCTCGTCGAATAGCATCTTCAGCAGAGCGGGGAAAAGCTCTGCTTCGATGCTGGTGAGATGTGCGAGGGCGATGGATGTCGTGCAAAGGCCCTTGAGACAGAGCAATGCCTCGTGAAGAAGTGTATCCTCATGATCCTCACTGAGAAATTATTAGCTTGGCGTTCAGAACCGTTTAGTCGAGGAGCTGATACATACCGCCATTCCATCTTCATAATGCGGTAGATGAGCTGCACGATCTCATCCATTCCACCTTCAGTGATGAATCCATTGACCCAGCTGACAGTCTCGTTACGAAGCAGAAGGCGCAGTTTGTGGAGTTTTCCAACTTCAATCATCTCTGGCTTCTGGATCTCTCTCAGGTAGTGCACAAAGTCCGAAGGATCTGCCGCAGTATCAACAACCGCAGCTTCGGAAAGAGATGCAGTAGAGCCACCTGGGTGAAGGGTCGTGTAGACTCCAACAGGCTGCGAGAGATCTACAGATCGAGGACGAGCGAAGCTCCCACTTTCGGGTCTAGCCTTTTTCCCCGGAGAGGAAGACCCTCGACCAAATGTAAACCCCCGGCTTCGGGAACGAGACCGAGAGCCCCTGCGGTCCTGAGATTTTTGATCATCTTTGGATTCCTTTCCGCGTCCGCGACGACTCTCAGGGGGATTTGCACTGTGCGGTGTTCCATTCTCAGTACGATCCTTCTGAATGAAATCAACCTTGATGTTAGTGTCAAGGGAGCGCATCTTGTCGCGCATGTTATGAGGGATGTTTCTGGCATCCAGGAGCTTCTCAAACTCACTCTCAACATCCTTGGAGTTGAGGTGTTTGAGCACATCGGCATCTTTTTCCTTCGCATTGAATGCTGAGATGGCAGCTTGCACACGAGACAACTTCTTTGGGCTTGCGTCCCTTTCCGAAGGTCTCGGCGATGGAGGCTCAGGAGCAGACATCTTCCTTGCTCTTTCCATCACATGACCCTTGGAAGAGCCACTGTCATTGCCATCACCCCCGGTGGGAGGGCGCTGAACGGATCCCAGCATTTCCTTCACTTTCTTGTTTCCTGCCAGGTTCTCGGATTTGGGACGCGGCTTGGATTCACCGGGTTTGGTGAGGGACGGCTGTTGATAGTCGCAGAAGTTTCGTTGCTGTGCGGGGCTATAGCCCTTGGGCGTGTAGAGGGAGACTTCTTCAGCGACGCTACGACGTCTGTCTGCGGCCGAGTTCTGTCTGGAGCGGTTGGCGCGCTGCTGCTGCTGATACACGGGGATGGAGTCCTGCGCCCAGACTGGGGAGGAAGGAATGTTTGGCGAAGGCATGTTATCAACCAAGTCGGTCGGGCTGCGGTTTTCTTTATCGCGACTCTGCTTGAAGCCATCTTTGCGGCCGCGTTGGGACCGTTTCAGAATGGCGGAGAGACTGTTTGTCGATTTGGTCTTCTTGGGTCTCATCTCGTCTGAGTCCTCGGGTTCGTCCGACTTTCCTTCCTTTCGTTCCATGTAGCTTCGCAGGGACTTGAGCGAGACGGTACTCTTCGTCTTCTTATGCAAAGCCCCTTTCCCGTCCTTGTTGGCGGACTTGGATGCGGGAACGTTATTGTCCCTTGCGTCACGGTTCGGGACGATCTCTCCCAGTGGCAAGTGACCGGGTGCCGAAGTCGGGGCTTGCGTCCATGGAAACGGGTTCGAGGCCGAAGATGAGGCCGAAGACGAAGTCGAACTTTTGATTGGCGAGAGTTGGGGCGGCATCGCATCGTCTGCGGATTGGTTTCGCTTATGCTTGGATGAAATCATGGCCCGGAACACCGAAGCTCTGGAAGCACGACTGGCATCTTCAAAGATCTGAGGACCGGAAGTAGGAGGGGCCATTGCTATCACCGTTGACCAGCAACTGTGATCACTGTGATCTGTTAGGATATGGACCAGTCCTCTTGAACGGGCGCGGGTAGGGACAGATTCCACTCACGGGATGTCTCTTTTTTTTCTCTTTCAATGCAACCTTGGAACAAAAATCACGCCTGAATGAAAATGAGCACGCGAAGAGGGTAGCTTCCCCACACTCTCAAGTTAAAAGGTAGAAAAACAAGCCGCAATCAATGCAATCAAAAAAAAACACAACAGCAGACAAAATGCAAAGGCCAAGTGGGATGGGAGAAATAATCTGGGAGAAAACAAAGCAGCCGGGCAGCCGGGGAATTTGAGTGTCTTGCCACCGGTCACATCGAGGATCAGAAACTCCACTTTGCTTTAGGACCAGAGTACTAGCGTGGTGAAGTAGTCCTTGGGGTTGGCTGGATTAAGGGTGGATGGTGTAAACAACGTGCAGTCCCTTTGGTTGTACGGGGCAACGGTGTTGGCGGTGAACATAGATTGGACAATTATAGTCATTTATAGCCACTTATCACCACTTATACACACCTCACCCTGCATACGTATCGGTATAATTAGCTTTAGATCTCCCTTTCTAGGGATTTTACACTATTTTACCGTGGAAATGTGGAGATTCTTTGTTTTGATGAGGGGTAAAGTAGTTGTACCTTGATTCTACTAGTAGTTCTAGGTCTATCTTAGTTACTATACTTGGGAGAAACATCAACGGTCTCCGGGGCTACTAGTATTTACTAGTACTAGTACATAAAAGGTCATCCTATCCGGACTAAATAATAAATATCAGTCAGATTCCCCCGGTAAACTAATGTGACATCTGGATGAGATCATTCTAGATAAACACCTGGAATTCTGCCAACTGTTCTAGCCCAAGTTGGGCAGTCATACACATATACCCCAGCATCATCCTATACTTTGTTGATATTATGGCCTAGAACATTATAATTCGGTCCAGAGTCTGATTCTTTTTATCTGAACCTGGATGTTTGAATGATCGCATATCTACGTCTTACTACCTAAAACCGGGAATATATTTACACCCTCGGTCCTCATAGTGTTGTTTGTTGACATAAAAATGAGATGTTTTGTATTTGCTTTTTGTCAAGGTTAAACTTGAACTTCTCCCCCACTCGTCGGCAAATGTTCGTATTCACAAATTCAATAATTCTTCAAATATCCTTCACTCCGGAATGGTTCTCGTGACTGTTATTCTCTGTCCCACTCCAGATGCGTGTTGACTCCGTACTCGGGATCTTTTGACCCACTACCGTTTGCAAACGCGGGGAGATCAAAATGGTGTCTAGTCCGGGGTCATTCAGGTCCAAGAAAAATGAAGTCGTGAATTTTGAATTTAAGTAGTTATTCGACACTCATTCAAATAAGATTGATATGAAACATCTACTACAGGCAGCCAGAAATCCCCCTTCATATTTTTTTCCCTTACGTATTTGCGCGGTGAGAGTTCGGGACCGGCTGGGCAAGACCCGCCAACTTTGACATCGTCAAAAATCGGGCAGTTTCGGACTCCAAGGTACTCTGGTGATGAAATCTCTCCCGATCCTTCAAGGTTCCGACTCAATAGAAACTTATTAAATCATCGTGGCCCACTGAGATCAATTTCAACACACTTCATCTCTACAGCCCATCATGAATTGCCCCTCGCGGACAGATAACACCCTGGAGAACCCAGGCTGGAACCAGAATCCGCCACCCTTCAGTCCTGACACCACCACTCGCAATGACTTCAATGGTATCGCCAATTCTCGTGTTCACCGCAAGAATTCCACTGGTGGGGGCGGGGTCGGGGATGACACAATGTCTATAGATCCGCGACCGCATAGTCAACATGACTGTGATCCGGGCATAGAAAAGGCCCCGGACGGTGAAGTGATCGCGGCCTCGGGGTGTGAACCACCCTCGAGAGCCAGCGAATCACCTCGCCGTCCTTTCAAAGAATACATTTCCTCTTCTGCTCTACACTGTGCACGTAGTCTTGTCAAGTTTGGCCGTTTCATAGGACCCGGCTTCCTTATTGCAGTTGCCTATATTGATCCAGGAAACTACGCCACTGATGTTTCTGCCGGTGCAGAATTCAAATTTGCACTGCTGTTTATCGTGCTTCTTTCCAACCTCTTTGCTATTTTGCTACAGTCTCTCTGTGTGAAACTTGGTACCGTCACTGGGTTGAACCTCGCGGAGAATTGTCGTGAACATTTGCCACCATGGTTGGTATACATCCTCTATTTCTTTGCGGAAGCAGCTATAATCGCAACTGATATTGCAGAGGTATGTAAATCCATGACTATAGTGTCTAGTAGTTGAGCAAGGTCACTAATATCTACATTGACAGGTCATTGGTTCAGCTATTGCACTGAACCTACTCTTAAACATCCCCTTGGTGGCAGGCTGTGCCATCACCTTGGTGGATGTCTTCTTCTTACTCCTCTTTTGGCGTCCTAATGGTTCCATGTGGGGTCTGCGCTTATTCGAGTTCTTTGTCATGGGGCTGGTGCTAGCAGTTGTCATCTGCTTTTGTATCCAGCTCGCTATGATCAAGGATCAATCCGTTGGAGAGGTCTTTCGCGGTTACCTCCCTCGTCTGCGATTGTTAAATCCGAAGGGTAAGCTCTCTGAAATGAATAGTGTCGTTGTGAATACAAGCTAATGCTATTATTTCTAGACTCTACCAAAGCTGCGGTATCCTCGGTGCCACGGTCATGCCACATTCCCTTTTCCTAGGCAGTGGAGTTGTTCAGTCCCGCCTGAAGGACTTTGATGTCACTGCTGGATACGTCTCATCCACTGTCCCGCTAGGCAGCAATGGCGGCGAGGTTGAGTATCGACCCTCCATTCATGCTATTCGTGGCTGCTTAAAGTATTCGATCATCGAGCTGGCACTATCGCTCTTCACCTTCGCTCTTTTTGTCAACAGTGCTATTCTCATTGTGGCTGGTGCATCCCTGTATGACGTCCCTGGCGGTAGTGACACTGACCTCTTCGGCATCCATTCGCTGCTCTCCTCGTCTATCTCCCCTGCCGCTGGCTTGGTTTTCGCTCTAGCACTACTCTTGTCTGGCATTTCTGCCGGAATCGTGTGCACTATGGCTGGTCAAATGGTCAGCGAGGGGATGCTGAACTGGAGCGTGCAGCCATGGATACGCCGGCTTGTTACTCGTTCTATCAGCATCATTCCTGCCATCGCCATCGCGGCTTCTATCGGAAAGGAAGGACTGGACACGGCCCTCACGGCTAGCCAAGTTGTTCTTAGCGTTATTCTGCCATTTGTCTCTGCGCCACTTATTTGGTTCACCTGCTTCAACCGTTACATGACCGTCAAAACCGAATCTGACTCTGGCGATGGTGAGAACGAGGTCGAAATCGAAGATGTCCCGATGAGGAACAGCCTGTTCACCTCGATCATTGCTGTGCTCGTCTGGCTTCTAATTGTCATTATGAACGTGGCTCTACTGGTTTTGGTTGGAATGGGCAAAAATTGATTTATATTTTGCATTGCAGGCGATCTTGCATAATACCCTACATACTGGTTTTATCGAAAGTATATCATTACTACATGAAGAAGCGATAGACATAAACGCTAGATGATCATCGTTGAACCGAATCCCCGTAGGGCATCGTAACTAATGTAAAAAAAAAAAAATAAAAGTGGAAAAGGAAGGTCAGCCCTAATTCTAATGCAAAGAGATTATCCCAACCCTCCAGCAGCCTCCTTAACCTTCGCTTGCTCCGGCGGCTCATCAATAAACTGTGGTGGCGCCACCTCATCCTGCAAGAAACTCGGCATCGCATCCTCGCCTATTCCCGTATCAAACATCGACTCCTCGCCAAGAGCCTCCAACTCCGCGTCCAAATCCGCCTCATCTACCTCTTCAGGTAGGTCATACGCCCGTGAGATACTCTCCTGGATCTCATTACCCACCTCCATCAAATCGGCCATCTCATCCTGCATCTGCTCGATCTTATCGATGTCCACCTTGCCATACTGCTTTTTCAGTTCTTTGGTCGTGGTCTTCATGGCATCCACTGTTGTCATCACGTTCTTGAGATTATCCTGCATCATGCCTGCTTGCTCCATGTTCCATGATTGTTGAGAAAGCTGGTCTCGTTGGCCCTCGTACTGTTTCCGGCGTTGAAGGATCTTGAGGGCTTTTTGCCGCAGTGCATTCTTTCCGGGCCCGTCGCGCATCTTGGAGAGCTTGGCTTGGTAGGTTGAGAGTTCGGCGTTCAGAGCAGAGAGCTTAACATCGATACTGGCGACGCGGTCATCGACCTGAAGTCAAGTTGTTAGATTTAGATAAATGAATTGAATTTTGGCGTCTTACTTTGCTGATTGCGCTGTCGAGAGTGGGCTTGGGTGCCGCACTCTTGGTGCCGAATAGACGGTTCATGTTGGCGGGGATTGATATCGAGGGGTATGGTAGTTTGTGGAGGGTGGTAGATGGGTCTCAGTTTCTCAGATCAATGTACACCAAGCTATGTGGAGATTGAAGCTCGAGTATTCCTTATAGGGGGATGGGAATGGAGTAGGGTTTCTCGTCGGGTCTGAGTAGAAAGGCAGCAATCTAATGATTAGCCTTCGATAATGATAATGCGGAGGCCGACGTCAGATGGATGCCCTGGTGCCTTGATGCCTTACAGCCTTATTGCCTGAGGCAGAGCTCGAAAGAAATGAATGCACGTGATCTCATCTTTAAATTAGATGAATGATGAGATGAGATGATACAATGATCTCTCTACTATTACCTAAGGATTCATTCTCACGAGATATATGCGATTTCAATATGATTATCCATCATGACCTGGACCACCTGGTCAGATCAACAGTCAACTGGTTCTACAATATTCAAATATTGGGCTGGCCCAGATTGGGCACCTGGACTTGTATTAAGTACTTCCGGCCCCACGTTAGATCTGACGAGATCAGGAGGTATATTGCGCATATGGTACATCAGTAGGTAGAGTATTGATGGTTCTCGGACCCCTTTAAATGACACCTGATTTCAGAAGTTAACAATCACCTAAAAAAGGTTGGAAAGCCTGGAAAATATGCAAATCTCCGCGCACGAGGTCGATCCCTCCGAGTCTGCAGGATTTACTCATTTCTAACCCCATCCGAGGTAGAGATTACTAGTACATTATACAATGTGGTGGGAAAAAGGGAAAAGTAAATGAGAAAAAAAAGAACATATATAGTATTCTCCGTAGTTAGAAGTAACCTCTAATACAAATAATGTTATATAATATTATATCTAACCTGTAAACTTGAATAGACCACCGTGCTAAGTGCTAAGTGCTTGCTTATCTGCCGCTGGTCGGGGTTGCGATCCCCGCGCAGATGATTACATGTTAAATCCGCCCCTGCTGGAATCCCTTTCCAGCTTCAACATCTCTCGCGCCCTCCCTTCCAAACTTGACTCTGTCTGGATGGACCGCGTTGAGAGACCATCTATCTTTTACCGCGTGAACTCTCCACTCTCTCCCTCATTTCTTCTCATTTCTTCCCCTTCCCGCACTTATCAAAAACCCACACTCACACCGGAGCCTGAGGTCGGAATTCTTCCAAGGTTTGTGTGTCAAATTCCTCCCCATCGCTAAGCTTCCATTCTGGTCCATTCTGGTCCATTCTGGGTGTCGATTCCTTATCATTTTCTTGCTCCACTGCATCCCGATCTCATCAGATCAAGTGCCCGCAGCAGTCGCCCGCAAGATCGAGCCGCACCGCCGGGTGCACAAACCATCAGCTCCGTCATTGATGCAACCAATCCGGAACATCGCTAATACTCCATATCCACAGCGCGAGTTTCGCTTCCAATACTTCGGATTGTTTTTCGACTTCGGATCCTGATCATACCGAGAGAAGTTTCACGTCGCACCCCAACCCCCCCCGCCTTCCGCGGCAATCTTCTCTGTGTGTGAACATTGCGGTTCACATTGTGACCCCCCTTCCCATCTTTCTCCCACACTCGTCATTCCCCCCGTGTACCATAGACAGCTCCGTTACGATACCTCGGAGATTTTTTTTAACGACTTGAAACGTCCCATGAATCGTTCTTCTCGCCTATATACTTCATCATGTTCTGGCGTTTTGGGGGATACGCAAGTATCTCCACCATCGATACTCTTCTCGACAAACCCGAGGTTACCCTTGAGGAACTCCTGGATGAGCCGGAGATCACCCAGGAACTAAAACAGCATAATACAAAACTCATAGAATACCTGCGCGAGGATCATGTCTTGAAACGGCTTATGCACTATGTGATTGCACCAAGTTTGGTGAATGATGATGATGATGACGATGATTCCAACGACAAAGACGCCGCCAATGATGCGGGCACCGGCGAGCAACAAGACAGCGAAAGTACACAGGAGAAGGAAGAAAAAGAGGCAGATCCCTTGAAAAGTATTCTGGATCCCGAAGACCTGGAAAGAGTCGAGAAGACGCGCCTGAAGCATGCCTACGTGGCCTGTGAGATTCTCTCATCGGAAACATGGACAATTCTTGAAACCATCATGGAGAACCCGAACAATCTCCGTACCTTCTGGGGTTTCTTGCGGCGATCGGCGCCTCTCGACTCTCTGCAGGCGAGCTATTTCACCAAAGTGAACGAAACTTTACTCGACAAAAAGACGGAGGAGATGCTGGAGTTCCTGAAGGGATTAGAAGGAATTGTTCCTGCGATTTTACAACATGTGGATAATCCTATGGTTATGGACCTTCTACTTAAAATCATCAGCCTGGAGAAGGCAGAGGGAGGCCAGGGAACTGTGGATTGGCTGCAATCGCAGAACCTCATCCCCACCCTCCTTTCCTTTTTGTCGTCAACCAATCCCGCTTCAGTTCAGACGTCTGCAGGTGACTTCCTGAAGGCTATCATTACTATCTCAGCGAATGCGACCCCCAATGACCAATCTTGCATTGGCCCAAACAGTCTTACACGTCAGCTCGTTTCACCTGAGTGCGTGCAGCAACTGATCGATGCAATGCTTCAGGGTGGTAACCCATTGACTGTTGGTGTTGGTATTGTCATTGAGGTGATTCGCAAGAACAACTCCGACTATGACCCCGAGAACATGGGCGGTCTTGAATCAATGCCGACTCCTTATGACCCCATTTACCTCGGCCACCTTCTTCGCCTTTTTGCTCGCCATATTCCCCAGTTTATGGCTTTGATCCAAAGTTCGCAGCATGCTGTTTACGATGGCAAAGAGTTGAAGATTGTTGACCGCGGTCGCTTGAGTTCTGCATGGGGTGGCAAGATTGAACCTCTTGGCTTCGATCGGTTTAAGGCCTGCGAACTGATGGCTGAATTATTGCACTGCAGTAATATGGGTCTTCTGAATGAGTCAGGAAGTGACGAATATGTCCAGCATAGGAATGAAGAGCGCGAAAGGTTGATTAAGGATGGGTTCTTCAATCCCCATCGTGACGAGCACTCCGGGTTGGAGTACAATGATACCACCGCAGATTTCGCAAACGCGTCTACTCTGGACTCTGGGTCGCCAGAAGATATTAAGGGCTCACATATGCCTCGAGCGGGCGAGGAGGAAGGATTTGAGGATGTTAGTGCCTCGGGCATCCTTGTTGATGAGAGGGAAGATGACAGCATGGAGGCTCAGAAAGAGGAGACTTCTGCTGATCCAACGGCCCTACCTCAAGAGACCTCGCATACTGATGATACTTCTTCCACGACATCTCAAATCACCCCTGTCTCATCCGAAGCTCCCTCATCTACCAATGTCCTTGCCGATAAAGTTGGTGAGATTCAGCTTGATGCCGAGAAATCGCAGCCTACAGAGATTGAGGAGGAGCCATCGCCAAGCGGCAAGGCTGAGGATGTTCCGCCTCCGCTCTTTGCCAATGAAGAGACTTCAAACGCTGCCGAGCAGACAGAACACTCTTCTGCTATCACCGAACCTGCTCAGCAGTCAAGTCATAACGATGGTGGTGCCGAGGACCCTGCCGAGCAATACATTCAGTATGATACTGATGGGCAGCCAGTTGTTGGAGACTACTTAAAGATCCAGTTTGTTGAGAACAAGGTAGTCCCAACTATCCTAGTAAGTCACCCGCATAATACCTACGACCTAAGTACGTGAATTAATTGGTATTTCTAGGGCTTCTTCTTCCGTTTCCCATGGAACAACTTCCTTCATAACGTTGTGTACGACGTGGTCCAGCAAGTCTTCAATGGACCTATGGAGCGTGGATACAACCGTGCTCTTGCAATCAACGTTTTCGAAACTGGCCAGATCACAACTGCTATTGTTGAAGGCCAGAAGCGCAGCGACGAAGCTCAGAAGACCAAGCAGATCCGCCTTGGCTACATGGGTCATCTGACTCTCGTCGCTGAAGAAGTGGTCAAGTTCAGCGAGCGTCACCCACCAGAGTTGCTCTCACGCTCTGTCATGGAGTCTGTGCTGAACCCTGAGTGGATTGACTACGTAGAACAGACACTTTCTGAGACCCGAGAGCGCGACAATGCTATCTTGGGCGGTGTCCGTCCAGATGTTTCAGTTGGCTCTCGCCAAGCCTCTCTCGGCGCTGGTCAGGGCTTCAGCAGCAATTCAAACGCTCTCGCTGAAGCAGGTTTGAACGGTGGTGGAATGAGTAATTCCAATTTCCAAGGCTTTGACCTCAATCAAGGCAGTGTCTCTGGTGGAGCCTTTGGAGCGGGTGCAACCTCTCTTCTGAGTGGGTTTGCCAGCTCAAGTGATGATGATGAGGATGAAGATTTGGACGATCGTGATGACAGAGATGCTAGTCATATCGAACAAGGCGAGAATGTGGGTATCCTTTTTCCGATCAACCTTGACGGTGATTCGTGACGAACGTCCGCGCTATACACCAATAAACCTCTATTCCCTATCACTCTGTAACGATCTCGAGTCGAAGACGGCGCAAGGTGGACGATAAGGTCTTGAACGGAGGGCGGAAGGCTGTAGATGACCAGATGGTTGGCTTGCTACGCTTTTCATTGCCGATGGTTCCATTTGCCTGTAGTCTCCTTGCCCTTCTTCGTACCTTTGTCCTCCCCGTCAAGTTTTTCTTCCTATCACGTGTCCATTTCCTTAGCTCTTCTCTCAGGGTCATCATTTTTGGATGCTGTGGACCTTCAGACTGACACACATTTTAGGTATCCACAAGCTCCGCGAGCCAACCAATCCCAATCTTACCACCGCCTCCTGCTCCATTGAGTACTGGTCCCTCCCGGGCTCGGCGCCAGCTAGCAGCGCGTCTAGCCGCTCAGAAGCAGCTGGCCGCTGAAAACGTCGGTGCAGAAGGGGAAATCGAGAAACCTCATGAGGCCGAGAACAGAGAGTCCCAATGGCTCAGTAACCCATTCGTCATTGCCGGTATTGACGACGATGCGGAAGGAGGCAACTCTGCATTCCCCAACTCGGACTTCGGATCCAACACAGATGCCGCATTTGCGGCCGGTTTCCATGAAGGAGGCTTCAGTCCACCGGACTCTTTTTCCAACTCATCCGATGAGGATGGAGATGGTCATACCGAGTCCATTCGGCGACGTGACCGTGTACCCCTCGAAGTAGACGAAGACGATGATGACATGGGTGAAATGGTAGCACCCAGCCTGGGTGCTATGATCGACTCAGACGATGAAGATGACGCTATTATCAACGAATCTCTGGGCTACTCCAATCTCCCAGCCCCTAGTCGATTTGGAGGGTTTCGTCGGCCACGTGCCGTGAGCTCTCATTTTGACGATGAGCAAGATGATGATAGTAGCGGTGGCGAAGACGACGGCCTAGTGGAGATCTTAGTCCCAGGTCGCAAGTCCTCCACCTCGAATTAATGGCGCTATTTCCTCTATTTGGTTTATGTTGTTACCTTTGCTTTACATGTCGCATTTTTTTTTCGCAAGTTCGTTTTCATACATGCATACACGACTATCTTCTTCGGGTTTAACGGAGAACCGCATGGGTGCTTGGTATCGGTTTTCCTCACATCCTCATTTCTTATTTTCTCTTACTTGGCTGGCTGGGGATGTTTACATCCGTGCTGTTTCTATGGTGCGGCTTTTGTACATATTTTCCATATTTGGTTAATCTCCGGGGTGGATTACATCTCATGACGGTCGAGTTCGTCTGTATGGATCTTTTTTTTCTTTCTATTTTTTTTGTTCCGTTTTGCGCTTTTTCGATTTCGATCGTCGAGCTTTTGTGTGCATCGTGGGGAGATATCCTATGGTTTACGGCTTTGATGCTCTGGGTGGTGTGGTGATGTTTATGTACGATATTTGAGTGAAGAGTTGAATCAAGTTGATCTTCAAGTTTAGTTTAACATTAATCTGCCCAGATAGGTTTTAGTATGCGTCTAAGGCTGCACATCAGATAGAGTCGCCAGGACTGACAATCAGTATTGCACCTGGGTCATACAACGTAATATGAGTTGACAAGTTGCAATCCTCTTGCGCGGAATATTATTTCGATTTCACATTATCAATGTAGGGGCAAGTTGAGTCAAATATCTCGTCCATTTCCTGCCCGATCCCTGTATCGACCAGATTGTCGGTAATGACTGAATGCCAGCTGCAATATTATTGAATCTTGTCTTTTCAAAGATCTTACACATACGATCCATGAAGAATCGTCGATGTTCAGGATCCGTACTATCTGCGGCTGCGATAAAGCAAACCCAGACCAAAGCATGAGACCCCGATTGCTCTGGACTTATTTGCATAACTGTCTTCTGCAGACTCTCCAGGAGTTCAAACTGGTCACGATCCGACTCTACTCGACCAAGATAAATTTGAGACGCCTTCGTGAATGCGATTCGTGAAAGGCCAAGAAGATGATTGTGCTCTGAGTCTTCGGGTAGGTTATAGTATGTCCAGTCGAGATAGCGTTCCAGTGGAAGTGTCAATGCCTCAACTCCCTTTTCTTCTCCTAGTAATGGTTGGCCCAAATATTGAAACCTTCGTCAAGTTAGTCAGAGTCTTCGTTTATGGAATGGGAAGCTTACATATGACTTTGTTTTGTGAGGAAATTATGTGCTGTGGATAGTTGGGTTTGATCAATACTCTGCACCAAGTACATGAGTGTTTGTAGTAAGTAGAAGTATTCCGAGCTCCCGGTAATTGTCTCGCCAACCAAAAGGGTGATTAATGTCGCCCACGTGGACATGTTGAAGACTTGACCAGGGGATCCTTGAAATGAATCTCGGCGTAGACGAGATATCAGAGCGGCTCTTCCTTCTTCCGCAAATTTGCCAAAATAAGGCTGGGATAGCGTGAGATGCTGTGCAGCCACGATACCAACGGCACGCTGAACCAGTGGATCTTGACATGCTAATGGGAGTAGAACATCACGGTAGCCATTGGAAATGTCTAATACCACCATAAACGGCGCGACGTGTTCTGCAACTAGTTCATGTGAGCGGGAGATATCATTCGGATAGCAGGGGTCTTACAATGAGACATCAGCATTCGGGCCTGTGGGTTTAGTAAAGGAATCCAAGGTCTGAGAGCCCCAGTGAAGGTATTGCAAATGGCCCGGGAAGAGGATATTGGCCCAGAGCTTTTCTGGATGAGGTCTCCTTGAGGAACTGAGCTTCCTGGCTCCTGCTCAGTATCATGGATATCCTGATTGGTCTGTAATCCTTGCTGGACCTGCCGGGGTTGATGAAGATTCAATGAGTCCTGTTGAATAGGCGAATCTGTAGGTCTTCTCTTCTTTCGGCTTCTTTGACCACCTGATAGCTCATTTTTCCACCTAATTTTGCGCGAGGGCTGTGTCTGCAAATCATTCTGCGTGGCAACTGCTAACTGTGGGGAATTTTCAACGACGGGAATGTTGCATCCCTTGAACCGGCCTCGCTGCGCAACGCCATTTGAGAATCGAATCCGCCCTAGCCCAGAGCACTCAATGCCTTTTTTCCGGCACTTATTGCAAGTTGGCTCGGCTCTATCGCAAATAATGCGACGCTTGGAACATTGGAAGCAACCTGTAGGTCTCGTGAGATTGTGGCGATGTTATGGTGGCGTGGGCAAAGCGGGAGATACTCACCCTTGATCTTGGAACTAGGAGCTGTCATCTGTATGATTTCTCATGTATGATGCGAAAGATATTTTGTACCAGGGAGACTACATTGAAAGGTAGCAAATTGATGTTTATGGGAAGATCAAGGAACAAAAGCGGGGGAAATGCTCCAGGGTTATCGATAAGAGAAGGTTATCTGATCGCCGTCAAGAAACAGAATGAGATGAGAGAGATTGATTTGATTTTTTTTTTCTATTTTGAGCCAGTTTGTTGACTCTGATTGATGTAACAATACTATTCATGTTCTGGTATCATTGTACTTGATTGTCTAGAAATTTGACCTGATATTCCCACCATTTTTTAGCTCTACAGATGTGGTCGAGGGACCACACTAGGTCTCAGCTCCTCCTTAACTGTCATGGCTGCTCGAGTACCTTCTTCAATAGCGCCATCAATGAAACTACGCCAACCGACAGCCCAGTCCGAGTTGGCAAAGGCAATGTTACCATGACGAGCACGCAAAGCATCCAATGATGTAGATAGAAGCTTTGGAGGCGAGAAGAACCAAGCTCCCTTTGCAAATTCATCCTTGGACCAATTATGGAATACCTGGAATGTTATTAGCATTTTTGTCTATCAGACTTGATGTCCGTGGTACTTACCAATCTCTGAATATCCATGTTTCCTGGAGCCAGGTTCTCAACTGCCTTCTTGGTCTCATCAATATCCTCCTCGGGTTGGATGTGGTTGTTAAAACCTCCGAAGCAGACTATGTGAGTGTTCCCAGCAGGTGTCGTACCATCTCCAATGGCGTATGTCAACTTGTTGAAGGGGTAAGAGATGCCTGTCCATGATCGCATGTCTTTGTTTGAGATCTCAGCATGAACCTTGACACATTGATTCACATGGCCTCTGTTCGTTGCCGAAGCTCGTTGAGGGTCAAGTGGAGGACTGAATGCAACAAAATTCAGCACGTTGAGAGGGATAGTGGAAACCAAGCGAGTGGCCGAATATTGACTTCCATCGCGAGATACCAGTGCCACCTTATCTCCCTGATCGGTTATAGACTTGACTGGAGTGTTGAAAACATAGGACAAGTTGCCAGTTGACAACGCCTCTTGGAAGAACTTGATCGCGAATGATGACTGGCCTCCCTTGAATTTGTAGGAGATCAAATGATCCATACAGCCACGGTATGAGTAGCCACATAAGGACCACCAGTGTAGGAATTCGAAAAAGCTCGTTGTCTCCAGAGTTCCACAGCTACAAAGCAGGATGAAACTCTCCAAAACTGAACGCTCGTTGGGAGTGAGAGACAGGCTTATCTCCTGCAGGCAGTCTTTCGCAGACATACCATCGTACTTCCGCGCCTCCGCCACATGAAATGGATCATGGGCAAATGGAAAAATCTTGCGGCCCATGTCACCGTCAATATTCACGAACTTTTCCAACGCTCCTGCCAGCAAAGCATCCTAGATAAGACATTAGCGTTTGGCTACTGAGATGGAAGCCTCAAGCTTTACTCACTTCTTCTTCATGGCTCATTATACTGTCTCCATCATTTGTGCGCAGTTGGAAGTGATTAACCCCTCGACTGAAATCAAAGGACTCCTCCAACTCAGTACGCATTTGATACCGAGATATCTCACGCCATACATGAGGTTGTCCCCAGTGAACCCAAGTGCCACCCATCTCGAAGGGATACCCACCAATGTTCGATGACCATGATCTACCACCAATACGATCACGCGCCTCTACAAGGAGGACTCGAAGGCCTGATGAGAATTAGACCAATTTTCAGTGGACTGGTAAGAGATGTGTTCGATTTCGAGTACATACCGGCGACACACAGATCACGGGTAGCAGTAAGGCCCGAGTAGCCTGCTCCAACAACAATGACATCCCAGGGTCCAGATCCTGAAGTAATGTTTGTTGATGGTGATATAACACCGATGGATGGCACACCCTGAGCTAGTCCAGCCTCTGGTGTCCACTGGTATCCGTCACGAGAAGTCATATTGAGATAGTTGGCAATCAATCAGTGGAAAAAATCTGAGAGGACCTGGAGAGGTCTTGGTGCGAAGATACTCCCTTTAAGTATTCCACACGAAGACCTGGAATCTCTAGCTTGAAGTGGATCATTTCCGAGATTCCGTTTTTCTCTCCTCGTTAAGCTTGATTCGAAGGCTATTGTGGGTAAATATCCACGGCCATGGCGGGTCCAAGAATTTTAATACCCAAAGAGGGTAAAAATATGAGATTCTGTTATGTCTACCAGCACTTCGCAGATGTGGAATCATCAAGTGAAAAAGGGTGAAGCATTTCAGTGTCCAATCACAATCAATGCCCTTGATAAGGAGTGGGTCTATGTGCAAAATTACCTGATTGGGACAGTAAAGGGAGAAAAGTGTGTTATCATCTATCATTCATGATATGGATGAATGACATGCTTATCAGATCAATATCAATTTCCAAGGTTGAATCATTTTCATCAGATCAAGCTAGACCGAGGCACAGAATAGCAGAATCTGGATTGAACTGCCCCATGAAAGAACTCGCCAAAGCGGAACCACTATTGGTTCAATAAGCATACATGCATTAGTTACCTGCAAGTAAGACTGACGGGAGTTTTGGCTTGGCCCTTTCGAGCTCTAGTCATTCAGTTAGTTTACTGGGACTTCGCCACAATTTTCTCTCGTATAGTCCAAAAATCTCCGACCATCCGACGGCAGCTCACATTCCGGACTCAAGAGCGGAGGCTGTGTAGAAGTAAAGCTACGAAAGACATGAAGGGGGTTCATTCTTAGTTCGCAATCTGAATTTAGGCTATTTCCTTTACATGACAGCTCCAGCGCACTGGTCCTAATATCCCAGCTGTTTATTGGATGCCCCGTCGACTGTCAGCCTTGCCAGGCAGTGTGGCGCCGCGACAACGCCAACCAAACACCTGGGCGAATAGACCCTTATTATACGAGGCTTGACGATGTAATATTGAGCCTCGCATATTTTTTGATGCTGTTTCATCTCATATAAACCCAGCACAACGCCCAATCTTGTATGAAACCAAATTCTTCCACAGGCCAGACTAAAACGTCACTTTTAGGCTAGTGAAATCTTCTCGTCTGACTTCAAAAACGGCTATTCCCGTTGAAAAGCAGGTCCCTTCCAATCGGGACTAATCCATTGGATACTTTCTGGAGTCCCTGATTCTCTTACATATGTAGGTACTAATTTGCAGTCTTATGGCATGCGATTGAGATATATCACATGTGCATGATGTTCCCCTTCATAGATCACTACCTAACCATTGACTCTATGTAGAACTTGAATAACGTCAACATATAACATTGATAACAGAAACATCGCAGAGCGTCCCATCTCAAGATGCCGGTAAGCATTGTCCTCGACAGAAAGAACATCAGATCGGACTGCGGTCTAATTTCAAATTCTTCATAAATAGCGGTTGAAACAAATCCGGCGCAGATATATATGGTACTGTGTAAGAATCCCCTCATAATATTTCGGTCTCAACATTTTTGAAGTGCTCTTATGTCTCCCGGTATTCCACTTGAAGTTGTTTCTTTTCTGATTCCATAGGTATTTTAGTGTAAATGTGGACATTTCATGAGAGGCGGATCTTGCCGAGTCCTAGTCTGTCAGCATCCGAAGTGTAGGAGTTGTCGAAAGGTCGAAGAAAGATATTGATTCAATCTTGGAAGTTGATGCACATGTGCAGGGGAAATCGGCAGTCGAGCGAAATCACCTGGGCAATTCAAGGTTATATTATATTGGAAAGGGGCTCAAGTTTACATGATATACTAGTACTAGTAGCGCTAGTAGTCAACTTGAACTTAAGGAGATTGATGTCGACTGGTCCAGATGTCAACTGCACACCTGGGCATGTGTTATAAGCTTCAAGTTGAAAGTAATAGTACCTAGTAATCATGGTAAAGTCTAAACATTTGAAGGAGAAGGGCAAACTGCAATTTTGATTCTGTCTAGTATGATACTAATCTGAACTATCAGCATCTGGTTGATTCAAAACCCACTCGTGGGAATCATCCAAGCACTTGGAACCTATTCCAAAACAGTCCTCGCATATGAAAAAGTCCAGGCATGTTCTACAACTGCGGTAGGGCCCACTTTCTGACGAGATTTCTCGCATACAAACGTTACACCAATCGCTGTCCAAGACCCGTGAGGGAGATCTGGATGTGGTATTTACCTGCTCTTCCTCTTCTGTGATTTCGATGCCAGCCTCTTTGGCATACCGATGCACAACTTCAACAAGCTCTGTGTAGCCGCTTTGAGTGGCCCACCATGCCAGACTACGACCTAAGCCATCCTTGAATACGAACTCATCGCTTCGGTCAAACAAGAATTCAGCAGTTTCCTTTTGGCCGTTCCTTACGGCTGCAAATACTGGCGTGGCGCCATAGTGGTCTTTGATGTTCAAAGGAGAGCACCTAGATTGCAACAATTGCAGAATGTTGACATGGCCTCTTGCGGCCGCATAGAAAATTGACGTCCGACCACACCTATCTTGTGTATTAAGACAAGTCAGGTTTGTCTGAAGAAAATATATCGACAATAATGTGGGCCAGCTCACATCACTATTGCATCTGTGGGGTGTTTCGAGAAAAACCTATCCGCAAGATGTATTAGCATCTGCCAGTGCCTGGCCATATAAACTGGCATATATGTAGCTGATGAATGGGATATGAAACTACAAACCAAATATGAGATGCAGGCTGCCAGTTCTTGATATCTCCCATCAGAGTTGGCATTCATGACACACAAGAGTGGAAATTCAACAAGATGATTAATAAATTTCCTGCCAGTGGTTTCACAATAAGGGGTTAGCACAAACCTGCTTAACCATCACACTTGCAATTCCTTCGCTGAGAAAAGTAAAAGCTGTCCACTTCTTCTATTGACAGGTGTTATAAAGAATTCAAAAGCCAAACCCCCAATTTATTGACTCACTTCACACTTTGTGTATTCCCCATGAAGTTGCCTCATCATATCTATTGCAAAGTTTTTTTATGTCTTCTTCGAAAGGCTCGGGAGCCGAACAGCTCAGAATCCGTGCACCTGGAATCAAATCCACGAGTAGTTTCTCAACAGCATGATCTATTCCAACGAAACAGACACTGTACCATTTATCGTACACCGGTGTTAGCTCTCTGCAATTGATGGACGATGAAATTTGCCATGACTGACCAAAATCGGAGCTCGATATCTCCAGCAGCTAGCAGCTGCAGACTCCGGCTTCTTTTCATTTTCTTGATTTTTTTGTTCACTGAATTTCACTCAATATTGCGAAGAGCAAAGTGAGATTCCTGCTTCATGTGACTTCAAGAGATGGGCATCTCTTGCAGGACCTCGGTAGTATTAGGACGGATGGGTAAGTAAATGCGTGGACGTATCTTTGTAAGTGAACATATGTTTTCTGTTTGCTGTTAATGCAAGCTTCCGTGTCTAGCTCGGGCGACGGTCCTCCCAAACATTTGAAGGCGCCGGGTATGTGATAGCCCATGCAGAATACCACTACCGGAGTATTCAAATCATCATGCACCAAACACTGGTATCACGCTAGTGCTTGGGCTTAGATGCCACATGTGCAGTGCAGATGGATGAAGTAGCAAACAAGAAGAAGGAACGCTAATTACCTATGCCTCACAGTTACCTTTGATGGGCGCTTAGCTTTGCCTTCCTGACTGCACGTAATAACTATCCAGAAGATTTTTTTTTTGAATTATATCAAGTCTAAGTCTCACTCACTTTAAACTACAGTGTATTCATCAATAATTCCTGTGTGTACTCATTACATATGTATTACAACATTTGAAGTATAGATAGAGCAAGCTGGTTCAGTAGATACAGCATTGGTGCCAGCTACCTACTAGTAGCCTTCTTACACTTTCAATGCTTCCAAGGGTCTGAATATGATAGTCATATGTGTATGAAATGATGAAATTAAGTCTTGACCATGTTCAAATTTTAGCCTATTATCTCTGAAGTCGAAATCCTAGATTCTCTCGTTGGTCATCTTGCACTCGCGCGTACCTATGATCGCAGTATGAGCATCACTTTGAGTTCATCTCAGAATAAAAAGGGGACCAACGTACTTTAACATGAGTCGAAACATATAAACATCCATATCATCATTTCAAATCGCCTTATACGCCCATAACTGTCCTCCCTCGCCAATAGCTCTCGCAATCTTCTGCCCATCAAGGTCTTGTTCAAAGAGACGGACAGTTTCTAGGATCTCATCTCCATCTTTATTCAGTGGCACATAATGTACCCAGGGAATGAGGATGTTTTCATGCCACTCGCTGAAATAAGTCAACTTGAGTGGCACACTTTTACAACGCATGAAGGAGTAAAAGCGCCCACTGTCCACTGGAGACATGTCCATCAATATCCAATAAGTACTTGTACTTCCATGCCTTGGTTGGCTCATCTCGATCCACTGTCTTGAAGTATGCCTTTTCCTCATCGCAGTCTTCTCCGCAATTGACAATATGCACAAAATGTGCGTTGAGGTAATCGCTGACCTCTGAATCCTTTTATTGGTGAAGTGTCCATTCTCCTTCATCAGTGATACATGTTGAATTTTCGTTGCGTTTTAATAGATATCATGGTGGTGAATCATATGTTAACCTTCCAATCGCTCGCTGTCGTTGTAGATTACGCCAGGATCCACCTAGACTCACTCCACCGGTCGTTCCTCCGCGCCAGTAAAGTTGAGCTTTCATAGAGTCCCAATCCACAGCACTTTGTGTCTCAAAATCTGAGAGTCCCTCATAATAGTACGGGGAAGGGACGGGAATATCTTGGAACAAAGAGGGATGCGACATTGAAAATATAGGAACCAGCTCGTTGGTGATATTCAGCGCATTGGGATACTCGAAGATACTGGAGCTGATGGCGAAGTGAAGGACTGTTGCAGATATCGCTGAATGCGCTTTGATTGTACAAAAATCCTAAAGGCTGTATTACAAAGGCGCTGGTGTTATCAGGTGCGTTTCCATCGAGGTTCTTAGCTGCACTGTCAAGAGGGCATGATAATCGGGGATAGAGCCATTTTTTTTGTAGTTCGAGATCGATGAACCTGCTTTGGGAATACTCTGGGATTGGTGACTCAATTTCTATATCAGAGTAGTTATTTGATGATGATCGACTCTTGTTTAATCGAGACTCAGCTGCTTGGCCCTTGGTGATCAGCTCATGTAATTCATCGTGCGGAACAACAACTCGCGGTTCGTCGTGGGCGTTGAATTCGAGGTTCATGTCCGGTAGCCATTGGGCAAATTTATTGAATTGCTTCATTGTAGCGTTCCCCTGGAAATCACCTTGGCCATTTCCTAAGTAGATGGGTCTACCATTTCGGATTGAGATTCCCATAAGCTTGTTGTAGGGATAACCCGGATCTTCCCTCACACGCGAACGAATTGTACTGAGTAGAATACCCCAGAAAGGAAGTAGAGAGTTATGTATGGTGTCAAATTGGTCGATGAGGATCGTGTCTCGTTCTTTCGCAAACTCGTACCACTTATCGAAATGAGGAGGTGGTGGCAAGTTGTATCGTCGTTCGTATTGTGCGACTGCTTCGTCCAATGACTTTGATTGACGGTTCAATGTGTTATTGAAGGTCATCGCCGCCTCGGAAGTCAGCCGAACAATAGGATGGTAGCATAATCGCGGATCGTGATACGGCTGATGTGAGATGGTAGGTAGAGCTGAGAATGAAAAGCAAAGCAATAGAATCACTGCACCTACCAAGCCTTTGATGATGCGGTGTTTCTTTCCAAGTAAGTAGTAAACAACGTGCTTCTCATGCGTCCCCTCAAGAGGTTTCTAGTCGTATTCATGTTCTCGTGTTCCAGGTCTCATGCTTTCTGTAATGACTCTGCCGGCAGCCTGTTTGAATTGAAGGATGGTCATAAGCCGAAACCGGATTCTACAAGTAACACGATGCATCTCATAGTAAAAGCCCATGTCTCTAGGCCATGGAATATGTATTCAAGAGTATATGTATAAACGGAGAAAAGTTAGCAAAGGGTAGAAAGAAAGAGCTGGGCCATGTTTATGACTGAGACCCTTAAGCCCTGGATCTTTGTTCAGACAGGGATCCTGGGTCAGGTTTTGATACAATATAGTACCACTGAGTATATGAGAAAGGAACTTGATGGCGCTCCGAGTCATTAATGAGATGCCATGCATAGTACAAATGTCTATTGCTCATGCAGGGCGTAATCACGAACCATATTCAGACTCGACACCCAAATTTCGAGTCCCAATGTAGTAAACAGTAGATAAAACAATTAGCTTACGATTGCCGATTATTCAGATGAAAGAAGATCATCCTAATGTCTATATAGAAAGCACTCGAGTTTCATCTCGCCTATTACGACGTTACGTACGTTCACGATGAAGGCCCACTGTGATGGGCATCGCATAGAGTGTCAATGATTACGGTGACGGGTAACAAGCATCATTCATGGTACTCTGGGAGATACGTGGAGCTGTATTGGTCTACCCATCGATCATGGGAAAGTAGAATTGAAAAGTAGTAGGTACATATTATCCTATCAAAACATTGAATATTCTCACGAGAAGATCATAAAGACATATCCGCCTCCCAAAGATTTCTGATTCTATGAATCAAATTCCCCTCGAGATTGAGATCCTCCATATTCTCATTAAGCATCGAATCATCATAAAGTCATAAAAAAGAAACGCAAAAGATCGAAAACACGACTCGAAAAATCAAGCACCGCTCGAGAAGCCATCAATCATAGCTCTGCTAAACAACGTACGGCTGACGACGACTGCGACTAGAGCTGCGGTGACGATGACTAGAGGAATGTCCACGACGCGAGCTATGGCTTCGACGACGGACAGTCTTCTCGCGGATAACAACCTCCTCACGGTCCCGACTATGCAACCAAAGAGCCCAGAAAGCAGTCCAAGAGAAGAAAATCACCTCCATAATTCCCATCGCGAAGGAAGTTTTCAGCATGGCGCAGGTCTTATCAATTTGTAGGTGATAATCATTATTGATGCTTTCTCCATACTCGCCAAATGGACCGAGCGATACCCAGACTGAGCCACCATCCCAGTGAGTGCAGCTCTGGTTTGCGATGAAGCGCAGCTCATAGACACCCGCGATGAATGCGCCGAGGAAGCAGAGATCCACGAATGCGACGAAGATTGCAGAGCGCTTGGTATTTCCGAAGCGGATGAGAGTATCGAGGCACCAGAAGACTGCGATAACGCTGACGATGAAGAGGACCAGAATGTAGGGTGGGGTCAACATGTTGGCGTTTAGATAACCGTGGACGAAGTAGGCCTATTCATGCGATTGGGTTAGTTTACTTGCATACTTGGTGGGGTGTCGATCTTTGTGAGATCAGATGTTGAGAATGGAGGAGTGAGATGTTGCGACGGAATGGGTGATGGATAAGAGGTTCCATATTGCAACTAGGTTCACATACCATGATTCCCATGATCGGGAAGAGGAAGACCAGCTCCACCAACCGGTTGAATATGAAGAAGATACTTCCAAACATCTTGCCGGATTACCTCGAGGGGAAGATGATGATCTCAGGAATGTGAGAAGGGGAAGATTGTCAACTGGCCGAGTCCAGAATGTATGGGTACAAGATGCGTAAGGTGGATCACACACCATGCAGGGGAAATCAGATCAGAGATGCATGAAAGATTTTAAGAGAGGGGGATGGAGAAGTAATGAAAGAATATGTTGTGTTTGCGACCTCTCTGTGGCGGGGGAAGAGGCTGGGCGAGTCATAGCAAAGAGGTGGCTGGGACAACCATTTAATTAATTATTTGAGACAGGGTCACTCAAATTTTGTTATTTTCTTGGTTATTGTACCCGAGTGAGGTTGTTTTAATTTAATTAATTTTTTTTTCCATTTTTCTTTCTAAAAATGTCAGCTGGATGGACTCGAGTTATTGTTTATCTCTTATGCAGTACTACGGAGTACTACTAACTTAGTACTAACTAATACTATGTACATCAGGTTGGAGCGGCAATCCAATGGTGGAGCCACGGATCAACTGAAACCCAATTGATATGAAGGTCATAATAGTACATAGTACTTTAGACATAATTTAGTATAACTTGTGAAGAAAAGGACTGAAGTGAATTTCAATATGCTAAATCTCCAAACGCCATCCCCCAAATCTATTGTCCTGTGGATGCTTCAAGAAAAATAATAATACAGAACCCACAGCAGTCCAGATACACTGAACTGACCGAGGACAGAAAAAAAAAGGACATTCAAGACAATAATCATTATACCTGTCTCTCCGCAATATCATTCAGTGATCGCTGTTGGCTAATATGACCATGAGCACCCGGTGATGAATATGGAACGGCTCCAACAGGTACCGTGGGCATCTGCGACTGATAGGCAGGAGGATAGGTAGTAGGAGCATCAAACGACACCGAATTACGATTGACACCAGGATTCTGTGTCATCGCATATCCATTCTGCGCCTCATACCCATCCCCAACATCCTCTTCACTCGACGACCAGTTTCCATCCGGGTCATGATCATGTGCGCGACGAGGATACACCTGCGTCATATGTGGGCTTGTAGGATTCGCGTATCCCGTCGCGCCAGGAACGACCGGCTGATTCGGAGATAAGGAGCGCCCACGCAAACTAGGTGCGTTTAATCGCTCTGCCTCGGGACTGCGCAAAGCCGTTTGGCTCTCATTTAATGCGCTGAATTTCGCGTCGATCGGGACTGCGGGTGATGTTCCCCATGTTCGGATCGGGTATGCGCGGCCCTTGCGCCAGGGCTGAGTGATTGGAGGGAAGTATTGATGGTATGAGAGGATTGCGCATGCGACACCGAGGAATGAGCCGGTTATGACGTCGAAGGGATGATGGCGTGCATCCATGATGCGACTCACTGCGACAAGGGTTGCGGCAAGGATCGGGATCGTGACGAGAAGGGTCTTCCATGTTTCACCTCGATTGTCGAGGATATGCAGCTTGCCGCCTGCCCATAAAGAGGTGTAAAATAGTCCTGCGAATGAGGCTATAGGTTAGTTAGTATGGTTATTCCATGGGGGTTCGGTGTCGCTGAAAGGACTCACAACTGCTATGGCCTATTTCCAACAAATATCATTATTCTGTTCGCAGTAGCCTCTAGGGATGGAAAAACTTACCGGATGGCCACGATCGGAATCCATCTTTGATCAAGGATGCCTCTCCAGTGCAAATTGTGGAATTGGATAACCCGTAAGGAGTCGCATCATGGCTTCCCGCCCGCGGTTGGCACCGATCAATTATGTCGGGTCGGGGCTTGCCACACGCATTCTTCAATACCTGTGTAATGAGGAAAGCCAATGCCTGTGATAGCAGTAGACCGAGGATACCGCAGTTCATTTCCCATAAGCGATCCTTCCAGCGCCACGGACCCCGCAACTTGCGCTTGCCGGAAACTGGGTCCTGGGGTTTATGGTGAGAGAAAAGGCCATCGATGAAAAGGGTATAGAGGATAATGAGGACCAGCGGGAAGAGGCCGGAGATGCAGAGGGCGTATTGGATTGGGATGCGCTCGTGGACGGCATATGGGTATTGGAGGGAGATGTTATTGAGAGAGAAGTGTTGATGGTATGGTTCAAGGGAATCGAGGATCCAAAAGCCGATCACACAGGCGCTGTAAGAGGTTAATTAGCGAGGAAGTTCTCGAGGGTAAAAGTACCAGGCGTGACTTACATTAGGATCACATAGTCGAAAATGTACCTGAGAGACAGTTCAGTTAGCGAAAGTAGGCGCAGTCTGCGGAGAAGAACATACGAAATGACTACGCGCGGTCGGAGCCGGCGCTTGGAGAACGGCAATTTGGCCGGAATCTCCATCTTAATTCCAATACTCCAAGAATTCCAGAAATGCAGAATTGAAAGAGAAAATGAGGAAAGTTGAATTCAAGGAGGTCGTGCGCGCGATTTCCTTTAATAAAATAAGAATGAAGATCAAAATGCACCGACGGTGCCAAAGCGTACCTTGGCATGTGTTTATTCAACTTACACCCTTGGAAGCAGTACACAATGTATCAACGCTCAGTTCTTGTACTCGGTCCCTGATCCAATGTTAGAGTGCAGATCGTCATCTCAATTGACATCTCGAATCCACCGGGTACTTCCCCGTCCTCTCCTGTCAGATTTCTGAGTCTCGATTTGGTACACAGCCATCATTTGGGTCGATCCACATCTGGGCATCTGGGAATCTGGGCATCTAGGCAGCATTGTTATAACCTTTTAAGGTGGAGACAGGCTACCAGATTGTTGAATGCTTGAATGCTGATACTTTTGAATGCTATCTATACACACCACGGTATCCATGTCTAACAATAGAACTGTAACATTTGAAAGCTGTTTGAGATTCGTGTCGCCACCTGGGCACTCAGATTTCAATCAGACCCCATACTCTGCAATCGAGCCCATCGCCCAGTTATACCGGGTCTCATGGATATTCCGCGATGACAAAGCGACAGTTCATTCTGGTGACTAGTAGTCCGCAGCCTGAGAACGACGACGAATATTGCAAGGCCATCCCCAGGGAACAAAAGTGAAGTTATTGGTCCATTCCCATTCTTTCTTGGGATCAGTCAGCTCAAAATCGAAGTCTCGGATCAGCGTGGCAGCCAGTTTAGTGATCTCGAAATGAGCCAGATTGCGTCCAGGACATTGGTTATATCCAGCTCCCCACTAAGAACACAGGTAATTAGCATATTGCACGAAATTATGGAGCTGAGACTTGAGAGTATTGACTTACGTGAATCAAGAAAGAGTCCATGGTTTTATTGTCGCCCTCAAGCCAGCGGTCTGGGTTAAAGGTGTCACAGTCTTCACCAAAGAGGGCAGGATTCCGGTGGTAGACCCAGGGATTGACACTCAAAATAACCTGTGTTTTCAATCAGTATTAATATAACTAGACATAGTCAATGGCAGAGACCACTTACGCCTTCAGCGAAATATTTGCTTCCAATGGTCATTCCACCCTTGGGAACAACGCGGGGAAGGGGGCTAGGAACTGCGCTGTACAAGCGGTAAATCTCTTTCATCTACAAAAAGTCAGTAAATCAAGACACAAAGCAAGATCAACCCGATTACACATACACAAGCCTGAAGGAAAGGCAGCTTCTGCGCTTCATTGTACTGGACAATAGGCGAAAGTTCTCCACGAGTCTGAGCAGCATCCAACTCCTCACATAGTCGTTCCAGATATTGCGGGGAGCGAATGAGGCAATAGAAAAGTGATTGCACAGTAGCGCTGACAGTGTCAGCTCCGGCACCAACATTCGAGACAGCGGCAGCAAAGATCTCATTCTCCGCCATGCGATCAGGGTACTTGGCACGGGTATCTAGCCACTGCTGCATCATATCCTTTCGCGCATCGGGATTCTCTTTGCGTGCGCTAATGGCGGCAAGACATGTGTCGAAGATATGCGATGATGGTTGGATACCCAGACGACTGAGGAGAGGGTTTCCCAAGGTCAGGTTGTGGAACCAGGTATAGTGACCCATAACGGCGATATACAGGGCGAGCGCTCGAGTGTTTGAAATGGCATTTCTGACATCAGTACCGGTTTCAACGAAGCCAAAGGATCTGGAAAATGTGACTTCACCCAGCACGTCGAATGCGTAAAAGCTGAACCATTTATCAAACTCGAATGATTTGCCGGCTTTGATAGTCTCGTTCATAGCCTTGGTGAAGAGTTCCAGAACTGCATCGACATAGGGTTCTGACTTGATAATGTTGGACAGAGCATATCCGGATGCGATGTTACGACTTTTCTCAATGTGTCTCTTGGGGTCGAGTTCTGACATTTGGTTCACATAGTGATAGTCTGGAAGACTGAAGATGGCATACCATGGTCCCTGTTTGAGTATTTTAGCATTGGAATATTTTTTTTCTCTTGATTGGCTCGACTAGTTACTATTAACACACCTTTGCAATATTGGCATGCAAGAGTTGCCTCACAGCATCAGGATGAGAGACGCTAACTTCATTATCTCTGATACGAACAAAGTGACCTATAACAGATAGTCAGAATCATTAACCATAAAAAATTCTTAATCTCCACAAAAGAGCCTCAAAGGGGTATTTGCTCCATGTGCTCCATTCTGGGTCTTACCGTGTTTCTTATGGAGACTGATGGTTTCCGCTTCCAAGTGACCTTTCCATAACTGATACACTATCCAGAGACTTGAGAAAGAACCCAAGAAAGGACCGGGAATATCTCTAATTGGTGTGATGTAACGTCTAATGAAAGCACGAGCTATCACAGCAGTGATGAGAGCCACCCCCAAAGCAAGGGGCGTACTCATCGAGGCTATCATCTGCGGCAGCAAGAGTGGAGCCATGGTCTCCACGAAATCCGATTTCCACAATTTTATTTTTGTGATCTCGGGAATTCAAAGATGGAGAAAAGACATTTGAAAGGAAACAAAAGCCAAGAACTAGAAAAAAAAAAGGAGGACAAAGTTTCAATAGATACTGTTAAATCGTGCTATAACGCACGATAACCTCCAAGTGGGGACATCATATATTATCTTACAATTAGTCGAACGCTTATAAGCTATGGAATGATTGAGTCTACTCCAGACTGGGATTGATACTCCGTCAACTCCGGAGAATGGACATAATTTGGGATAATTTCTTTTCACAAATCAAACAGGTGGAGGTTTTCGTCAAAGCGAAAACTCCTGTGCGTTATCCCGCCCTTGCGGGATCTTAGCGCGTGGTCTAGCACAAGAAGAGTGAAGCTCACGCAGCTAGTGACGAGTTTGACGACTGAATTGTTCTCTTGGAGGCAAAGTGTGGGGGCATCCTGAAACCCTGGAGATGATGATCCAAACAGGTTCATCGATTCATCGCAGATTCCCCACTATGAAAAAAAATTGAGCCGAAGCGGGAAATGGAAGAAGGATCACGTTTTGCTCAAGTGCTTATGTGTGGAAACCGGACTATAGCCGATATCAAGTCCAAATGGCCGATACACTTGAACTAGTGGCAATTGTTCAAGGATCAATTACCTTGAATGGTATCGATCCACATCCTCATAAACCGGATAATGACTCCGTCGTGGTTCAATGCCATTGTTCTTTGATTAGCGCCACCCCTGTCATGTTTGTTTAACATTCTTTTCTCCTTTTAACGTTTGAAGATGTGTGTATCTTGATGTTTCTTTATTTCTTCACTCTTTTTTCTTGCTTCTGGTGAACATTGGGGAGTGGCAGCAATGTCTTCACTCCAGGCTCGTGAGACCTATTCAGTCGGGAGTCGTGGACATGCTGCCGAGATCGGTATGTATGTGGTCACAGCTTTATCCACAGTTGTGGTTCTTGTTCGATTATACGCTAGAGGGGTCTTGATTCGAGAACTGGGGTATGATGACTATATTATTGTGATCGCACAGGTGAGATATTACATCCCTTAAAGCTTCAAGTTGCTACAATGCTTATGCTTATATTGTTTAATGTAGTTGATTGCCTGGGCAGACATGGCATTTTCAATTCAGACCGTCCGTTATGGTGCCGGTGAGCATCTCACGGACTTAATGGAGAACCCCGAGAAGATGGTCTCGATGTATAAGTGGCTTGTCACAGCGCAGATGATCTACTTTACAACTCTCTGGATCTGTCGAGTATCCGGTCTGGCATTCTATAGCCGTCTCAACCAAATGCCCCAGTTTCAAATGTGGATGCGCATTTCATTTGGCTTTGTGACTGCAGTATGGATCACCCAGTCTCTTATCATTGGTCTTCAGTGTATTCCTCTGCGATTCACTTTGAGACCAAAGCATCAAGGGAAACTGCATGAGTTCTACCGACGTTTTCATCTCAACATCCGTTCTTACAATCGTTTGCGACTCTCTTATCTTATTATTACCCCTCAACATCGTCAACAAGCTACAAGTTAATATGGCCAGGAAGATCAGTTTACTATTCGTCTTCTGTTTCGGTGTCTTGTAAGTTCAAGTTCACACTACCCATACTGCTCAAGTCCTTGATCATTTGAACTAACGTCATCTCCAGTTCTATTGTGTAAGAAAAAAAAGTCCGCTTATCTCTACCAATCCCACTAACTAACTGTTACAGTACCTCAATTCTCCGCATGGTCTCCATGGTCGACGCCCTACACCACGCCTCCGACATCACCTGGTACTTCTCCGTGGTGATGGCCTGGAGTACCGCAGAAATCTCCGCTATTATAGTCGCTCTCTCACTACCTTCCCTCCGAGGCATGTTCGGCTTCCTTCGAAACAAATCCCGTTCAACAAATAAAAGTACATCCCGTGGTACTGCTTCGATTGGCCTCGGCTCTGTTCCTCGAGTATCGAAGAATCGAATCTACGACGGAAACAGTCACCAGACAAGTGTCGATATTGATGCTGTGAGGAGTAGCAGTCAAGAGGCTTTGTGGGATATGAAAGATCCGCAAAATATTCGGATTGTGGATACTGTTCATATGGATATTGATGAGCTTCGTCCGGATCAGCGGGATTGATATGGGTCGAAAAGTATAGCTTAATTTGTATATAATATTGAAAAGTATGAGATGAAAATATAGAAATGATTTAGATTCAACGGTGATGGGATTCATTGAATGGTGCTATAGGGTAAACCTGTACTCGAGGACTCAGTCTTGGGAGTTATTGCAATATTTTGAAGGCTCCGTCTTGAAACCATATAATCACTTAGAGATCATGATGCTACTATATTTGGACATAAAGGCTCGGAGCACAGAGGGTGAAGATTAAAATCACATGCCATGTAAAATTCCATGTTCCACATCAAAACAATCAATTATAATGACAAAGTTTTTATTCAATGATAGTCAAGTCTATAAGGAATGTATTGGGTTGAAATGTACTAATACAGAAAGGAAAGACGCACCCGTAGACCTGACTGAATACTGGAACCAGTATATAGACAGACGTGTACACCAAGGCACGAACATGAACTGCCCGGCAACACGAAAGCACGCAAGTTAAAAGCCATAAAGACATCAAGGCATATCAACATAGGTATTAAGAACCTTTACAGAGATATTAATCCCCGATCATCACACACATCAATCATAAGAGATGGTGTATCGGAATAGTATCATCATTTATTTAGCACTTGGTAATGAAGATGCCGAGACTGTAGAGAAATCATTAGTAGTTTTTCGAAATTTCTTCTGGAAGAATACTTACGGAGAGGGGTTCCAGTCGTTGAACCAGTAGAGGTCTGTGGTACCAGCCTCGGACATCTCGTAGGCGACAGTCTCGCCAGCGGGGCACGAGAATGAGGAGACAACGTATGAGTTGCCCTCGGAGATGGTGATATCACCAAGGTTATCAGAGACAGAAGGAGCGTTGTTGTAAGTAGTCGCCTCGCTGGCAACCTCAGACAACTTGGTGAAGTCGATCTTGCCGTCACCGCTGAAGGTGTAATCCGAGGTCTCAAGCTGGGACTTCTTGGGGAACAGGAAGACCAAGTTACAGGTAGAGCCCTGGTAAGAGGACGGGATGTCGAAGTTGAAGATAGTCGAGGCAGTGGTGCTAACATTGCCGAAGTACTGGGTACCGTAGGCAGTATCGGGAGCAGAAGAGCTAATGGGGATAATCAGGTGAGGGTACTGGTAGTCGCCCTCGGTGAGAGTGGTAGCACAGGCACCGGAAGAAGACTGGGTTGCAGAAGCGGAGGACGAAGCCTGGGCGGCGGAGCTACTCGGAGATGGAGCAACAGCGGGGGTGGTGGCCGGCGCGGAGGACTCGGCTGGGGTGGCAACACTAGTGCCCATAGGGACAGGGGCGCTGGGAGAAGAGCCACCGGCAGGAACAGATGGCTTAGGGCTGGCAGAGGACTCCGGAGCAGGCGAACCACTGGGAGCAGGGGAGCTCTGAGCAGCAGGAGTCTCGGAGGCAGGGGAACCACTAGGAGCGGGAGAGCCACCACCAACAACAGCAGCAGATGTGCTGTGAGGAGCCTCTGGGACAACACCGCTAGGAGAGGAAGAGCCATGAGGAGCAGGCGATCCACTAGGAGCGGGAGCACCACCACCACCACCAACAGCGGAAGTCTCAAAACCTGGGGTAGACACAGGAACCGGAGCCCCAGGAGTACCGCTGGGGCAGGCACCGCATTCAGTGACAGTAACGGTGGTAGTGATATAGATAGGCGAGGCCTCGCAGCTAGAAGAGGGAGAAGCAGCAGGAGCTGAGCCGCTAGGAACGATAGCTGCAGGAGATGATGAGGGAGCCACAGAGGGAGCAATAGGAGTGCTGCTGGGGATAATCGGAGCAGTAGAGTACATAGGAGTGCTAGAAGCCGCAGGCGACGATGAAGCGCCGGGACTAGAGCTGGAGCAGGAATCGGCAGTCAGCTCAACGTTCACACATTGAGTAACGGATGTGCTGTTTGTGGTGTAAACGTTGCGGCCACCATTCTCGCCAGTTTCACAGGCAATGAAGCTAGGGCTGCCATTGTACTCCAGCTCGCCGGAGGATGAAATAGAGAAGCCAGTGGTGGCATTGGCACCAGTATCACACTGGAACTGAGTAGTCTCGGCTAGATGTTGTGTTAGATCATGGCCATATGTGAAGGTTAACAGTATTATTATCAATCTACTTACTGGTGAGGATACAGCCTCGGCCCTCGCTATCAGTAATACCGCCAGCAGAGTTGATGCAAAACTGTGCAGCAGACAGACTGTTATCACCAACGCGGACCTGTCCATCAGTGAGCTGGCCCAGAACCCCGGAAGAGCCTCCGGAGGCAGTCAGGTCGAAGCAGCAGCTATCACTGCGGCCGACCAGGGCATTAGTGCCGGCAGCAAAAGCTGCAATGGCAACGAAGCTCTTCATCATGGCAAGCGAATGCAAGGCAAAGGAGCTTGTTGAACGAATGAACAAAGCACTCTTTGTAGGAAAAGACAGGAAAGCTTTGTATTTAGCCGGAGCTTGCTGAGTATGGGGATAAAGTAGCGAAAAAGCGACAGTGTAGACTATTCCGGGGGACCTGGGGCATACTTATAACGGGCAGTGGAGATAGGGCCACTATATTACGAATCAAGAAGTATGATCCAACAAAGCCTGGAGGAGCGACGGTCGGTCCGGCGTAATCCCCCGGAAGTAAAAGGATCCAGAAAAGATCCAGCAAAAAATAGAAACAGGCTGAGTGTCAGCCTCTCAGAATCGAGTCTGCTCCATGCCATTGACCATGGACGTGGCTGTGGGTCAGTGCCTGGCCTGACCAGGTGCCCAGGTGGGACAGCATGTACATAAACCAGCATTTGAAAATCCGGCCCCGACGGAGAGAGCATCCGCAGTGACCGGGCAGACGTCATCTTGAAGTGAGGTCCATTTGTAAATGTGGAGAAAATAAAACCATGTCTAATGCTCCACCATTATAGATCAGTCGATAATCGTTGTTGGACGCCGTTAACTTCATGGTGGACCGCCAGGGCCTATCAAAGAAGTCATCTGGGCATGTGTAGGATTCCAGTTCTGGGATTTCTTTTTCTGTCGTATGTACGCGGTACAACATTTGAAGTGCGCAGGTAGTAGGCAGTGCTTTCAAGTTGTAAGGCTGCCAAGTTCATGTAAGCGTAGAATTGAGTGGCAAATGCTTGGTTTTACCACGGAACGCAAGTATATGAGTCCTCCAACAATTCTTAACCGATCAAAGATTCGGATCAAACGGATCCAGGATTTGCCAACTTCCACGATCAGTTGGCGATAATCCTGGCTCTAATTGAATGCCAGATCATGTCAGTTCATGGTTAACAATAATTGGAAAAAGGTACTGGCGGCGGACTCCAGGTTTGTCTATTCAGAATAGCTATATGTAAACACGGAAGCTTTCTTCCCCAGGATATCATCCCAACTTGAATCAATATCTTGTTCAATTTTCACGTTGTGTGCCAAATGCTGATTTCGAGCTTGAAGGTTTCAAATCCATGATGAAATATGATAGATGACGTTTCAAAAATTTCTTGGACCCAGATGGATAAGACCCACGCTTCATCACAATGTGAGCTCAGGCGCCCAGGAGACCCCAAAATTTGTAGTGGATATGCCATGTCCTCAGCAGTGCATTGTAACACTTGAACAAAATGGATAGTCTAGCCTGTGGTACTTCCAAATTCCGTATTGCAAGATACAGTAGATGCCCGGAGTCCACCTGGAAAAGCAGTAATATTGGTCCGGACCGCGTGAAGCCGGATCTTATTCATCAAGTTGTTCAATGAGGAAGTGGAACCAGTGGAGGTTTGGTTGACCAACAATATTTTGTGTTATTTATATTTGTCTGGTTGACCCAGCGATGAGAACCCTCTGGACAGGCACACAAACTTGAAATTCGGTGGCACATAGTAATGTTGAAATGAGTACCCAATTGTTGCCAAAACAAGTTCACCGAAATGGAAGGCTGAATAAATTGACTGTATTGTTTTTTTTTTTCGAAGCAACATAAGCCACGTCATGAACACCTCAGTACGAAGTATACGATGCTAGGTGAGCATATTGAAGGCAACTTCATTGCGGGGTTTCGTAAGACCACGATCAAGGACGCGTGTCAAGCCTAGAGCCAAATGGCAGGCCTACGACGATCGTGAGGGGAAGATCACTTGTTTTTTCTAGGCTTCTAGAACAGACCCCAAGAATTATGATTCGCGTCCAGTTTGAAAACTCTGATGGACTTTTTCTTTTTTTTAATCATTCTTTGCGATTATGTGTGCAATTGTGTGCGACCGCGGTATTGATCGTTTCAAGCTCAGCGGTCATTCAGGTACCAGGTCGACTGGTGGAACACCTGCAATTTGATTGCGGTTCGATCGATCGGCACTGTATACCGTCATAGGTGGGGAATATCACAGGGAGTAGGGGAAAAGTTGACCTGACGCCACTTCAAGGCTGCTATCATGCTATCATAGACTGCGATCTCCTCCAGTTGGCCGTTTTCGCGGACCCCTCATTGTGCACTGCCAACTTGAAGTGTACATAATCCGCCTCTGTCGATCGCACCGGGTCAGTATGAGTGGGCCAGTATGGGCCCGTGCGAATTCAAGGGTACATTCTCGAGTTGATTTTGACCACTCTTTACCCCTCGCTTGCAGGGAATTCAACCTATGCGTAGCATAGAAAGCGGACCCATGTATCATATTTGGGTTGGTTATTTGTGTTTCTGTTGAAATTTGCGTAGTTGCATATCGGTTGATACATCATACACCTAGTCAATACGAAGTGCCGGAGCTTCTTTAAGCAAGCCGGGAATCGCTCAAGCCGTTAATTCACGCAAATGATGGTCGCCCCTTCTGTGGCCTTGTCGGCGTTCTGTCACGGTGTCAACTTGAACTGGTGTAGAGGAGAAGCTTCACTATGCACAAATCTTCTCTGGTGCCCAGGTGATTCACCTCGGGATGAAACATGGTTGGCGCCTTTCAAATGTTGAGGGCAGGTCAGTATCAATCCTACTACATAGTACATATTAAATGGATAGTTAGATACGGCGGGTAGCCTGAGACACTCCACCTGGGCAGTAGCCAGGTCATACCAAACAGATACATACCCTACATATTAAAATCAAAAGTCTTATCAGACTTTACGTACTACTACCCAGGTATCTTTAGGTAGAAACTTGAAACAATGGAGGGTTTAAAATATATGGATAAGGCTATATTAGCCTTCCATATACTGTAACTTGAAATTCTGCCCACGGTTAATTCTCCCCCCTGCTGTACAAATCATAATGGACCGTATTGTTCCAACCTCGATGAGATAGAGAAATGGGCTCATTGTGGAAAATATTAATACATGTAAACAGGTAGTAGAATTGAACATAAAAACAGGAAGTTGGAAACTTTCGCCTTACCCCGTCTCCCAGCCAGAACAACCATCTTCCATCTCTTGCAAAGGCGGTATCACGGCTCATCGCTAGGCTGTCTAGCACCAATGTAGTCCTGAAACTTTCTGATGGGGAGATTGTCCTTATATGCTTGATCAATCTCGGCAGCCGTGAGGTTGGCTGTTTCGGGGACGATGAACCATGTGCCAGCGATGAGTAAAATACTCAATCCTGCGAAAACAAACCCAGTCCGGGCACCAGGATTTCCTGAATCTACGTTGTACATATACGGTACAGTGAATTGAGTGAGCCACGCCATAAAAGCCTGCGACACCACACCCACAGACAGGGTCTTAGCTCGAAGTCGGTAGCTGGCGACATCTGCGGCGATTCGATAGCCCATACCGAGAAAAAGACTGGTTTGGAAAGATATCAGAACGTTCCTGAGTTTGCGAACATTTGAAGTCAGTTTGGTTAAAGGCCTATTGAATATAAGTAGGTGGATGACTCACATCAGAACAGCGATTCCCCATACACCACCATCTCCCGGGACGTAATATAATACTCCGATTACGAGCATGATGAGGAAATTCAAAATGCACGCCACCAGGAGCACATTGCGACAGCTTGCCTTATCGTTGAATAGCCAGCTCAAGACGATGATAATGAGCGCCAAACCAAATCCTCCAATTGAGACATCAAAAACATGAATTGATGGAAGACCTGCGATATTCAGAAAATAAATGGATTGGGCCAAAAGAGCTGCACCGCCCCAGTTCTGTGCCGTATACACAAACATGACTGTCAAGGTTCTCCGAAGATCAGGGCCCTTAAAACAATCAAGTTATGAGCCAGCCTCTGATTCTTTGCGCTCGTGCTCTTCCCTAATAACTTTATTCAAGTATGTCAGACGGTCATCGATTGAGTTATCTTGTCCATAAATGAGACTCATGACTTTGTGGGCATTAAGCAGCTGGCCTTTTGCTATGAGATAATTTGGAGACTCAGGAGCGAGGGCATATGCTATAATGGTGAGGCCACCAACGGCCCATTGAATGGCAAAGACACTTCTGAAAGAGTGCGGTGACATTTCGGGAACGAACACTCTGATGATTCCAAGGCCAAGGGCCATCATGAAAACATAGAAGAGTACCAATGCCTGCTGGACAGGGCCCTTCAATTTCAGAGGTGCAATCTCCGAAGCATAGGTGGCCGATACCGCTGTCACTGCCCCGATACCAAATCCATTGACCATTTTGCCACCCAACAGAAGACCTCGACTTTCGGCAGTAAATTGCATAGCGGTACCAGCTATGGTAAGCATGGCGGCGCAGCAGGCGGGCCACTTTCGTCCAAACCTATCCGTGATAAACCCGATGAAAAACGCACCCACTGCTTGACATAGCAGCGACATGGCATTCCAAAGCGATGTCCATATGGATGGGAGGTATGCGCCAGAAGCGTCAATGTTCCCAAAATAGAGAAGAAAAGCTGGCATGGATAGAGTGGCGCCGTTGACAATTGAGTCATAGCCGTAGAGGGAAGCTCCGCAAAAGGGTATGCAGCCTGGATTCAATTAGCTTCTGGATGAACGAATAATACAGTTCTGCTGCGAGTCACCTCTCGTACAAATTAAGAGAGCACCCCTGTGAGCCTTATCGCTTTGCCAAATCGTAAGTTGACGCTCTTCTTCCTCTAGGAGAGCTCCACGATGGGCGGACTGTTCCGAGCAGAATAGGTCATTGTCAAGCTTCGAGATATCCTTCACCTGCTCTGAGTCTTTCTTGTTGAAGTTGTTGTCCTTCATTCTCTCTGGTCAGTGGATATCCTTGAAAAGTGCACGTGAAGAAGGAAAATGATCTGCCCTTTGAGCCCAGGCGATACATGAGGTACATATACTGACCAGCTTTGTGGAGGAGATCCCCGGAAGTCGGAAACCCGTTCGGAATTCCCGCTCAGGTTAATTGAAAATATTCATTAGTGACTATGCATTGGATGAATTTACTATAGTCTTATCAGAATGGCATCCAATGAACAGGGACTGTATACAACACAAGCATCTTATGACAGACCCACTGATCTAAGACGACGCGAAGGCCCGGGTAATTGAGGTGTGTATGGGGCTTCAGAATCCGAGCTGAGACGCCTGCACATGAGCACTGGCACTTGAGTGGAGTAGGCATATCCGGGGTAGCCGGGGTAGTCCTTTATTGGTGTAGGAATGCGTACCTGTGGGGTCACAATAGAAACTTTAACCCTCTTGGGTACTCGCTTGAACTCATATTTGAGTCGTTCTCTAGTACTGAATTGTCACCTGAGTTATCTCTAGAGGTTTGATTTGTGGGTCGTCCCCAGACGACGAGGATAATGAAGTAGCTGTCACGGAAACCACAAGCTCGGACAAAAGTATGTATTTAGATTCAAATGTTGGTACTCCAGATACTACTAGCAAATCATCTGTTAACAGAGAGGAGCGAAAGGATAGGGCTGTGTAGAGCAACTACTAGTATTTTAATTCGTATTCCCCACAATCTCAAGTCAAAATTAGGCTAATAGCAGGATCAATCGGTAGGAAGAATTCAGAGTGAGATATAGGAAAATCCACTGCTTGATATTAACCGGCGCCTAGCTCTTGGAAAAGGCATGGCATAGTTATCGCCACGCGGAAGATGGATCGGAACTCCCGATTCCCATCGTCAATACAAATAGTACAACTAAAAATGAACCACCCGACAGTTCCGACATGCAAAAGTTCAAGTCCTCGACTATTCCGCAAAGCTTTTTATCATGACCACTTTTACACGAATTGGTAATGGCGATCAGCCTTCAATCTTTACCACTCCCGACCAAACGATAGCGGAGATTGATCCTTTACTTTATGGGGGTTTTGCAGAGTATGTCTTCAGGAATCCCACCCACAATTTCAAGTTCTCGTACTGAATCTGTATTAAGACACATGGGTCGCTGTGTCTACGGTGGAATATACGACCCTGGAAACACAAATGGACTTATTGATGAAAATGGATTCCGGACCGACGTCATTGAGGCGATGAAGGAACTCCAAGTACCTATTGGTATGTTTCATAGATGGTCCAGGCTTTCTTTTGAGGGTGCAAATGTGGAAGGAGGTCAAGACAAAAATAGCTGATTTATAATGACTAGTGCGATACCCTGGAGGAAATTTCACAGCTACTTACAGATGGCTGGATGGAGTTGGTCCCAAAGAACAACGCCCGAAGCGGGTCGAAGTCGCATGGAAAGGAGTTGAGACCAATCATTTTGGAACCGACAAATTCATGAAGTGGTGTGATTTCATCGGGGCGGAGCCGTATTTGGCCTTGAATATGGGAACAGGCACCCTTGAAGAAGGTGGGAAGTTTTGCATGATTATAAGCAAGATCAAGTTTGCTAATTCTTTTGGCTACAACAGCTCTGGCCTGGGTTGAGTATTGTAATCTTGATACTGACACCCACTATGCAAACATTCAAAAGCAGAATGGACATACGAAGCCGTATGGAGTGAAGTACTGGGCATTGGGAAACGAAGTCTGGGGTCCTTGGTCAGTTCATGAGGATATGTGCATCTTTCTATATAACTCAATGCTAATGTCAAAAAAAAGGCAAGTCGAACAATCTTCTAAGGAGGACTATGCAAAGAAAGCATACCAATGGCGCAAAGGTTTGTGATTCCGCGTTTGAGATTCTGGAATGGTCAGTAATTTATCTCAACTATAGCCTTGAAACTTCTTGACCCAAACATCAAACTTGTACTATGCGGCAAGGATGGACATAGTGATTGGGATCGATATGTGTTGCAAGAATGTCTTAAGATCACGGATTTGCGTAGCATACACATCTACACATTCGACATCCAGTAGGTCCCCAATTATACTAAGGATGGAGATTTATGATCACTGATTACTCACAGACATTATCCCAATGCCACTAGCCCCAAGTCTGCTGAAAGGGCCATTGGAATCACAGCAGCATTGATCGATCTGGCCCGCACTGAGATGGATTACGAGACATTCCCACATTTTTTGACAAAGCCAAAGACACCTCATAGGCCTAAGATCTCTTTCGATGAATGGAACATTTGGAATCCCATCCGTGCCCCAGGAGATAAGGGTGCAGAGGAACAATAAGATGTTTCGGATATGCTCGCCGTGTCGCTGTGGCTCAATGTCTTTGTCCGACAAGCAAAACATCGGAATGGCAACTATTGCCCAAAGTGTCAATGTCATTGCGCCCCCGATGACCACAGAGCAAGGAATCGTCAAACAAACTACTTATTGGCCGCTGCTACTATTCTCAAGATATATGAGAGGTCAAAGTCTTGCAGTGCATGTGCGCCCGCCTACTTATACCGGCCCAACTTCCCCCGAGTAGCTTGTAAGTACCATGGAGATTCCCATGCTAGATGTTTCTGCTGCCTTGGGCGATGATGACTATCTGAATTTGGCCGTGGTGAATCTTTCCGATTCCAAGTCAATAGAGACTTCTTTGCCACTGATAGAGGGCACAGTTCAGGTCTTTACAGTTGGTGGTAACGAGAATAACATCCGGGACATAAACTCATGGGTTTCTACAAAGATCGTTATCACAGAGTCAGAGTGGAACGAATCTGGGCGATTTGTTTTCCAGAAGCATAGCTTTACTCTGCTAAGATGGAAGGTAAGCCCCTCGCGGCCTCACTTGAACCTCGACCTCACAAAGGTCTCGAAGGATATTACGGCCGGAGTTGCCAATTCCTTGCATGCTAGATGTGAATAGTTGGGATATGAATCAGTCAAATAGAGAACGGATACAAGAAGGTTCCATTTTAAGTCACTGTTGAGGTAATTTGTGTAAATTAATACGAACGCCCAGGGATAAGAAGAAGGGGCAATAGGCAAAGTTATAGGTAGTTCAAGTTGACCTAGAATAGAAATTTGCAGAACACACCTCAAGATGTGCACTAGATATTTACTTGGTGCATTTTCAAAATTCTTGATCTAGATTGACCTTCCTGGCTCGCCGTCTTGAGATTAGCTATTCACCCAAGGTTATGGGCGGAAAATAACTTACAACCCCTCTCATGCATCTCATGGGGCACCTGAAATACCTGGCGATCTCTCGTCGACTTATAATCCGCACCGAGTACATAGTAGGAACCAGACCAAAAACCCGATCCTGGGGTTTGCACCGTTGCTACAGCCATCAGCTTCTGTCTGGGCGCCCTTAGGCACTGCCATGAGTCGCTGGACCACCAAAGGTGATTTTGGTATTTCGCTCTCGCGCTCTTTTTACTGCTTTGCAAAATCTAGGAGACCGAACGCTATTGAGCCTTCATTGTCGTGGATCGTTGCCCTGATCACTTCACTGGAATATCGATTCCAAGTTTTTATTCTTTTGCATCAGAAATGTCAGCAACCTACACCAACCCTATCATTCCTGGCTTCACGCCTGACCCATCTATGGTCTTTGTCGACAACACTTTTTTCCTTGTCAACTCTTCCTTCCATATATTCCCTGGACTACCCATCTATGCCTCAAAGAATCTAAAATCGTGGACATAAATTGGTAAGTACTGTGGATCTATAACATCTGTTGAGCATTCAGTAGCTAACGATGAGAAGGAAACGCTTTCAACAGAACGAGTCAGATAGACCTCTCCAACGCGACTACAGACGTGTTTTCAATCGGTCGTAACAAAAATCTTGTCTCTGCGTTGGGACACTCTTTGCACCGACGATCTGGTGGCACAATGGAGTGTTCTACATTATCTGTACAAATACCGCGCGCCCAGAGGGCGGGGAATTTCGCACCGAGAACTTCATCATTACAACAAGAGACATCTGGGCCAATGAATGGAGTGACCCCATCTTCTTCGAACTCGACGGAATCGACCCAAGCCTGTTCGTCGATGATATCACTGGCAAGGTGTACGTTCAGAGATCCTACAGAGATGGGGCTATAGGTGCTCAACAGTGTTCAATCCGACAGTTTGAGATTGATATCACTTCAGGAAAAAAGCTCTCTGACGTCAGACCTCTTTGGGGATATGAGCTGGCTGCAACAAGTGAAGGCATTAGCGATATTGAAGGTCCCCATCTTTACAAAAAGGATGGGTATTACTATCTGTTAGCTGCGTATGGTGGCATATTTGAAACCCACAAAGCTGTGATCGCTCGGTCTAGAGACATCTGGGGTCCTTTTGAAGTCTACAAAAACAACCCTGTGCTCACCGCTGCTGGAACGGATGAGTATGTTCAGAATGTTGGTCATGCCGATCTCTTTCAGGATGGAACTGGAGCATGGTGGGCTGTTGCCCTGGGAGTGTGAAATGAAACTGGAGGCAGATCACCGATTGGACGAGAAACGTTTTTGGTTCCCGTGGCATGGCCTGTTGGGGAGTGGCCTGTGTTCGGTCGAGCGAAAATGCAATTTGAAAGAGCCGGTATCTTTCCTCAACCTGGAAAGGAGGAACTATCGACACCCACAGATCGGATTGACGATGTCTATATTTGCAACGCCAATTTGGAAAATTATGAATTTGCTGAGGAAGAGAACTCCATCAGACTTACACCAAGTGCGAGAGGACTATCGGAAACACACGGCACCACGACATTCATTGGAAAGAGACAAAGATTTACCGATTTTATTGCTTTGACGACTCTCTGCCTTCCAACTGAACCGCACCTGAAGACCGGGCTCTCCCTATTCAAGGAGAATGTTCGACATGTTGATATCTGCTACAACACAGATACACAGAGGGTAACACTGGAGACTTGCCTGAAACTGAAGGGGGAACCCAAGGTGATCGCAGAGGTTGCAGTCACGGCTCAGAAAGTACAAATGAAGATATCCTCATCCTCAGAGTCATACAAATTCTTCATTAGGACTGAAATAGCCGAGGAATGGGTGTTGCTTGGAACAATTGACGCATTGGACATGACGGCATGTGATTTTACTGGGACTTTTCTTGGAATCTTCGCCGTTATTACAAGCCTCCACCATGACGAGAGTATTGTGAGATTCGAAAACTTTGTTGTATCATGAAATACTTCACATTAGTATAGAGTATCATTGGGAGCTACTATATAAACCGAGAGAATTAAAACCACTTTTGTTTCAAGAACCTTTTAATAACATCCAGGTTTCCATCATTTGGAACAGAATCAGACTTGATTCTCAAAGATAGATAGTTCATAAGTGTACAAATGATCCGCTTGATCAATTCATGCTTTCAATGTTCAAGTTCATTTTTTGGTTACTTATCATGAGGTAACGTATCTCCCAAGCGAGCGGCGCACCCAAGCGAGCCGCCACCTGACCGCCTATCCTATAGTTTTAATCATGAATATTACCACCATAACGCCAATTTGATTTATCTAAATATCACAGTGACCTGATCTATGTCCTTCTTCACCACACTTTTTACACGTCGGTAGCTTTCTCCTAGCTGGCTGAGGTGGTAAAACAGGCGCCCTAGGCCGCAGTACGGGAGGGGCAACTGGTGTTTCAACCACCTGTATAGCACGCTGTATAGCCTCCTGGCTCTCCTGAACTGTCATACCACCCTCGTTAGATATCTGCCTAGTAGACCACTTGCGCTTCTGCTTCTGCTTCTCATGGGCGGCACGTAATTTGCGTGTTTCAACCTCCAATAGGGTTGTTGAATGCATCTGAATTTCACAGGCTTTTAAAACTTGATCAATTTGCTGTTTTAGTGGACTTGGTGGGCTCCTTGATTGTTGTTTTAGAAGAGCTTTGATTGAACTAGCTTGCCGTTGAAGCTGGGTAAGGTTCTGGGTGTCTTGGGTGAAAATTGGCTTGATCGACTAGGGGTGTAGGTGTTCGAAGAAGAATATTTAGCTTAGAAAGCACTTGGTCTGGGTTAAATGGGATTAAATCAGCTGCTGTAAAGCTATTTTGAATAGTCTGGGTTTGAAAAGCCTTTTTACAAGTGATTGGGTAGGCTTTAAGAAAATCAAATTTACTGATATGGTTAAAACTAAGCTGTATTTGATTCTTGATAAGCTGACTATAGGCCTGTTTAAGAGGTATAAAACATCTAACATTAAGTAGCTAATAAAGATGTGAAGAATAAGCTGGTATATAAATTGGAATAATATTATTCTCTTTGTAAATCTGGTTAAATCAGGGAGTTAAATGATTCCCATGACCATTAAGAATCAAAAGTTGATATTTTCTGAGTGTATGTTTAGTAGTTGCTGGAATAAAGTGCTTTTGAAGCTATCGAAGCCCAATTTTATCGGTTATCCATCTATTTGGACTAGTTTCAAATTGCCAATCAAGTGGAAGGTTCTTAAACCAGCTCTAAATAAGAACTTTGTCTTTGAAAATAAAAACTGGTGGAAGGACTTGTCCAGATCTACTAATTGTGAAGGGCTCTATAAAGACTGAAGCAGAACGATATAGGCCGACATGCAGTTTACATTCATGCTTAAGGAAGAGGAAGCTATGTACACGATTGGGAGTTATAAGTCCTCCTGTGGATCACGTATGGGGCCGTACGGGGCTTTGGGCTTGTCGGGGACTGATAAGCCCTCATCGGGTTCAACCCGTTACACTAATAGTTTCAATAGCTGTTACCTATTTATAATTTCTAGACTATAAAAGTGCTTGCCGAACGTAGAATTCAGAGCGGGTAATAACTTAAGCAGTTGCTGTACGCCCTATTGTAAATCCAGTCTTATCAAAGTTATAAATATCCTCTGATAGAATACCATTCTCTTGGATAGTCTTGAAAACCAGATTAAACCACTCTCAAACTATCTTTGGATCCTCCATCTTTGCACGCTCATAATTATATCATCGAGAGAACCGTATGGTAAGCTCTGAATATCGTTTAACGAAGTTTGTAACCCCAATTCTTGCCAACAGTTTGAGAGGGGGTCTGGCCATGTGCTGTGAGTAGAATATTGGCCATTTCTTGGACAGTAGCCGGACGGGGGGCAGCTCTACGTATATCCATAGAGATCACCCATTGAAGAAGCGAATTGTCTTCATTTTCGCTTAATTTATGATTATTTGCGCGAGTTTCAAGGCGGTTCTGGTGGCCATTTAGCCTATCGTGTAGCGTAGAGCGAGGTATATCAAATATACGTGCTGCTGTGGCGACTGCTGCGATATCTTGTTTCTTTATAGCCTTAATAGCAAGTAGAATCCTTCCCTCTTGTTCGGCTAAATTTCGAGAAGAACGTATTGGTGGCATGGTGGGTGGTTGAAGATGAAAGGGTGCGACGCGACTAATGCGAACGCGGTCAGGTGGCGGCTCGCTTGGGGTGGCCGCTCGCTTGGGAGATACGGTTATGCAACATTTGGCCTGAATTTGGCCTGAACTTTTGTTTTGCCCCTTCCCTCCACTTTAAGTTCCCTTACTTCACTTCTTTCCCATTACAGAGTTACCCCGGATGTGATGAACAACAACCACTAAAAAGTTACTACATGGTAAGGTACAAAATGATTGGTCTGCCGATGCGCCCTACAGCCTCGTTGCCGTCGTCCTTTTTGATCTCCCGAACACGTTGGGTTCGGGTACCTTTCCCGCCTCATCGACTGGCTCACACCATGACACACAACCAAGCAAACCAAGCAATTGAAGAACAAAGTCTGCCATTTTATCACCGAAAGCAATGTTATCCAGTCGAAATTGGCCATGTAACTCACAATCGATATCGGATAATCGCAAAAATTGGTTATGGTGCTTACTCCACTGTTTGGCTTCCATGTGATCACAGGTCCTGCGCTAGGAAACTTATTATGTTTTCAACGTATATCCGTTGCTAACTTGAAACACAGAGTGAATGAGTATGTTTTGCTGAAGGTCTCTGTGCAGGCTGACCACAGTCATGCCGGAAATTCTCCCGTGCTCAACGAAATCAACATGCTCAGGCGTTTGGAGCAGTTTGCCAAAGAGGACCACCCTGGGCTTGACTTCACAAGACAGGCATGTGACATATTCGAAACTGAAAGTGTTGGTGGGGCTCATCACTGCATTGCATTTAAAGCCCAAGGTAACAGTGTCCGCAAATTGCAGGAAATATTTCCTGATGCCAAATTCCCCAAACTTCTTGTTAAATCTTTAATACATCGCCTATTCTTCTCTGTGAACTGGTTATATGCAACCTGTGGTGCTACTCATACTGGTCAGCTGATCTCATGACATATTCCTTCAATTTATACTCACAAATGACCAGATATCTCACCCCAGAGTGTTTCGATGGGAATTGAAGATAGCATGAGCCTCAAATATGTTGAGGATCAAGAAACGCGGTGCCCTAGTTCTCCAATCCTATCTCCAGTCAACAGTTCTACAACAGTTCTCTACCGATCTAGACCTACAATTTTGGAAGTCTCTGGTCACCCTATTCTCGCAGATTTTGGTCAAATGCGATTAGTCGAAGGGTGTGTCAATCGAGACTGATGGATGTCCGATCTCTATTGCGCCCCAGAGGTCCTTTTGCAGCTGCCGTAGAGATTCCCAGTTGACATATGGTCACTTGGCGTTATGGTCAGTCGAGTCCATTTTTTACGTTATAGGAAAACCACTGACCATAGTTTGCGACACAGACTCTTGAGCTTTTGGAAGGGAATAACCTCTTCGATCCAATTGATCGTGCCCACGCCCAATATGTACTTCCACTGGCTTTATCACAATATATAGGATCTCTCCGTCCTCCTCCGTTGCATCTTATTCAGCAAAGCCGCCTTTTTTCGACATATTTTGATGCAAAGGGTAAGTCTCACTTAGTATTCCACCTTTCAACGTTTATCTTGACTAAACGGCTGTCACAGGGAATTGGATCTCTGATGTTCCGATACCTAAGACCTCTCTCGAGGATTTTGTCACAACAACCCCACCAGGAGAGGAAAAAGACCAGTTTCTACGGTTCATAAGAAAAATCTTAACTTGGGATCCGGATGTAAGAGCTACGGCAAATGAAATTATACCGGACGAATGGCTTATGCGGCCGGTTGAGGACATGCTATAGGGAGGCCATTAGATTGGGGATAAGTAGCTCATCGATTGATGTTAGATTTCTCACATGTGCATAATTCCAGATTATATGTATATAGAAATTTGAACGGTTCAAAAAGTGTTTCATTTGTCTGGGAGGATTCACATCTGGACAGGCCCGGGCCCCGGGGCCAGTTCCGTATGAACTTGAAATTTATGGTTCACAATCAACACAGTGTACCAAAGGTATATAGATGCTTGAATGTTGCAATATGAATCGCGCTACATAACCTTGAAAACATTTGAAGGATTCAAGTTGGAAGATCTTATGACTACTACTGATTATCATCATTATCATAGGAAATCAAACAAAGGGTATCCAAAAAAGCAGGGGTATAGTACAGATATAACCTATAATTTAATAAGATCCATGAATGATATAGACTTCGGGATCATAAAAGCCCTATAAGCGGTCTGGACACACAAACCAATCAAAACATAGGAATGGTGTCATACACAAATGAAAAGGATACACAATCGATCAGCCCACCGAACCACCCCGCAAACCCAGGTGCCACCAGTCACATCCTAAAGACACCATGTCTTGGAATCACCCGCAGGTCAGTCGCGATGGCTTCACCTCCTCATATGGCCGGTTCTTGACCGAGCGTGATCGCGCCGAGCGTGTGGACAGCGCAACTCTACGGTCCATGTTCCTCCCTAAACTTACTCGACTCGGTCAAAAAGCCCTCGATGACCAAAGGAACTTCGTTCGCAATCAGCTCCAGCACTATGGTGTTAAATTTGAAGAAAGGCTGTTTTTCGGTCGGGGAACCCCGCTGATGAAGCAAGTTCTTCAGGATGGCCGTTGTGACACAGTACCCCCGCATATTTTGAAGCTCGAGGAGGAGTTACATCTCGAGCGGTTGAACACCCAAACATTGGAGTCATTGGACAGACAGCCTGACTGAGTACTCGATAAGTACTTTGGTAACGACAGACAGAATCCTAATCGTACGATTACCACCACTATTCTGAAAGTTCCGTTTCCGTTGCACAGCGAGTACCGAGTGAGTCTGATGACGGAAGCTGTGAAGAAGGTTAAAGGGCTTGTCCACAAGTTCCAAAAAGGGACACAGACGCATGCATTCTACATGGGCTGGGACAAGGCTGCAGTTGAGGAAGCTGCCAAGGAACATCTGTTAAAAGATCAGTTAATCGCCCAAAAGGAGACCGAGGAAGCGAAAAAGAAGCAAGAGGTGGATATGAAAAAGTACGAGGCGGAGATGAAGAAGCGCAAGATGGAGCGCACACGCTTACATACATCCTACTTGCGCAAGGCTCGAAAAAATCAGGCTTCGCCCGTTGGGAGCTACATCGTTGATTGTGAAGAGATTGAAGAGCAGTGGCCGGATCAAGCAGACAATATGACTATTGATATTCATCCAACTAATGAACCTGGAATTTTCAAGGCGGAGTTTGACTTTGGGGTTCTAGATGGAGTGATGATTCTCGGTGCAGACGAGGCAACAGTGGCACGGTACTGCTCTCGGGTAGATGAGGATGATGATAACAGCGAGGATGAAGACGAAGATGAAGACGACTCGGACTTGGATGACTTGAAGGGAAGCGGGAAATACAAGACGGGTTCTAAGAGAAATGCGCCTGCACCCAAACGCGTCAAAAAGCCAAAGAAACCGCAAACAGCGGTGTGCTTACATATGAACCGAGTTTGAGATGTAAGGAAACTGGAGAGGGTGAGATCTTTTCTGAGCCTCATGATGGAACTATCAAGTTCAAAGATGGAAAGTTCGCTAGCTTCACAGGCGAGGCCGCAATGCCCTGTGTTGGTAGTGGAGTACCTTTCACTGCACGGAAAGTGTCTGATTCACCGGACTCACATTGGAAGGAATGGGCCGACTATTCAGAGCAACAATACGAGAGAGCAAACATAAGCAGGAGGCACTAATACTAATCTTCCGAGTTTACTGTGTGACTTGAATGGGAGACAAGGTGGAAGTCTACCTGCTCCATTTGCTATTTGACACTTCGCAAGTCGGCATTTTTAAAGATAAACTGAACCACTGGCAGCTGGATGTTGCTTCAAGCTGGAGGTTGAGGCTCCAGATAGCACCAAACGGCAAAACAAAATCTCACAAATTTATGTACATTCAAGAAATCAGCTTGTTTGTTTCTTCTAAACTCCTTTTTGAAGTCTCCGGCAGCCAGAGAAGACCCCAAACCAGACCTATCAAGGCAACGGCGAAGAAAAACCAAAATGTCCCCTTGGGCTGCAAAGCGTCATCTAGCATCATACTTGGGAGAGTCTGTTGTTTGGTTTTTCAGTCAACGATATCTGATAATAAGAAACATAGAGAGGAATTTACCTTCACTAGCGCAAATCGATTAGCATAATGAATGCACATTAAAAAGCTTGTACCCAAAGTCCGAACAGACGAGGGAAGCATTTCGGCATTTATCAGATACTGAATGGAGTTCCAACCGAAGGCATAGCCAATACCTGTCATATAAACCGCAACAACGGCCGCAATAGCTGCTCTGTCTGCATTCCCCGACTGGGGCTCACCTTGCGCATCCCAAGCAGTGATGAAAATAGCAACATACAGCAAAGCCAGAAATTGCAGCGTGATGCCTGATAAAAGGGTTCGCTTTCTTCCAATGCGGTCGATGAAAAACAATGCACTGATTGTTGCAGCAACTAATTTGACGACTCCAAATATGGCCGTTTTCAACAGCTTTTCAGAGTGACCAGCTATGTTAAGCAAGGCGAAGAACTTGGGCGCGTAGGCTGTTCTACCGTGTTAGCATTGGAATCAAAATTCGGAATCGGGTAATATAGACCTACTTGTTATCGCATTGGTTCCTGACCATTGGCTGAGAAGTTGTGCGGAAATCAAAAAAAGAAGTCGATTAATATTTGACTTCCGCCCAAAGAGCATCTTCCATGGCTCCACAATGGACGATGATGATTTGTTTGCGGCCAGCCTAGAAGTTGTGTCATGTTGAAGAAACTCAACCTCTTTAATAACTCTGCAATCATCGTTGGATAGTCCCCACAGTCTGGCTAAGCTTTGTCTAGCCAGCTCCACACGACCATAGTAGACTGAGTACCTAGGACTCTCGACGCATCCGAGCGAGAATATCAGTAGCACGGCAGCCATTATAAGCTGGCTACTTTCTGGAAGAATCCATTGTGTGCTGCTATGATTGGAAAGATGAAGTGAGGCACCATAGCCAGCAAAGTACTACATCCACAAAATTCATGGGCGTCAGCGAGCACATAATAAAAATTCAACCACGGCATATACTCACACCAATGAACACACCAAAATACTCCGAGAGCGCATAAACACCGACTAGCAATCCTCGGTGGGATTTTGGAGCCACCTCCGCTAGATATATGGGTCCAATGATACCCGCCTGGCCGACTCCTAGACCCATAACGAACCGACCAGCTATGAGCTGGCTAAGGTTCCCTGCTAATGTGATGAAAAATATCATCCCTATAATCCAAAGGAGGCACAAATGTCGCATTGTCCAAAGTGGACCAATCCAGTGACTGGAGAAGAATGCAATAAATGCTCCCGGTAGGCTGCCGAGATGCAGCATGGAAGTAACATTCGATAGTCTGTTTGCTTTCTCTTCTGCACTCAGATAGCTTGCATGAAGCTGATACTCTTTGATGAAAGATGGTAAATCCACAATAGTGGCGATCAGACTTTCATCTAACCCTTTGGCTGAACCGAGAAGTCCAAATGCCACTGCGGCGCAGATAATAGGAGCATTCAGATATTTCATGTTCACAATAGAGCTGTGCAGAATGTTCATTCGATCAAGACTAGGAAAAGGAAAGCCCCTTTAATACTCCAGAACAACGCCCGAAGCCTGCTTCTTGTCATAGGTTCAAATGTTTGTGTTAACGCATTTGAAGCTGTCGATATCCAAGGTCCTTATTCAGATATCCATTGCGTATATTCACTCAAGCCGAGTGGATATTGAATATCCAATTCTCGGTTGATCGGAATACACTTTCTCAAATCAATGCTCAATATTACAATGAATTCCAGCACTGTTGTACCTTTGCATAAACGAATTATTATTAGCCAAAAATGGACCAGCCATCATTTCTGAAGTATTATTTAGCCATTCAACTTCGCTGTAGTTTGTTCTTTATTATTTTGAGTCAATTACTCTGAGTTCCAGTGGACCCGAAACATACCGCGGTCGTTTTAGTGAAAAATCAAGTTGATAAAGTGGAGCTTTGTAGGCAGAGAAAGATATTTTGATAATTCCAAGTGGTCAGCCCTGTTAGTGGAGCTTTTCATCCAGATGTCAGCAAAATGCCACATTATCAAACATTTGAATGCTTAGTTGGAGCAAACAACAAACAACTGTGATCGTTCTTAATACACTTACTCGCGCAAATGATGGATGCTGTTTTTTTTTTTTTTTTTAATTTCTAATTTTTAATTTTGTTTGATTTTTACTTCTTTGACCGATATCTGGACATTCAACCAATGTCTAAGCTTTCGTGGACAACATAGTGCCTAATACCCTGTTACTAAGAAAATGAAATTAAATATTCATGAATTGGGGAAATTGGTGTTTAGACTTACAATAATATGGCTACCTGTTCAATATCCGAAATAGCCATTGTATTTAGTGTTGCTTTCAGGGATAATATGCTCTTCATGCATCCGCTAGACACCTCATAGGCTGAACGCTGAGCGCATTTCTAGATATTGTTCCCCACAGTTGCTTCTATCCCTGCCGGATTACCGGTAATTCTCCTTTTAAGCGGTAGGGCTGACTCCTGAGGCCCACATACCGAATTGGTAGGCATTCCCCGAAAGCAACGCCATTGTCTTTGAAATATGCAAAGCCTAATTGGCCTCTCATAGTTAAGGAGAGGAGAGGAAAGGATAGTGAAAGTTGATCAGTTTATTCGGCCAAAGGCGTTCTTCTTAGCCTGAAACTCCGGGTCAACACGATTTGAAGCATCAATTTGCCAAGAACCAGGGGACTGGTTGGAGATACTCCTCTCATAAGTCGTAGGGAAATGGCTCATAGATTTCTGCGAATTAAACAAGGTTTCCTTCACTGCCGATGCCCCGCCAAATCCCTGATTCGAACCTGAGACACTCAGGTTGGACTGCGCTGGCAATCTATCATCGGGTAAGCGGAACCAGAACTTGAATCGGTGAGCTTGTAGTCATAATGTTATAACCGCTTCTCCTTTCTTACGTCATAGCGATGCCGTCCTAGACGGCTATAAACCTTCAGATGATATGGATGAAATCAAATACTCAATCTTGGGATCACACAAGTAACAGGAATTAGCCATGTCTCCTCACACGTTGTCTCTTCTCGAGCAAAAGTCCTCCTATAACTCAGAGCTTGGTTCTCTTCTAGCAGTCAATGCAGACCAGCTCCCAGTGCTTAAAAACCTCTCCATTCAGAGGCTGATCCTTGCACCCTCAGCAATTCGTGAGCCTAATTGGAATGTGAATGCAAATGAACTTGCATATTGTTTGCGAGGAACAGCCATGGTCAGCATTCTTGACTCAGGGAATGTGTTCGCAAATTTCGTCGTTGATGTTGGACAAATGTTCCATATCGAATCTGGCTCGCTTCATCACATCGAGAACATTAGTGGTGAGGAAGTCGAGATTATTATCTGCTTCCGACATGAGAGGCCAAAGGACTTCGCGCTGTCCGCTTCAATGGGAGCGATGACTGATGCAGTCCTAGGAAATACCTACGACCACCCATCCTCCCACTGGGCTAAGATCAGCCGCAGTACTCAGCCAAAGTATATCGTCTGTCGTGCCGGCAAACCCACCATCCCATCTTCCGCTTACCTGCCCGATCCACATAAATTTGACGTCGAAGAGATGAACCCTCCTGTCGTCTCAGATTTTGGATCCAATAGAACTGCCCGTAATCAGTTCTGGCCAGCTCTGCATAACATGTCGATGTATTCGCTTCGCGTCGAAGATATCGGTATGCGAGAGGCGCACTGGCACCCATCCACAGCGGAGCTGGGGTACGTAGCTGAAGGTGAAGCACGTATGACAATTATGGATCCGGATGGGTCTACCGATACGTACTTCCTGAAGCCTGGGGATATGTACTATGTTCCGACCGCCTACCCTCACCAGATTGAAGTGACTGGATCTGAGAGAATGCACTTCTTGATCTTTTTCGATCAACCCAATCCCAAAGATGTTGGATATCGGAATTCAGCCACCGCCATGTCGCGCCAGACTATGGCTTCTACCTTGGAAGTCGCGGAAGAAAATCTTCCCGAGTTTCCTTTCACAATCAAAGATCCTTTGATTGTGGGCAAGAAGAACCCTGTTGATGGGGTATCTTCAAAGTTGTAAGGTTGAGTGACTGCTCGATGAACGCGACCGCACTATTCAGATCTTACCATTGCCAAGGTTCAGCTGTACATTTACGAAGATATTTATATAGAAAATGTTGAGATCGACCATCGAGGATTGCAGACTCTTGGTGTTCTTCAATGTTGACACCTGTAGGGTATTTCACTTGCATCCATATTGGGTCATATAACAGGATCACCTTGAAGACCCACATGCAGTTGTAGGTACCTAGGTACGCACGGGCTTTCGCACGGAGAAGATGCTATATATACTGCATCTAAGCTGTATTAGCCCACTATCTAGATATACTGATAAGCGGCTGGGGGATTTTCTCAAGCTGGGACCTCGGGATCTATCCTTGCTGTGACAGACGACCATAGGATGAGCGACACGTTAGGCCGGGATAGCAAGCCAAATATTCCATTTCTCTCAGACTTTCTGATTTCTTGGGGGTCAGATAGTGGTGCTAGGATGGTCTGTATGATTGCCGATCCGTTCGTCAAACACCATGGATAGGGCTGTCGGTGATTTCTTTTGTGTTCATTTGACTGAGTGGCGCGATGTCGAAGAAATGATTGAAAGTTGTCGACAGCTGCCCAGGGTAGAGCTTGCGCTCAGTGCACATGTGGGGAGGAAGCAGCATCTTTGTCCGAAATGCCCTTCTATCATGAAGGTTGGGGTGTTTGGGGTGTTTGGGGTGTTGGGGTGTTTGGGGTGTTGGGGTGTTGGGGTGTTTGGGGTGGGGTGGTTGGGGTGTTGGGGTTGGTGGTTGGGGTGGTGGTGGTGTTGGGGTG